ACCCTAAAAATGCACACCTCGCCTTATCCCACGGATATCCGTCTCCGGCGGTAAGGATTTTTTTGAAGAACGGAGCTAACACAAAAACTACCCACAAAAAGGTCGTGTGTGACCGACCTCAAGCAGTTGTCCCTTGGGCACTACGGTCACGCTCTCAGGTCATTAAGACCACTTCTAACCCAATTTCCTTTTCAGGTACCCCCAGGAGAACCCTTCCACGGTGTGGGCAACCGGGAAGTGATAACTGCCCCCACACCTCTAACAGCACTCAAGACCACCGTATTCATAATCAATCTCCTTCAATTCCTACTATTCCTTCTACCTTGACTTTCAACACTAAACTTCCTGTTCCGGTTTCCTCCTCAAGTGTCACCATGGCCAACGATTCTAGTGCGCGGAACGCTGTCCCAGGTCTACTTAAACCTCTCTCCAAATTACACATTGGAGCCTTCAACGTACCCTATGCCAAATCGGTCAACAGGCTTCCTTAGCTAAAACCCTAGAATCTCGTACCATTGATGTATTCTGTGTCTCCGAAACACGCATACAGGATCCCAGTGTGGTCATTCACTTGACCTCACCTCGCCAAAATGGACAGCCAACGAAATACACCCTCCGTGTATCTGGCGACCCGTTGGCTAGTTCTCGCGGACTTGCAGGTGTAGGCATAGCACTAAGTACAAGGGCAGAACAGGCACTATTAGAATGGATCCCCGTTAACAGTCTCCGATCTGCTGTTTGGCTAAATGGCTCCGTATGAACTCGGAAGGATAGGGACACACGTCGTTGCCTTTTCGTCGTTTCTGCCTACGCTCCCACCGACTGCAGCCATGATGAAATGAAAGATGACTTTTACAGAAAGCTCTCTGAGCTTCTTCAGAAAGCTAAGCGCTCAGACATAGTACTCATAGCGGGTGACTTTAATGCCCAGGTAGGCAGCTTGAATCAAACAGAAAGACATTTAGGTGGGTGTTTTAGTATTCCGGCTCAACGAACCGATAATGGTGATCGTCTGTTGCAACTATGCTCAGACAATCGTTTATTTTTAGCAAGCACTAATTTTAAACATAAGGAGAGACATCGTCTAACATGGCGACCACCTGCACCAAACCAACGATGGACTCAAATAGACCATATTGTCATCAGTCATCGTTGGAGAGGCTCAGTAGAAGATTGTCGCTCGTATTGGAATACTTGTTTAGACTCTGATCACGCTTTAATACGAGCACGCATTTGTCTGCGCCTCAATGGACGCAGGAAAAATACACTAAGAAGACCCATTAGGATTGAACTGGAGGACGAGAAAGCCAAATGCGAATTCCAGAAACAACTGAGTTCACATCTAGGCAGTTCTGTAAACAAGACTGACACAGATGCTGCTTGGAAAGGCATACCAACAGCTGTGGAAACAGCAGTTACATCTATTAGTCATTTAAACCATAGGGCTCCAAAAAACCAATGGATTTCTTCTAAGTCTATTTCACTGATGGATTCGCGTAAATTCATCCCATCAGGCTCTGAACATGACGAAGAGCGTAAACAAATTAGATCTAGGTTAACCAAAAGTCTAAGGAACGATCGTGAGCAGTGGTGGGCAACGAAAGCAAAAGAGATGGAAAAGGCAGCGGCTGTAGGCAACACCAGGCAACTATTCAGACTAATAAAAGAAACCGGAATTAAGAAGTCAAGTGTAAGTGAGACAATCTCCGAAAAATACGGAACCCTTATCTGCTCTCAACCCAAACGTTTAGAACGATGGGCGGAACACTTTAAGGAGCAGTTTAGCTGGCCTTCAGCTACTGCACAACTACCCATTATTCCCAGAAAACGTGAATGGAACATTGAAGTAGACCCCCCGACCCTACTTGAAGTTCAAAAGGCTATAGGTAATCTGAAACGAGGAAGAGCAGCTGGTCCAGATGGATTGGCTCCAGAGGACTTTAAATATGGTGGTCCGATTTAAGCGATTAGGTTGACTAATATTCTGGCTAAAATCTGGGAGACGGATGTAATCCCATCCGACTGGTCACAATCACTGATTGTCCCAATATATAAAAAGGGGTCAAAATCATCCTGCGATAACCATAGAGGGATTAGTCTGACCAACATAGCATCTAAAATACTAGCCTCAATAATTATCGGGCGCCTAACTAAGACTCGTGAACTGCAAACATGAGAAAATCAGGCTGGCTTCAGACCTGGTCGTGGCTGTATCGACCACATATTCATCATTCGTTAAGTTTTAGAGCACAGACACGCTTATCGGCGTCCGACAATGATAGTTTTTCTTGACTTGAAAGCAGCATTTGACTCTGTTGACCGAGAGGTTCTGTGGCAGTGTCTGTCATTGAAAGGTGTACCTGAGAAGTACATAAACCTTGTGAAGGCTCTTTACTCGAACACTACCAGTCGAGTGAGAGCTTATGGCGAACTGTCATATGATTTTACAACCTCAAGTGGTGTCCGTCAAGGCTGTCCACTATCCCCATTTTTGTTTAACTTCATTATAGACCTGTTGCTGGAAATAACACTCTCTTCGACTGAATTTACAGGAATTGATCTCCTACCAGGGGGACCACTAATCGACTTAGAATACGCAGATGACATAGTCCTGTTTGGTGAAGATGCTGGCAAAATGCAGAGTCTTCTGTTGGAACTCAGTAATAATGCCAGGATGTTTGGGATGCGATTCTCCCCATCCAAATGTAAATTGTTACTCCAGGACTGGCCTGCATCAACACCTGAACTAAGGATAGGGAGTGAGGTAGTCGAACGCGTTGACAACTTCACTTATCTTGGAAGTCTGATCAGCCCTAATGGGTTGGTGTCTGACGAAATCTCAGCACGGATTCGAAAAGCTCGTTTGGCTTTTGCCAACTTACGTCACCTATGGCGAAGACGAGATATCCGTTTATCAATTAAAGGACGAGTATACTGCGCAGCATTTCGCTCTGTTCTACTTTACGGTTGTGAAACATGGCCATTAAGAGTAGAAGATACTCGTAGGTTACTAGTATTTGACCACAGATGCCTTATATATATTGCACGCATCTGCTGGGGTCACCGGGTAAGTAATAGTGAGGTTAGATGCAGGGTATTAGGGAACGATGGTAAATCAGTTGATGAGGCGATGAATCTTCATCGACTGAAATGGTTGGGCCATGTGTTACGTATGCCTGAACACCGATTACCACGACGCGCTATGATGACTAGTGTAGGGGATTGTTGGAAGAGAGTTAGGGGCGGCCAAACCAAAACATGGCATCAGTGTTTGAAGTCACTAACTTCTAGTCTGAGCCATGTTAGCAGATGCAGACTACTTGGTTGGGGTCCGCGTGACTATCGTAACCAGTGGTTGGAGACTCTAGGTGACATGGCTCAGAATCGATCACAATGGCGTAGGTGTATACACTCTTTATCTTCCTTTAAACCTTGAGACTAAAATTGCTTCATATCTCTCCTCCTTCCTGTACTATATCCTTATATACAACCTATAATTTATATACTACTACCACCACTAAATTAATTACTTCTATGAACCCGGTGTTCATCTTGTTGTGCTAACGAGGTATGGCAACTTGGACCGATGCATAAATGTGCCTGGTCCTACGTTGTAGCTGACTGACTGACTGACTGACATTATCATTTAATTGTTCAGTTGAGTTACATCCCATTGATTAGTTGCCCCTCAATCTTTAAAAAATTACCCAGAAAATCATCCAAGTTACCAATAATTAAAAATCTCCATTATTATTCTTCCTATGTACATTTGACTAATAAGTGCTTTCAGTAATAAAGGACTTATACAAAGTTTTTAACTAAAAACAATGTTTAATGTCAACAATTGAAATATGGAGCCCAAGGTCATTTTTTGTCAAATATCTCAAGAACTATGCCCGATATGTCATATTACTGTATCAGTCAGTCAGCTACAACGTTTGACCAGGGACACATATGCATCGGTCCAAGTTGCCATACCTCGTTAGCACAACAAGATGAACACCAAATTCATAGAAGTAATTAATTTGGTGGTGGTAATATTATAAAAGAAAGATTGGATACTTAATTCCTTCTTTTAATCATCATCTAAGTGATAATTTCTATTACATTACCAGAGGTTTTATGGCACTTGTGTATGTGATAATCAATTGTAAAACTTTTTATATTTCCTAACATCATCGATACTCCACTCAATATATGTATTTAAAGTTCCTTTTAGTTACTAATTGTTACCTATATGCATATCCATATCACACACACACAAATACTCATATTGAAGACTATCGTATTAAATTATGATTTATGACCTTGAACTGATGGAAATGTTTACATCATTGCGTTTAAGTAGTATGAGAGATCTACTAATATTTAGTTTAATTATTAAAAAGAAACATTCTGATAAAATGGTTGTTTATTTGAAATTATTAATCGTTTTTATTTTGCAACATTCTACCAATCTTATCGTTCGAGTCCCAGAATGAACATCAACTCTGAGATGCAGGTACATCCATCTGACGAGTCCCAAATAGGACGAAATGCGCGTCCTGGATTTCACTGCTAGCCACTGTCCATCTTTGCTTACAATGCTTGTGAATTAAGGCTATATCGAGGCAATACGCACAGTATGCACATATACCAACAAGAGACTGACCAGTCGCATTCCTAAACATCAATGGAAAGATTCAAACAAGTGATACTAAGTATATATAATCTTATCGTATTGTTGTTGAATGATAGAGTAACAAGGTATTTATCATAAATTGCCTTAAATGACTTGTTATATATATATATATATATATATATATATATATATATATATATGTATATATATATTCGAGCAAAGATCATATTGGAAACAATCTTGTTTGCTGGTAAATCTTATTCTAAAGGAAAAAAATTTTTTGTATGAAAAAAATCGGAATAAATGTTATTGTTTTTCGATATTCAGTTCATTTGTTATTTATTTGACAATTTATTATTGACTTTGGTTACTATTTTAGGTTACTCACTTGGTTTCATAGCTACCATCATTATGTTACATTTTACTAATGTCAGTCAACCGGCTTTATTGTATCTATGTCCATTTACTCTTCTTGTAACTTTCATTATCGTTATCGTTTGTGATGGTTTAAATGAATGGAAACTATTGTGGTTAGGCAGTTTGCCTACATTGGTCGATGGTGCAAATATAAATCTGACTGATAATAGTGACCGGGTTAATCAACCAACTGATTCTTTAGAAGTGAATGATCTATATTCAGTTGAATATAAATCGCCTAATCATTCAAAGACTTCACTAGTCCTTGAGCAATAATAACAACAATAATAATAATACTCATTGGTATATTATTACTTATATTAAAAAAGAGGAAAACGGAAGCACTGTCGGCTTTCTTTCTTTCTTATCTTTGTAAATGCTTATTTTCGTGATGACTTTGTACTTATATCCTCCTTTTTATTTGTATTTGTGTGTGTGCGTTTCTGACCTTTTACTCTGTATGCTATAAATGATAACAATCGCGATATCACAGAAACCAGTCGGTTCATTTGTTGAGATATTGTGTAATTGTGCATTGAATTTGATAACGAATGCTTGAAAATAAACCTTTGAAATCGCAACAGCCTTGTTTTTTTTACCACAGATTTAAGAGTGTAATGATTTATAATTGTAAGAAATCTTAATAATATTTTTGATAGTTCCACTTCATAGGAACGCTGTCGTGGTGTTCGTAGTTTTAGAGAGCACACTGATTAAACTGAAGTAATTCGTATCCTTACCTTTACAATATGACGCGTGATATTTTGTTTGTCAGTGTGGCAGCTGATTCTAGACATTATGGAAGCAAACAATTTAGTTCTCGTGACGGTCTGTTGGTTGCGTAGCTGACTAAAGCATTATAGCATAGGCGAAACTGTTCACTCTCACGATCATGGTTTCCTTTTTTCATTGTCGTTTGTTTCGTATATTTACTCGTAGCGTTATTGTGCAGTACTACATTGTTGTCTTGGGTTCATAAATCTTAAATTAAGGAACTAGCTCTAATAACTGACTTAGTAATGAGAACTCCAATCACTACTATTCTAGTTCTTCATTCTGTCGCAGACACATAATCTCATTAATTTCATTTCCATTTCATATCATTTTCGCCAACATACATATCTCTTGATAAGTTACAACGACAAAAGGATCTAATGATAACGAAAGATTTTAAAATATATTTGAAGACAGAAATTTGCCTATTTTAATCGTTGATACTGGATTTTATTTTATTGACTACACTGTGAGATATTTGGGGACTGGAAGTATCACAATGATAGCTTCGAGGAAACTACGATCCATACAGTGTATCTAAATTATTTACCCAAATAAGGTATGATCACTCTTATTCTACAGAGAAGGAAAATGAAGACTAATCGATGGTTGGAAATAAAAGATGTTAATGGGTTTAGCAAGTAATTTAAGACAATTAATTTCTTCGTATGAATGATTGTAGCAACATGAGTAAAAATGAAACGGTTCTTATTTTTCGGAATTATGCTCTAATGTTTGTCACTAATAACCCAGAACCTAGTAAAAATATGTATCAACATAGTGAGAGGGAAGTAAAGAGGTGTGTAGCTATGTAGTAGAAGTAATGTTACTTTGTGTGATCTTAAGAAAACGAAATATTGTAAATGTAACTCAGAATGAAAGCTATGGATAAATTGTAGGATAATAATAATAATACCGGCAAACAGAATTGATGTGAACGATACGGATAGTAAATATATTTACAATAGTGCTGGTTGGAATATACAGTTGTACAGGTAAGTCGCTTTTGTTAGCTTTTTACATTGATGCTGACTCGATTTCAGTGCGTTCAAGAATGTGACGTAAGCTTAAAATTAAATCGGAAGGTATAATTAAACAAAATGAAGAAATTTCAATAAACTAGTTGTCGTTATCGCTTTTTATATTACTGTGGAATATATATTATCTCACTTTCTCTATTGGCGATGTTCTACACTGACATACGATCCGGACAGGTAGATAGTTTTCTTGTCAATCCAATCCTTCATCTTTGAAAGTGATTTCAAGTCAACAGTGAGATGTCAGATACCATCCCATGGTGTTTGCAACCAACTCGCATCCCTAATATTCTAGAATCATGTATTTTCAGACCCCCAAACTGATGACTCTGCATACCATAATTCAATTTAACCACCAGTTATACTCTTTTGCTCCTCTCTTTGGGGAAAACATTGGTTTTCTCCCTCCTCTTAAACAGTCTATATAATGCATTTGAGATTGGTTGGTTGATAGCCAAAGACAAAGTTGTACTTGAAGAGGCTTGGTGAGCAAATTGAAAACTAAGCAGATGGAGGTTGGAGTGGCAAGACGAGAACTCAGTTATGTGATTACCTCTTTTTCTCGTCGTTGGACTTGTCATATTGAGTTAAACATTTCATTATCCATCCGTTGGTCACTTAACACTAGGGTTGTAGTCGATAACACGGTATATTACAGTTAATTTACGGCGTTATTCGAATGAAATAACACTGAATCCTTGCCAAATAATCCGTTAAGATGAATATATCCCTAAAACGATTGATCCCTGACATTTGATTGTTGAAGAGTATCCCTGAGATCATCAATGGTAAATACAGATTAAATCTATAATGACCTTAGGACAACAGTGACTCTTTGGGTTTACCTCTAACAGCACTCAAGACCACAGACTAGTCCATCCTCTTCATATTTCGTCGGATTTGTACGCTGGAAGATTTCATTTGTTCTCTAAGAGTACTGGAGGTACGGGATAACCTGGCAACTGTCATGGTGTGTCAGGCTAGAGAGTGCGGCCTCAGTGTGGTTGATGCTCTACAACAGTCATCGTTTAAGTGAGGAAATAAAAAATTCCGGAAGACATGTGGAAAGACCATAGCTAAATCCGGTACCACATACGAACGATAGTTGGCATATGATAGCTGTACTTGTCGGAAACGATTGTTTTCGTACGTTAAATGACCAACAAAACGTAGTGATGATTTTCCATCATTACTCTTACATGAAAATTCCGGATTACTAGCTGAATCTGATCCAGTAAAAGCTGAGAATTTTTCCAATTATTTTAGTGAAGTATAGTCCACGTGTAGTGTCACAGCTACTTGTCCCAATTACACCAAAATTCCAGCCATAGGATCTGTACATGTGACTGAGGAAACTGTTCTTTTATTGATAATTAACCTCAAACCGTGTAGGATATCGGTTTACATCCACTTTTGCTGTTATCGCTTGCGGACATTATTTCAAGACCGCTCGTAATGCCATTCAACATGTCCTTTTAACTCTCTCAATTACCGCGAGATTGGAAAGATGCTATAGTCAGTCCTATATTTAAGGATGGTCAGAGACGGATCGTATCTAACTACCGGTCTGTCAGCCTAACGAGCATAGTAGTTAAGTTACTCAAAAAGATAATTCGGGTTAAGTTACCAAGTCACATAGATTAGTACAATCTGTTAACTTTCGAGCAACATGGGTTTCGTAACAAGCGTTTATGCTCGATACAATTACTTATTGTGAGAGATGACTAGACAGAAGTCATTGATAACGGTCTGTCTGTCTGTCGATGTGATGTTCATAGACTCTAGAAAAGCGTTTGACAAGGTTTCACACTTAGGTCTTATGCAGGAGTCCTCGAGTTTTGGAATAACAGTTGTTATACAGGATTGGACAGGAAACTTCTTGCGTGACCGCGGACAGAGAGTGAAGGTCAATGGAACGCTTTCCGAATAGAAGCCTTTCAAAAGCAGTGTACTCCAAGACACCATATTGGGCCTTCTACTTTTCCTCCTCTACGTTAATGAATTACCGTTATTGCTTAAGTCGTTGACATTATTGTTTGCAGATATCAAAACCTGGAGAACAACAAGAAGTGAGGCTAATCATTTTGATCTTCAATCTGACTTAGACGAACTAGTTAGATTGGCTCGTGATTGGGGCGTGGAAGGTAATTCCAGGGAGAGCGTGCTCATGCACACCGGACACGTTAATAGTTACCTTACCTTCAGTGGTACATCTCTTCCACATGTTCAAGAACATAAAGACCTAGGAGTACTAATCAGTCATGACTTGAGAACAACTACGCACTACAACTCATCCGCTTCCAAAGGTTATCGTGCGTTATGGTCACTTCGTCGAACATTCAAATGCCTTGACGAGATGTTTTGAATTTTGTGTTCCACCTATTCAATAATACATTTAGAGTACTGTATCCAAGCAGCTAGCTCATGTCTGATAAAGGATACTAACTCACTTGTGCGTGTCCAGCGCGTGGAGACGAAATTAGTGAAGGGTCTTTCTAAACTCTCTTACGATGAGCGTTTAAAACGCCTAGACCTTTCCCCTTGTTTTGTCGTAGGACGCAAGGTGACTTTATACTGGCACTTCTTATCTTCAATTATGATTTGAGTGTCAATGTGTCTTATCTCTTTGCTCCCTTCAGCACTGATAATCTCCGAGGTCATAGCAAGAAGGTTCAGAAACCGCGATCTAATAAACTAAATGTGGAGTCCCATTTTTCGCATCGAGTGGTCAATGACTAGAACGTATTACCAGAACGAATGGTATCAGCACCATCAGTGAACATTTTCAAGAAAGGCTGAACCTTCACTGAAAGGAAATCTGTCAGGATTAACACAGGTTCATCAACCCACTATCCTTATTACTGAAGACTGACTCTAAAGTCTTAACTCAAGACCTAGATAAAACCTTCACTGTCTCGAGTAGTCATGATATAACTGTCTGGAATGACGGGAAGTGGACGGCATTGCAGAAACAAGGAGGAAAAAGACAAAAGCTCATTATCTCAAGCAGGCCATGTCTGGTTGATAAGTCTTTGACAGGCTTCCAATCTGAGTCACAGAATACCTCGCAAAAGCCGCGAAGACTGTGTTTAGCAGTAAAAAGCCTAATTTCATTAGCTATTATTCAGTAATTCGATGGTATTAAAAGATCCTGATCCGATAATTAGAAAAGCGTATGATTTGAAAAATGTCGGGAGGCATTGACTTGCAAGACCAGACTACCCGAAAGCCCTTAATCATAAGGTTCGTTTCGCCATCTAACTTTTGAGTTTTTAAATCTCTAAGAGCATTCTTCCACTTGATTAGATCCTCAAGCAACCAATCTGGTCGAATATGAATATTTGAATCACGGGTTTTGTGTGCGCTATTCAATATTATATATCTTTCATCAAAATTCACGAGTACTAACTTCAAGATCCTTCTTTATTGGGTCTCGTCTACAACCCATTTACAGAGACTTATTACTTTCGTGATATTTACTCCTGAAACCTCTTCAGGCAGTACATTTCTGATGACAGATTCCACTAACTGCAGATCGTGTGCATGTCTTTTATCAGTATCATTGTCTTTTGACACCTCCAGATTATAAATACTTAAACTAGGAACGTGTTTAGCTTCTTTAGCAGTCATGTCCACGGCTTTCGACCGTGATGTCAGGTCCTACCTATTAACTGCTGGTATCTTACAGTTAGCTTTCCTTGCAACAGTGTTGCGTGAGTTAAGCGAATAACTCACGACAATCTTCAATGGGGCCAAACTTGTTCCATCTACGATAAGGCTAAATATTGTCTTACTTTCGGACTTTAGCAGAGTAATCTGACACGCATAATATCAGTCCGAAAAGGACACTTCAACCAGATGGGAGCTTTCTTTGGCTATCTTTCCTTCTCTTCCACGTGTCCGTGTCATCAATTTCTCATCAGTTGCAGCATCCAGATTAGAACTACTCCGAACGATAATGGTTCTACCCGGATCATCAGTCACTGCTGTAACAAATTTGTCACAGATATCTAATGGAGTATCGCTCATTAATTGTTTCGGGGTAGAAAGCTCTATTTCGTGTTGCACAATTGGGTGTCTGGCGCGTGCCGTGACAGCACTTACGACACTGACAAATTTTTCGTTATCAGTGCCCATGTAGCCGGTACAGCCCTCGTCAACCTTTCTGTTAACTAATGACAGAAGGCTAATTGCTTCTTGAATGAGTAATGTTTCGCTCAAGCAACAAAACATACAGAGCCATTAAGAGTTAGGCTTTGAGCACCATTTATAGGCAGTGGGACTTTATTTCATTTTACTTTATTTTATTGAACCACCTCTTACACTCATCACATTGCATTCCTTCTTCTACAGGGAATAAACAATATGATTGTCCACAATTGTGAACAGCGTCAACCATCTCGAAAATTAATTGAAATGGTAGACGAAATTGATCAAATGAATCAAGCTAAAGTCGACCAAGACTACTTTGATGCAGCAAATACACAAAATGTAGATCAAAACGTACATATACAATATCACCTTAGTTGAAATAGATTCAATTAAAGTATCAACAGTAGTTTAGATGCATAATTTAAAGTTAATTCACAACAAATTTGGAAATTACTACTCTTCTTAGAATTCCCTGTTGTCGATTATTTGGTATTTTTATTCACGAAAGGTCGATGTTACGATTCACATGATTCAAAGGCGTGAACTATATTGTTAGGCGGGTTGAATAAAGATGTTTAAGGTCGAGTTTGAGCAAGCTTGAGTGAACATAGCGTTTGTAAGCCGGCTGGCTTATTAGCTTATATGTAAGTGAATTCCCAGCTTTCTTAAGAATGTCGTTTATAGTCAACGCAAAGCCCGGATTGCTATGCTACGAATGCACTACATAAGGTTGACAAGTTTAATTGTAAAGACATCGAAATAATGTAGCGCCAGTAATATTGGGAAGTACTGAACATTCAGAATAAGGATGTTGTTACATAGTAGTTTCTTCTGATTTCCCTGTGATTTATTCACTTTATAGGTTTGAATCAAATTCGTAGTCACTAGTCGCGTTAACCGCCAACATAGTAAAGTAATGTATCTGAAAGTGATTGAAAGTCTATGCTTTCTATCTCACAATTCAAAGTAATTCATCCTTGGTTTTATTAGTCTGAACACCTTAGATTTAGGTTTCAGTAAGTTCATCTTTTCTCGCTTAGGTGTTTCCCGATATTCATCACATTTTTCTACTTACTTTCCCTTATTATGTTAATATGCAGCATAAAAACTGGTACACGATTGCTATCGGTTTATTTAATGTCCGTCTTAACTTTTAGATCATCGAAGAAAGCACATTTTGAGGCACGAAAAGGTTTGTTTGGTAGGAGGCTTGCTAGTTTCAGTTCTATGGTGGGAATGAGTGCATAGTATAGTTTAGTGATACATAGATTATTTTATCAGTTTTGATCAACTGTATGTAAGATCACACTAATTTCTAGTTTATCCACGTTAAATTAGTGTTAAATAAACTATCCTCTAGATATCATCCAGTCTAGTGTGGCGCATATGTACCTGGTGCCCTTTTGTACCAATATATATGTGTTTAAATAAATAATAACATCCAGTCTAGTGAGTAAATTTCCAGGTCGTTGAGCTACGTAAATCTTAAATTTGAAAGTTAATACTGTTTAGTTTTTTTCTAACCTGCAAGTTGTGTATTACATGACATTACTCGTTGTTTTTGATGGTCATTTTGAGTCAGTTTGATAACTGCAGAAAGCGTTTTAATTCCTGGATAACCTTTGTAGGGCTTTTGACAAAATGATTCTATTATCATACATTTTATACACCCATATAACTACTCTGCATTTTAAAACAAAGCTCTAATCAAATCTTGTTTGTTTCAGTTAGTCTTAAAATCATTAACTGTTTGTGGTGATTCTCCTTGTAAATGTATGCACAAATTATTGTGATGTCATATTTTTGGTGGTGTTGTATTTTTTACATGCACTAAATAACTTGCTTACTTATCTTAAAGTGAAATGGTTTACTTTCAGCTTCTTAATGACTTCACTAAAATACAATGAAGGGGGATATGAAGCATGCGATTGGTTTTTAAGTATGCAAACACAAAGATCTGTCTCTGAACTTCAACCAGATCTGTTCGTCTCAAATAGCAGATTCTTGGTTGATAACCGAACACAACGTTTTGTAGAGCGTTACTTCAATGCATTCTATTTAGTTGATGTTGGTGGGGAGTTGGAAAATGATATTTGTATATTAAGGCACAGCAATACCTTGTGTGTTGTTGGTCTTGCTTGTGGGCACCATATTTTTAAAAGGTGTAACATGAATTCGTCTAGTGATTGTTCTTCGGTAACTCACGAAATCTTGGGATTAGATTATCAGGTAAATATTTGTTACCTTTTCTCAAGCATTTTATATCGATCTTAAATCACTCGTTTTGAGGGAATTTGTATGATGTTCCTTTGTTTTTATATTGTAGTTTGAGTTTTTATGACATACATTTCATTATTTATTTAAACACGTAAATATTGTCACAAGGGGGCACCAGATATATATGCGCCACACGGACATGTCATTTCATTTAATTGTGTAAAGGCTATGATACTACCCGGGTGCCCAGACCGAAGCAGGTGGTTCTCTTAGGGGTCCACACCTCGAGCCTTTGACCTAATGGCCTAATTCACAAGGTAATGGAGCATCGTAAGGAAATGCAGTCCCATAGTAGTCGGTGACCAACGATTGGTTCATACGCCATTTGTTCACTCATGATCCTGGAGCCCATTTGCACCAATGGATTGGAACCAGGGTTTTCCAACTCCCCTAGGAAGTTGATGTATAGTGACGAGTTCCATTCAATTGATTATTCAAAAATGATCCGTAGTGTCACAATTTGGTCTATGTACGGCCGATCCCTACGGAATCTAGCCTGTTTATCTGGACGCTGGGTGTCCACTGAATGTTTCATCCGGTTTAGCAGCACTCTGTCAAAAACTTCCTGGTGCCGATAGTGGTTTGATGCCTCTGTAGCTCTCACATTTGCTGATCCCTCTTTCCTTGGTATCTTGATGAGATGTCTTTTGCAGTTCGTCGGCACTTGTTCTACCTCTCAAATCTTCCTGAATAGAACAGTGGAGCATGTTTGCAATTACTTCTATGTCTGACTTTAGTGATTCGGTTGGTATATTGTCAGGTCTTACTGCTTTCCCACTCTTGATTTGTCTAATGGCCATCCTGGTTTCCTATATCGTCGGTTCAGTGACATCTATAGAATAGTCTGTATGATGCTTCGATGTCCGGTGGGTTCAATAGAGCTGGTCTATTTAAGAATTTCTTAGTGTTCCACCCAACTGTCTCTCTGTCCTTGAATTTCAGTGATTGTTTTGCCTTCTTTGTCCTTGACTGATCCCTGTGGTTTACTATATTTCCCTGTCGGTTTCTTTGTCGTGTCATATCGTTGTTTCATATTTTATTTTCCTACAGCTCTTTCCTCTATCGCTGCTAGTTCTTCCACATATTTCTGTTTGTCGGCTCTAATGCTCCTCTTCACTTACTTGTTTGCTTCAGTGTATTCGGAGTGTGCCTTGACTCTCTCTGTTCTTGTTCCACTGTTGTCTTCTTTTCTTAAGTCTTGACCAGCGTTTCTATTTATTGTGATTTTCTTCTTTGTTTAGCAGGATTGTTTTATCATCATGAGATGATCATACTGTAGGCAACACCAGGCAACTATTCAGACTAATAAAAGAAACCGGAATTCATAAGTCAAGTGTAAGTGAAACGAACTCGAAAAAAGACGGAACCCTTATCTGCTCCCAGCCCAGACGTTTAGAACGATGGGTGGAACACTTTAAGGAGCAGTTGAGCTGGCCTCCAGCTACTGCACAACCACGGACTATCCCCAGACAGTCTGAATGGAACATTGAAGTAGGTCCCCCGACCCTACCTGAAGTTCAAAAGGCTATAACTAATCTGAAATGAGGAAGAGCAGCTGGTCCAGATGGATTGGCTCCAGATGTCTTTTTAATATGGTGGCCCAATTTTAGCGACTAGGTTGATTAATATTCTGGCTAAAATCTGGGAGTTGGACATTATCAGGGGAACTCCTTCAGTGTGCGGAGCATCTTCTTGGTGACCAGAATACAGTAGCATCTCCCCGGAAATCTAATCTTTTCTGTCCAGGTTGGTTCCAATGGGTTTCGCCTATTCCAAGCACTCCAAGTTGTATCTGCTGATATGTGCAGCTATTTGACTAGTCGTTTCGGTCTCGGACATTCCATGTACCTACACTAATTGTTGCTCTAGTTGTTAGAAAGATCATAGATGTAGTTTCTCAGGAATGTTGGCTATCACCATGAAGCGTCTTAATTCTTCTAAATTATGATCCTCCTAAGGGAGAGCTAAAATGTTTTAAATTATTTTTTTCTGGTTAGCGTTTTTCTAGCAGTTTTCCACGGGATGGGTTAGCTGACCCCATCCTTAACCGTTCTCCTTTACCCGGGTTTTTGAACGGTAGTAACCCTGGGAGAGCTACAGGTGCAGTTAAGTTTGATATAGGTGTTTTTTGGTGATCTGTATCAGCATATTTAAGTATATTAATTGCTAGCCCTAAGGCAATTTTAAGCTCATGTAATGTTTGGAGTCTTAAGATTTAGAAACCGGCATTTCCTCAACTTTTTGTTCTGACTCCGGGTACCTTTATGTATACCTAAGACGTGTGATTATAACTCCATGTCGCTACTGCATTGTTGAGAAATAGGTCTTCACTGTTGTGTGAACTAATATTCGATAGTCAAAGAGTCTTTCTACAGGTTGTAATGGATCAGAACGTTGGTTTTAGGATTCGATTAATATTTGCGTAAAACCACTCAAGTAACAATCAAAATAATGACTCAGTGAATGGTTAATTATTGATCCAAATACGAGACTATAATTATCCTGCAACTCAGTTATCCTATATATTCTTGTGAATGGCACTATCAAACCAAAACTCATACATTTAATATATTCCACAATTTCATTGTTACTTAATTATTTTAGGTTTCCAATGGATTAAATCGTTCGAAAAGCAAAGTCAAAGGCCGTCGTAAACATGGAGGTCATGTTTTGCATAAATCTACAGATATAATAGCTTATGTTATTTGTGATCGTGAAATAAAACACCCCTTAATGTGTGGCATTCCAGGCAATCTTTTGGAAGTTAATAATTCTTTAGACATCACAAAAAACGAATCTCATCTTCCTAGCTCAGAAAATGTAAGCTCATTAAAGTCAAAAGTAAAGCTAACTCCTTTGATGGGAAGCGGGAGTACTGTTAATATTGGTACCTACTTATCCATTATATTGCCAAAACCGAGATCAAGGAAGTATCAAAGTGGGCGTATAATTGATGAGTCCATTTTACTGACTGATTCTCCTACTCAAAACGGTACAGCACTAGTTGATGATGTTTTGAAAAACCTCGACTATTTAACTCAATCAGACTATGCAACACAGATTGCTGATTTTATATCACAGACATCGCTTCCTAAAGAACAAAAAGTACTTACCTGGAATGAATACTCAGCCCTGCGACATTGTGCATAGATTATTCTGCGATATTTTTTATACCATATTTTTACTTTTAAATAAATAAATGCTTACACGTGATCCTCTTGGTTAATATAATTAATACTATCAAGTATTAGTCACTAAACTTAATTAAATACTAATCTCGTCAATCGTCCTTAAATCTTTTACTTCGATACTAATGGGAATTATGCTCGACTGTAGCTGCTACCTTGAGGTGGTGGACGGGCTTGCCTATTGTGATGACCCAACCGGACTATATTGGCTGGAACATATGTTCCTGTAGGTCCTACCATGCCAGACAGTAAGACTAAAAGCAGAAACTCAAGGTCTGAGGGCGAAGTCGTACTGCTGATTGTAGAAACGTGTGACGGCAGTAAAGTATTTCCCTCGGACAACCAGCATCTGCAACGATGCTGCCTTCTCACAAGGAACGGTAAGGTTAGGAAAGGTCAACCCTAAAAATGTCACGTCTCACTTTACCTCAAGGATCTCCGTCTCCGGCGGTAAGGCCATTAGAAGAACGGAGCTAACACGTCTAAATACTCCCACAAAAAGACCGTGAGCGAGCGACCTCAAGCAGTTGTCCTTTGGGATCTGTGGTCACGCTCCCAGGTCGTTAAAATCAACATTAATCCAACTTCACTTTCAGGTGCCTCAAGAAATACCCTTCCACGGTGTGGCAGCCAGGAAGTGATATTAGCCTTCATACACGTAACAACACACGAGACCAAGTTTGTCACATTCAAATCCTTCCTACACCTTCTAATAACTCTCTTATATCCACGACCAACCCTTCTCACGTCCCTTTATCACCTAGCACCGCTAGGGCAAACGATTCGAGTACACGGAACGTTATTCCTGGTCTCCTGAATCCACGCTCTAAACTACATGTAGGAACTTTTAACGTTCGAACATGATCCCGAATAGGACAACAGGCTTCCTTAGCTAGGAATTTAGAATCTTGCATCATCGATGTGTGCTGCGTCTCCGAAAACGCGCATAAAAAGTCCGAGTAGCGTCATTCATTTGACCTCACCATGTCATAATAAAGAACCAACTCGCTGGCGTAGGTATAGCATTGAGTCCCAAAGTAAGACTAGATCCCAATAGACAGTCATCTATTCGCTGTCCGACTAAACATAACAGTAAGGACTCGGAAAGGTAGGGAAACTCGTCGTTGCCTATTCGTCGTCTCTGCCTACTCTCAGACTGACTGCAGCTCAGATGATGTAAAAGATGAGTTTTGCAGGAAACTTTCGGACCTCCAGAAAGCTAGGCGCTTTGATGTAGTAATAGTGGACGGTGACTTTATTGCACAAGTAGGTAAACTATGCGAAATGGAAAGACACGTAGGTGGGTCTTATGGTGTCGTGGCTCAAATAACAGGTAATGGCGATCTTCTGTTGCAGCTATGCTGAGATAACCGCCCGTTTCTTGCAAATACTAACTTTAGGCACAAGGAAAAACATCTTTTGTTATGGTGACCCTCGAATTCGTCCCAACGTTGGAGGGGTTTGGTAGAATACTGTCGCTCATTCTGGAGCACATGCTCAGAGTCAGATCATGCTCTAGTGCGAGCGCGTATCTGTCTGTCTTACTGGACGTAGGAAAGACGCTGCAATGAAGCCTCTCAGGGTTCTACTTACTGATAGGCAAGCTAAGAATATATTTCAGGAACAACTGGAAAAACAAGCAGACATGTAAGTTGTGTCCACTCTGAGGCAGCTTGGAATGAAATCTGAAAAGCTAAGGAAACAGCAGTGATATCTGCTAGTACGGTAAACCATAAGGTTGGGGAGAAACACTGGATCTCAGCAGCATCTACCGCACTGATAGATGCTCGAAAATTCATCCCATCTGGCTCTGAACATAACGAAGAGCGGAGTCAGCTTAAGCGCAGGCTAATAAGAAGCCCACACAATGACCGCGAACAGTGGTGGGTAGCGAAAGCAAGAGAGATGGAAAAGGTAGCGGCAATAGGCAACAGCTGACAACTGTTCAGACTTGTTAAGGAGACCGTTATTAGGAACCCAACTGTCAGCGAAACTATCTCGGAAAAAGATGGGCATATTATTCATTCTCAATCCAAGAGATTGGATCGATGGGCAGAACACTTTGGGGATCAGTTCAACCGACCTTCAGTCGCACTTCGGTTTCCCACGATCCCCAGTCAACCTGAATGACAAGTTGATATAAGTCCACCAACTCTTTACGAGGTTGTAAAAGCTATAGGAAATCTGAAGCGAGGGAGAGCAGTAGGCCCTGACAGGTATACTCCTGAGATTTTTAAGTATGGTGGTCCAGTACTAGCAGCGAAATTGACTGCTTTGGTATATATATATATATATATATGGTTCGGCACGGAGCTCCGAAAATGAAAGTTCGTTTATTGTTTGAAGCGCAGTTTCAGGTTTGAAGTAGCACTTGTTGATCCAAGGGACCGCTGTATTAGTAGTTTCCGTTATGTTAGCTCCAGTCATCTCTAATTGGAACCAGAAATCCTTTATACAAAAGGTCTATCTGTGCTTTCTTTTTTTGATAGCCTCCGTTTGTGGAAAGGTACAATCTATGAAAATACCACTTATCTGTGCTAAACATTTTATCACTACTGGAGCGCGGTATAGTTGGTAGTTTCCTTTATTTCTAACAATACTCTCCCTAGTCTAATTAGTTGTAATTTATGAGAAATAGATATGAAGTAATGAAATAACTTTCTGGAGCCAGTCTAGGTGGGTTTTCCAGTTGACTATTAGCTGGGTAGTTCATAGTTCAGATGCTACTCTACCCAATATTATTATTCAGTAATGAATGTACTTCATCAGTCGAATACTTGGTTATTTGCTCAAAACATTTGATTAATTCATGGGGTCTCATTATTTTCCTTTGTTTTTGTTTGGATACAAAATACTGTTTCTGTGCTACATATTTAGACAGTGTAAGTGGTTTATTCATTGAAAAATTATCGACATGGTTGTCTACTCTTTTAATGTTTGAAGTAATAAGTGCGGATTTTTGTGTAGTCATCATCGGACCAAACCACACCAATAGATTTAGTCGATTAACATTTCAATTATCATACACTGTATTTTTACTATAATAACGCCAAAATTTTGTGTGAAGCAACCTTTGGTCTCCAAGTTGTACCGATTTCTTATTGTTTATAAATATTATTCCTCTGTTGGAATTAGTCTATCTGGTTTGATCATAATCGCTACAAATATGAACAGTAACTTACTCCTGTAATAGCTAAATCGCAAAAATATAGTAAAACAACTTATATATCGTGTTGAATACATGTAGTACTGAAATGATAAAGTACTAGTACTCAAAATGTACGTAGAAATATTGAATCTCCTTTTCAGGTAACCAATAATAGTCTAAAAATGATTAGTTAATGGTTCAAACTATGAATTTGTTGAGCTTGAAGATACCACCAGTATTGTAGTTTGACAACTATTAACCGGTAACACCTATAATCGAATCGTGCCCCACTCAATTAAAATCAGAGGTCAGAAGCGAAAAAGTTTGGAAGATATATTTGAAGCGTTATCAATAGATCGAGGAGCGATTAATCTAATATGACTAGTGATCGTAGGAGATGTTTCCTACGGTGTGCTGTAACGTGATCTGGTGCGGATGCATGACTGAACGCCTTCAGCTAAACAAGTCCACTAAAACTAATGTGGTCAGCATCCAATGTTGAAAACTTAAGAAGCTATTTATTTTGAGCAGCTACAAGCTGCTAATATTGACCACAAATTGTGTATACATTATAAAAATAAACTGTTTTAGAGTTGAATATAATTTATTAGGATATAGTAACATCAAAGTTTAAATATTACACAAAAAACTAATTCTAAGAGAAGTATTCAGTTCATGGGTATCAGCTTTAAGTTCATGAATGAGGTTAATTAGATAAAATTATTTCAGATAATATAACCTATTTCATCAATTGTAACTCTTCAAATTCATATAGATAAAATACAACATGCAAATATGATTAAATGTAATACAATGATTGATATTTCAAGAATAAACCTTTCCTAATAATGTTTTAATTCTAAGTGTAAACAACTTTTATGAATGTTTAAATGTAACATATGATATTGAAATTGTGAAGGAAAATTCAAAATTTCAATTTCCTAACAAATCAGTAACATAATATTAGGTTAATGAACATTGAAAAATATAAACTGGGATAAAACGATATTGTCATTTCATTTAATTATAACTGATACATTTTACATTTCTTTATGACATCCAGGCTCATTATCAGGACATACACATGTACGTGATCTACCACCATCATTCGGTAAGCAAATATAACGACATCGTCCATTAGAATAAGTACATGGATTAGTTGAAGCTAAATGGGTAATAAATATCGATAAAAATATAAGAATTAATTGTTCTGAATAATTTGAACCAATTATTAATTTAAATCATAGATTCTATCATTTATGGTTGAGGTATGTAGATAGAAGTATTTTATGGTTGTCATAAAGACGACGCATCCATCTATCAAGACATGAATACTAATAATGAATAATTGTTAACAAGAAAAGTCTTTTTCCAATTACAAAGTTGATGATAAATCAAATTCCTGAAATTTACGTCGATTAGATGAAGAGTTGACTAGCAGGTGTTAATAAAGAAGTAAATGTATATACTATTATAGCGTCGGTTACTACGTTAATCCCACATAACGTATTCTAGCTTATGGACAAGTAAATATATTCATTCTACTTGAGTCACATTTTGATCCTGTCAGTTATTCGCTTATCGACCTTGACTGCTTCTATATGAGCGTATGTGTGTGCATATCTTATCCTATCCATCATATGTCTGTAACTGATTTTTGGGTGACTATAAATATTAATTAACGCTTGATTAAATGGAGTTGTCCCACACGCCTTCTCCATCGCGCGTCATTTCGCTTCATCCCTCTGATTTCCTGTCCAGATCAGTGAGTTTGCAAAATATATGTATTCAAAAATCCATTCTCATATTCGGTTTAATTAATTCTGTTATTCACTAACGCGATTGCAGTCGATAATTATATACGAGGATAGGCGACATATGTATTTCGGAGAAAATATTTTATAGAGAAGTGATTACAGCTGTTGATCAGGAGATTAAGTGTTAGTTTGCCCTTGAAAGACTTACGAAAAGAGTAAATAAATCCTCTGAAGACTTTTTAATTAGGGACTGTTGGTCGAGTCAGAACGTATGAGAAACCGTCAGCAAAACTGCTAACCTCAAATGTCATTGATCAAGGCTGCCCACTATCCTCATTTTTTTATTCAATTTTATCATCAATATCCATTTAGGAATAAAACTTTTCTTCGACAAACCTCTCAAAGGTCAGTCCTCTACCTGGAAATTCGCCTGTCGATTGAGAATAATCAGATTACATATTCTTAATGAGTGAAGACAATGACAAACTGCAGAATCACTTAATCGTTTTCAACGAAAATGTTAGTATGTTTCGAATGCGAAATGCTGCTTCAGGACTGGTTTGCATAAACGCCTGAACTGATGATAAGGAGTTAAGTAGTTTTATTGTGTTGACCATCTCACTTATCTTGGAAATCTTATCGGCACTGATGGTTTGGTGTCTGACAAAATTTCGGTTGGCTCTTGAAAACGTGTGTCGCTTGTGGCGTAGACGAAATGTTCGTCCGCAGCCAATGGACATGCATACTCCACAGCAGTCCACTTTGTACTATTTTACGTCCGTGAAACATAGTCTATCAAAGTAAAAGATATTGTCTTCGAAACATTGCTTACGTTTTGTGAGATGACCGAGTAACCAGTATTGGACTTAGACATAAGGTAATTGATAAGATTAACAAGTCGGTTGATGAGATAATAAAATTTTCACAGTCTGAGGTGGTTTTGGAATGTTATGTATCCCCAACCATAGCCGATTTAAATGAGTGATGCTTGCAAGTGCAGAAGTAGGTTGGAAAAAAGCTAGTGGTGTTCAAAACAAAATATGATATTAGTTCTATTAAGTCGGTGACTTATGATTTGAGGAATTATTATGTGTTAACTACCCGGTTCGCTCTATAACCGCGATCAATAGTTGGAGACGTTAGGTAACATCCTCCAGAATCAATTACAGCAGCGTAGATCCATCTACTTATTATCTTCATCCGGAAGCAAGTTCTGATACTTTCCTGTTTTATAATACTCTCAAGATAATTAGGCGATAAACTGTACAGAGATTTGATTTTTGATGAATATTCTCAATAGTAAACGGACGTTTATGAGAAATTTGACCCCATTTAATTCTACTTGTGAATAAGAAAATGAATCTTTAAAATAATGATCAATTTCTGATAAAAATTTCATGCTATGTGGTATGGAAATTAGACCTGCGTGAAATATTTCAGAGGAGACTATGGATATTCCACAACGACAATAGTAAACTACCACATTATTTACGAGAATGATGATGTAAGTTGAAATAAAATATGGTTTGTCAATAGAAAAAATAAACCATATGTCTACAGGTAACTAATGTATTGCTCTAAATATTAGACTATGAGATTCAGCTTCTGATAAGATCTTAAGTTTAATTTATTCCCCAAGTGTTGCGCTTGACTGTAATGTGGATAAAAGGTATGCAGCTAACTTCCTTTTTTCAGACTAGTTGTCCAAACAGGTTCTCTCATTATATTCTAAGTAGGGGTGAATGCGATGAGGATGATCATACTCCTGTAACCTATTGCTCACAAACAAAAATCTATCAGGAAATGAGTTCTAACATAATTAATTAACAATAGTCTGGGTACAGACAACCGCTTCTTCTTCATTTTATTAAAATTACATGTATTACGCAATAAGTAATATAAAATCAAATACCAATAGAATGGTCAAATTTGTTTTCAAAAAGATGATCTTAATCAAAGTTTATTTATTAAGAATTTTCTGTTGAATTATGTAGAATAAATTCAAAAGATCTGAAATTACCTTGTGGACAATCACCTAGTACTGATAAGGCTTGGAAACGATTAGAACAACAGACATAACGGACACGTATTCGGCGATCAGGATTGATAGAGTAATAAACTGTCCTAAATTTATGGAGAAATGTAAATATTTAAGATATTTTTAGTAATATATCAAATAGTTTATTGCAAATTAATGCTTGAACTTGTTAATATTTTGATCGTAAATGTCTTTTTTCAATGAAGTCAATGAGACATTTATAACGTTAGAATTATTGAAACAAGGATAAAAGCAATACCTATAGAAATGTTAGTCTATAAGTAGACCGTTCTTTTTCATTATTTTAATATCAGTTTGAAGAACATTGATCAAAGAAGATAAAGGGACAGATTACTTAGTTAAGAGGCCCAAAATCACAGTTGGCTGTATTCCATATTTTCTCTTATGTACCAGAAATTCTCTGGTTTCATACATTCTTCCTGCCTTTTTTCATACTATTGGTCCATTTTAGCTTTTGTCAGTGCTATTGTTTTCACTTTTTTTCTGGTATCTCAAACTGGCACGTAATTCGACATCATCCTAGAGCGCTTATGGCTGTTTTCAACAAGATTATGAAAATTCATTGATTGTTAATAACACGAAATGTTTGGTGAAACAGGGCAAAAACTATTCGTTCCATAAATGAAGTGGTTATATTGTACAGATTGAGGAGGAAGAACCTTGCAATCTAGAAACAAATAGAAATGCTAGTACTTAATTAGCGCTTTATTTTACCTCAAAACACAACCTAGAATAATTTCTAAAAAGTCAAGGAAGTGAATAGAGATTTTTCAAAAAGCGCCATAGAAAAATCCAACAGGATAACGTATAATTTCTATTCTGAACCATATATGAAGTTTAAAGTCACTAAGTTTTATGGTCTCTAAGACTCCAGCTGGAGAATGGTTATGCACTAACAAATCTTGTTTCTTCATGCCACATGAGGCAAAATTAAATGACACGCTTATCTTAGGAAAATTTATATCAGACTTCATGTTTGGCGGCAACTTGTGAAAACTAACTATTTACGAACTGAGACCTATTGGACAATATATAATTATCAAACTTCCATAGATGGTTTCCTTGCATCCATCAGCTCAGCTCAGGCGTCGACCATCCACTTTTAAACCTTTCAGAATAGTAAAAGCACCTTTCCCACTTGATAGGAGTGAGTAGGACTTACCTATCATAGACGATTAATTTAGCCTATGGAATAAATTTTTGTAAAATTACTTAATTGATAAATAGCATTCTTAAAAGTAATTTAGTTCACTCCACTTATTATAAAAACTTAATCGATTACTTTGTAGCGTCTGTCCACAATAATGTTCCTTTATACTGTGTCATACCAAACGATGGTTCTTCAGAAGGACTAAATTCTCTTATCTTTTCATTGGTTAATATCTCTCTTCCCGTTTGACCTAATCGTGCACAATGTAATTCAGTTACTAATCCAAACATTCCTTTAGAAGATCTTTGCATCCAGCATAATTTTCCAGCGGAATTACCATTAACTGGCGTTGCAGGTGATATACTAATTGCCAGTGGTTCACCAGTTAATTGTAATAATTGCTCCTCATTTTCACCAGACATTGAAGCAACTTGAATTGTACCATTCGGTCTCCAACCGTCTGTGTATATTGCCCAGTACATTAGACTGATTGTAGTAGTAAAAATAAATAAGCAAGTAAATACGTCTCACGAAAACGAATAGTTTGGAAATTCAATGTATAAAAGGCATTGAAATTTAAGCATATGAGGGATTTTTTCCTTATTTTACTTAATTGTAACATTCTTACTTAAGCACAATGTAAACCGGTGAGTATTATCCATACCAATAGTTGTGTTGGCAGGTAGAATTATAATCTATCACACAATTAATATGATGCGTAATCGTGTATCTGAACGGATAGATAGATTTGATTTTAAGTGGGAGTATGCTAACGCTGGAGTAATTTTATAATAATAATATTCTTATACTCAAGACTAGTGTTTCAAACCATTGTCATTTCGTTTAAATATTCGGTAGCTTGAAGCTAGTTACACTAAACTTGAAGGTAACATAATAAATAATGGAATGCATCGAGAGTTGAGTATAGCGAATCATATTTAGAGCCATTAACAGAAACTCCAGATACAAGACAATTAAAGGGTTATAATTAAAACGTTCCGAATAGAAAGTTCGACACTATTAAAGTACTCACGTTAGCTCCAAAGTTATCTAATCTTTTAGGAAACGGAACGTATGTAAATATGTATAATACTTACATCTCTAATATTACTGTGTATAAATCCATCAATATTCTTTTTACTTACCCTAATGTGGAATGCAAAGCTAGTCCAGCGAAATTCTGTTGTTCAGAGGAAGTTAAGCTATGTAAACTTTCAAGTGTATAATGAATATTTGGTTTATTTGGATTGAATACCATAATTTTCCCAAAGGCCTCTTCCCAGGCAAATACATTTCCAGATAATGAATCTACCGCCAAATTACGAAATCGGTTAAATTGAGAAGTGTATATTTCTTTTGTCACCAACTTATTTTGTCCAGAGTTTGAATTACCCCATCGGATAGTATGACCATAATCAGATGTATATATAATTCGTTGACTATTACAATCGCCAACCATGGAGACACGTCCATACTTGTTATTTTCAGCTGCATAGAACAATATAAACAGAAGTTACCGCTTACAGTTAACATAAAGATTAACTTGAAAAAAATCTGAAAAGTATGTGCATATGGATAAAGTAGGTTAAACTGAAAATGATGCATCTGGAGACTCTTATAATGATAAATTATGGCATTGGTAATTATTTTATAGTAAATTACTTGTTACGGAACTGACATTTAAATACTCTTGTTTTAAAATATCTTGATAAATTAGATTTAAATTACTTAATACTAACTCTCTTTTGTATCACCTGATTAATCCAGGAAGCTGAGATCGGAGATTTGTGGAAAGAGATCAATTTGAAGTTAGTTTTCACCACAGATTAACATCAAACGATTAATCATGTAAAACCAAGGTTTGGTTCCTGAATATTTTTGCACCTTAATTTTGAACTGTTTAGCATTACACATCCGGGATCAAATCTGATACCTTCAGTTATCTAGTTGAGGACGACACATATAAATTTCTAGTTCGGATTTCAGTAGTCCACTCTCAAAATTCGGTTAAACTTCCACATTATGTGACAATATTTCAGTGTTGTCGATAACCTCGTCGAACTGCGACGATCACCGTCTAATACTAGAACTTCAGGAATCTATTCTGAAGTCAGTCGCTATACAGTACATGATTATTTTTAGGTTTATTTAAATCGAAGTTTTTTGAGAAATTTTATATTAGAACAAAACAACTCTCTAACACCCCAAGATTTTCAAAGTTCTTCAATAGATTTCAAACTGTAATAAAATTAATTTCAAAAATTAGTTAGTATACTTTTGAAACATTATGGAATGTGTAGAATTATGAAGCATAATATCTACTAAAATTATATTAAAGACTATTTCATTTGCTAAATAGTCAAGAATCTTATAAGTATTTTGAAGTGAAAACTGAATTATTGGTAAGAAATTTTCGGCTCATGATCAAAAACTGAACTTTTGAAGAAACACCATGCACTTTACGATAACTTGCCTTTAATTCACTTTCAAAGATTATAGTTTTTAATAGTCTCAAATGTTTTTAATCTCTTCTCGATTTCTGTTGATTCATTTTATAGAATATTTTGTTCCTTTCCAGGTAAGGAAATATCTAGAGTAGTTTGAGAATTGCTAAATTCAGTAAGGAAGTTCGTTTCTTCGTTAAAAAACACCTAAATATTAAATCCGGTTGATTGCTTTTCAAATATTATGGCTAGATTTTCAGTTTCATTACAGTTCAATAATTAGAAATGGTTATGTGAAAGGGTTTGGATATACTGCATGACGGATTCCAAAGTTTCATTTCTATATTAGCCAAATGATCAAAATCAATCGAACATCCTGAGATGGTACTAGTTTTTCTTCTCTATAGAACTAAACCAGTAAATATTCAGAAATAGGTTTAGAAGCTTTGAAATGAAACTTATTTGTCAGGTTAGTGTAGTACGTAAATGTAACCGTAAAGCTTCAAAAACTATTTCGTTGTATTAGAAAGAATTATTATGCAATTGGAATTTAATTAGAAATAAAACTAAGGTCTAATCAGTTTTGTAGGATATGAGTAGCTCAAAATTAGAAGTCCAGTGTAATTAAAAAGTTCATTTGGTAGCAGCTGCGTTCTATCAATTAAGTGTAGTTTTATAGAACTTGAGATAGAGCGCACTGAATTTTTATATTAAGCAGTTTACGGCAGTCACCACTTAGAACTGATATGGATATTATAAGTGATAGTTATAATTCCATCACAACTATTGTCTAAATAAACGCCATATTAGTTGTTGTGTATGCTACATATTTCTGTCGCTATAAGTAGTATGTAGACCTAATAGGAAGTGGAAAACCTGACAGCAGAAGGCTAAAAAGACTGAGTTCAGGAGAATAGAAGCAAAAAAAGAAAAGAATTGTGGACTTGAAGAATCGTAAAGAAAGTGAATGACAAGTGATGGAGATTCACAAATGAAGTATTCAATGTATGATTCGCATATTTTACCAAGAGATTCTGTATTCCAGTAGAATCGGTTATCACCCCATGTATTCCTGTTAGCAACATTACCTATTATTCTGTGACCAGTTGCAGTTCGAATATTTCGCTTACAGCATCACCGACTAATATACTAGATGAAGAGGATTGAATCCTATAGGAAACGTCAACTCCTTCAAGAATAGAGATCACACCTTTGATGACAAATGCCTGCTTCCATAAAACTAGGTTCAGTACCTTTTGTCATTCGCTTTCAACCATATAATATTCGACTTTTTCAAGTAATAATATCTTATTGTTGACATGGAATAAATAAATATCATTCCATGTACGTGGCAATGAAGATGTGCAATGTTGCATCTTAAATCGGGGAAATCATTACAAACTTCTTAAACTGTTAGTCACATAATACCTCAAGACGAATATCATACTGGTCATATCAACTGATCCTTGAAAACGATCAAATATACAAATGAGTATATCACATAAACCATAACATGTCATGCAGATAAATAATAACATAGCATGATTCTCATTATATCACTTACCAATATTCCATAGAGTAGCTTTGGTTACATTTGAATCGGTAGATTGTGTCATTAGAATCCCATCATCACTTGTAAGTAGCACAGTGAATGGAACTTAAAAATCAAATTGATCAAAAGTTTTAGGATTATATTTTTCTTCAGTATAACAGTTTGAAAGATTGCTAAAAAGCTAAAGATGAATAACTACTTAAGAACATTTTTAGTGCCAATGTTTACCATTTCTATCACGTATTTGTTTTATAATAGCCAACAGATTTCAATGGAATATTCTATTATTTAGGAATTATTTAGACATGCTACTCAATTTTGATCAGGGCTCTATTCATTTTAATGACCATGTTTTGATGAAATGAAATGATTGATAGTCATGACTTTAGTAAGATGATTTGATGTGATGAATGCAAACCGAATGATCGTGAATTTTTCACGGCAAAACTGGTATCTTAAGAAAGACAGTTCATTACAGACAGAGAGTAGGACTTAGAGTAGGAAAACTCATGATAAATTGGAATCCCAGGTTCTATAAATTTGATTATATAGGCCTTTATCTTTCATGTTACAAAACACAATATAAACAATTTATAAAAACTTTCATATAAATTTGAGAGAAAAGTTTTATAGTAGTTGGGCCGTGACATTGAGGAGGAAAATTATATTCGTAAAAATCATAGCCATACATTTGATTTCAATGGTACAAGAATCCTTCATATTTCATACAAAGTGAGATTAACAACTGAAGCCTTACACTTATGGGTAAATTCAAACAATTTTAATGAGAAAGATAGAATACAATTAACTTTCTCATGGCAACTAATAATTTATAAGTAAACCTGAACTTAATTTTACTAACTTAAATCCATCTTTTATTACGTGGACAGCAATCATTACTTTCACTTGTTTTAATCAGTGCGTTTATCTGAACAATCAGCTTGGTCAAGATGTTTGTTTATTTATCCTCATTTTATGCATGCTGTGACACGTTTGATTAATATCATTTAGTAAATTCTCATAGTTGAAAACATGAGTCAATTGAAGCTAGACCACCAAGGAAAACCTGGAAGCACTGAACGGCCGTTTCGTCCTAGCTTCGGTCTAGCTTCAACTGACTCATGCTTTGAACTATGAAGGTACTAAATCTCCACAAAACCCCTTCTGATTTATTAAATTGTTTATTTTCATCAAATAAATTTTTCTTGCATTTGATCTACATGAATATACATAAAACAATTATCATAACACGATTTTTTCACTTTCCATACCAAATGTCTCATACGCACTGTAACGAATCATATTTTCAACGTTGTTAACCTACGTGGACCTTTGAACTAAATACTTAAGTTTGATCATGCTGATGTTTGACTATTTTTCCTTGAAAAACCTTGGATCAAATTACTAAAAAAACTCAGTATTTCTAAAACTGAATTCATTTAGCCAGAAATACTAAATTATTTCAAAGTTAAATTTACAAACATACTTGCTGATTCTTCCACATTTACATCTATGAAAGCAGCAACATTCCCTGCACGGCACTCATACCTTCCACTATCAGTTATTGTAGGTTGATTTATGAGCAGAGAAATTTCATAGCCGTCTTGTTGTCTAGTTTTAGTCATTATTGGTTCTTGAGCAGAATGTGGTTTAATCCACTGGCCAGAATATGACTGATCGCTCCCAGTCACGAAACATCTTAATTCAAGTGGATGAGATATATCTGTAATATGCATTACTTCTCCCTCTCCCATTATTCGAACTTTTATAGAATCTGGAAGAAACAGATACATAAATTTATCATATTCAATAACAACGTCATTTTTCAAGATGATTGTCATTAATGATTTCATGCAAGAAAAATAGTAGGCAATAAAATCTAGGTCTCTCTCTTCACAAAACTATCATTTATGAATAAAGAGGTCAAGAAAGATATTTCTTGGAAAATTAATACATTGATGACCGAACTTACCTTGTCTAACTGGAATTCGTTCACAAAATGTTTGTCCATCTCCACGATAACCAGATGGACAAATGCATCTTTCGTTTTCACGATCACAAATTGCACTCGAATGACACAGCTTACAATTCCAGTAGCAACCTCTCTCTCCATCTCCATCATAACCTGATCGACATTTACACGTCCCAGTATATCGATCACATTCCGCATTTCGTGTCCTACAGCCTCCACCGCATGTAGGATCAATGGTATGTGATGATGTGGCATCTTCTCTACCTACACTTTCAGGCTTGCAAACAGATACTCCATCTCCAGTGAAACCAGCTTTACAATGACACGAATAAGCGCCATTAAATCTTTCATCCGGTCGACAGACAGCATCCTGATGACAATTATCTTGCACACATTCCATACAGACACCTGGCTGGACTTCAATAAATCCACGAGCACAAATACATCGTCCACCAACACACTGTGCTAGTTCTTTAAAAGGTATACCATTGCAATTACCACAATCTGCTGAAGTTGCTATATTTAAATAGTGATATAAAGAAGCACAATATCGTCAAATATGTACATCTGCATACATATGATAGATAATTTTCGTTGGTCTTAAAGTATTATCGACAACAAAGCTGACAAACAACTCATTGTAAACTATCGACAAATCTCCTTAAAAGCACTAACAAATTATTCGTTTCGTAAACGTAAACCTGGTACTGAATAGAGAAAATTCGAGCTTCCTAGCCGCTGAGATACCGCTCCCTAAATAAACCAACTTAGAAATGATAAATTCCCTCGAAAAACGAAACACGTATTATCAAAACTATTTTCGTTGTTGCGCTCGTACATCAATCCCTTAATTTGTACATCGTAAGTATAAATGTTTGTTTTTCGTTACTTCCTCAGTTAAACAGTAATGAACTTATCTTATTACTTCTTTCATCTGGGTAGGTTTGCTAGCTATTTTTGTTCAAGATGGCTAAAATTATTTTTTGTTGTTCAAGATTTTACGGTTACATTTTTATTTGATAAGATGAGATAACGTATATCCTACAAGTCCAAAGCCGTAGTTTTTTTACTCTTTTAAACCAACCAAAAATACTTATAATTAAAGCAAAATGTTGACGGCTTTCTGAAGTTGAACTCAAACATGCACCTCAAAAATGTTTTCACCAATGAATGTTGTCACTTATAATATTTAGATTATGCTTGTCTAATCAGTATAATTAAGCATTAATATTAAGTGGATTAAAAGTGATAGTCATTCGATTATTTGTCTGATAGTTGGAGAACTATTCCAACTTTTAAGAAGTTTCAAATCGTATTTCGACTTGGACAACCAAGACGTTTCCAGTCAACTTGCTATTAATTACTTTCCACAATGTAAGTAACAAATTTGAAGACTTGAATAAAGTTTGGCTTCAGTTGTCAGTCAATTCATTAAGGTAAGCTTTCAAAACATTTGATTATCATTCCGAGAGTTATCAGTTTAAATTCAGTTACGTCAAGCTTTTTGTCAATTAAATTTATTTTTGGCTTTTTGTATTCTGACTGTTACACTATTATTACTCTTCACTATCATGTAGTAAGTCATATTTGCTCCTACTTTTGTGTGACATAAAATATTTACTCTCGAATTAAATTTTGAAAGAGTAAATTTCCTTTTTCTTGCTCATAACTTTAAGCTTATATATTCAAAAATCTCGCAACCTTGTTTCTGACAAGTTTTATATGATTTATGTTAGTCGAGTCCAAAATACAAACTCTAGGAGATCTTTTTGATATGGTGTTGAATTTAAAGTGGTTGGATAGGTTACTAGCTAAAAAAAAGCCTCATTTCACAGAAGAGAGTTTGTAAGGGAATTTACACTTTTGGGGAAAAGGTAACCAAATGGCTACAAACATAGAATATTTGTAATTTCGCGACACAATCAATGAAAGGCGGTATCGCCAGGGGGTGGTAAAATAATATCGAAATGTGGAAGGTTACAGCAATTAATTATTTCTGTGACAGCCTCAACAGGTTGTAATATTGGTTTGGATCAATCACAGCAGTTTCAACTTCAACTGTTTTGTAACTTTATTTGAAATATCATGAGGGATTATCTTTTTCCAAATAAACAGACATTTTAACTGTTAGTGTATTACTACTAGTGGTTCAACAACAAAATACATAAGATTATATTTACCTCCAGGTATTATATTGCACATCTGGTAGCCATCTCCTTCATATCCATCCAAACAGCGGCATCGACCTTCAACACATCTAGCGAACTGATGGCATTGTTCTGCCCGACATAGATCTGAAGTCAATATTTTACAAAAGCAATTATACTGAGTATGCATGGAGATATATTTGACTTCATCTAGGGGTAAGCATATCATGCTATTTTTCAACAAGTACTGAGCATAAAACACACAAATGCTTAGGGAAGTATATGAAAACATTTTATTGTACCAGGCAGTTGATTCTCATATGAATATAAAATGGTTTTATATGGTTTATATATATATATATATGTTTTAAAAAAGTTTTATCTTTTATTAGTAACTCATTCCAAAAGGTGTTTGACTATGTCTAGTATGTTAGGTCTGTTTGTTTTAATGATGTTATTAAGCGTGTTATAATGCCAGTAAAGATTGCAAGATAACTATCTTAATAAAAATAAACATGCTTTAAGTCAAGTATTTGAAGTCCGTCGGTCTCACTGGGATAGGAACTGTGCTTACCACTTTGTATAGGCTGACAATTCCAATAGCCATCACCTTTATAACCATTTTTACAGCGGCAAAACCCATACTCACACTGAGCTTGTGGATGACAGTGAATACGTGCACATGGATCTATATTAAGGTTTTATAGAATTGGCTAATATAAGACATGGTTATGCAAAAAACGCTTTTAAAAACTCTTCATTTATGTATATCCTGAATCTCCAGCTCGGTATGTATAAATCGATTACTTGATGCTCGAAATTCAGTTATAATTTTTTTTAAATACAAATCTATCACAGTGTTTCACATACATTCTTGATGAGACATATTGAAAGATAAGTTATGTTAAGATTCTTGGATATTCTACAAAATGTACTATGTTGTATATGTACTTATTCGATGGTGTCTTTAGCATTTTTTAGAATGATAAAAATCTCATAAACCTGGAATGCTCTTGTCCTGTTAGTTTGTTGATCCCAGTGACAGGCCATAGTTTTAGCCTCACAACTTTTTAACATATACAACATAATGGTATTTATCGTTAAATCTTATTGCAACTGTACTTTTGCACCTAAAAGCAAGCTATTGTAACACCATTTAGTTGTTTTGTTAATGACTTCCATGATTACTTGACCTATAGTTTGTACTGTTAGAACAAAGATAAAAACTCGAATAATACAATGACGGCACGAAGTTTATCTTAATTATCTTATATATTATCTCAAAATAATTTTAAAAATCTGAGCACATCTTGTTGGGATATTTATATGTGGGAAGCAAAGGTCACTGTAGAAAAATTTGAGGGTAGGAGAAAAAATAAGGAAATACATAATAAATTATATCATTATGAATATTAAATTAATATTACCAGGTTAGCTTCAATGTAAGTACCAATATAAGGGGTCTAAACGTTTATATGGCTAAAGCCTCATTGAATTGAAATATTTACCTAAGATAAGTTTAAACAAGTCGTATGGTTGATCTTAACCCAGAATTTATGCACTCAAGTAAGGTTGGTGAAAAAATGAGAGTGGTGTTTGTCATCTGCTTTTATTGGGGTATTAAGCTTTATTTGTTTTTATCCACACACATTTAAGCTAGTAAAAGTAATGAAATATAACACGATCGTTTATATGCTGTTCTGGGTTTTAGTAAGGTATGAATATTTTAAAAAAAATTATAATGACCTTTGATTCACAGTGCCTTCTACTAATAACCACTTTAAGCCTTCGTTATGGCACGAAGCTATTTAATACCCCTCTGAGCAATAATATGAAACAGAATTATTTTTAGATCCCAAATGAAGAGTGGTTTTCAACATACTCATAGGTTTATGCTTTCTATTGGGTATCCGTTGTGCATCACATCGTTTAACAGCTTGACTGCATCCTCGATAGTATTATTATATAGACACAGAGAATGCTATCGAATATTCCCTTCATTACACCTCATTTTTATTGAATTGGATAATAACTTCGCTTTTTTCTTGCCTTATCTAAATTTATCATAGGGCCTAATTATTTTGAATCTAAAAACTTTGTTCAGATATTCTCTTATTATTGCAAATAAGAATCCAAAATATACAGGTTATTAGTGTAGGATATTTGCGGAGACTGTAGTATTTTCACTGTAGAGATCATGAATTGATCTGAGCTGGATCACTAGTGAAAACCTGGAAGCATTGAACAGTCGTTCATAGATTAACAAATAAAAATATTCTTATAAATAAATCCTCATCAGGTTCTTAAATTATTGGCAATGAACTTTTTTTAACGTGGCTATTCCCCTAATTTATAACAGAAGAACCTATTGAGAACTTATTGAAAAAAACATGCTGTACTTATTAGTGGAGAATATGGATTTCATCAAAGGAAATTTCAGTAACTTAGGTATAATATCTGATGAGCTATAAGTTTCTTGCCATGACTAGTTAGGTACTCGTTACATTTGGCTTGTTGGATAAATTTGCTTAACGTACACACGAGTTGCTGAAACGCTAAAAATAATTTATAGCCCAAGAAGATAGAAACTATATAACATTCTCTAAGTTATATTGATCAGCCGTTGACGTTCAATCATTCACCTAGATGACTTAATCGGCACGTAGTTTGAGAAGGAAAGAAATTTGAAAATGCATCACTTATTAAAGAAGTAAATATTGATGGAGTCACCTAACCTGGTGGTTAAAAAGCCTATCATCGAGTGCAAAAATAACAAACAAAAATCATAGATTTCGTTAGATATTTCAATAACATTACAATTAATTAGCTAGCAACACATAAAATGATGGATAAAAGGGTGCTAAATATTTAACAAAAAGCATGTGCTGTAAGCAAGTAGCACTTGTTAGTTAACAAAAAGAAATCTACACATTTACTTAAAGACAGGCAACACAGCGACTAACTAGAGCAAAATAACACAAAGTAAAATACATTTTTGATAGTACATTTATTAAATATTGAGCACAACACGAACAAAACCTGTCTATTTAACTACTTCCAAAGAAAGCGTGCACACATAAATATACACTGACACAATCAATTCCTCATGCTAACTTTCTAATTAAGTGAATACCTTGCCACATTTACTCACCTTTACTTTTACGTCTACACTCACTGTAGCCATCACCCTCAAAATCTTCTTTACAACGACAATACCCGTCGTCACATTTAGCATTTTCATGACACCGAACATTCGCACAGCGATCTGAAAATATTAACATTTCTCTCTTAAATTATTTAAAGTAGTACTGTACTGGTTGTTGCACAGTCGAGAAGCATACTGCATATCATACACCGCATGCATATTGATGCATATTGAAATAATTTAAAATATTTCCATGAATTAATTCATGTTGTATTTATGAATTTGGTTACAGCAGTTGACTAGAAATCCGTCACTAAATTATTACTGGGTTTAATTCAACGTTCCATTATGATTACTACCATTTTAAGCTTAATATAACACCTAAGTCAATTTGAAAGCTAATACAGGAGGTGTTTTCTTCATTTTATATTAGCTAGTACAGTCAAACTGTTTTTAAAGATGCGAGACCTGAAGTGTGATGACTTTTCTTTTCCAGAATTTTCTTCATGCATTGGTTAATTCTATGAGCAGATGTGAATAATTTTATTTAAATATTTGCACATGCAAACATTCATATCAAAAAGTACAGTAAGTAAGTAGTTTCGAAAAATGAACCTATCGGATGTTTACAGAATTATAGAAAACAGTAAAAATTGAAAGGGGAACGTTGCAGCAAGAAAACCTTCGACTTCTGGTGAACTATATATATATATATATAATTTCTTTGTTTAAAGTTTAGTAGGCAAAATAAATAGATTTACAAGGTATGCATCTAATAGGTAGAGAAATAGGGAGTAAACATTCATAAACAAAATGAAAAGTGATAAGTGGGTATTCAATAAAGAGATTGTATAAAACGAGATGAATATACGAGAAGTTCCTCAAAATCACGTCAAGAATTGTGACAGAGTACATTTTGTCTAAACATATAATAGCTGTTTAAAAATATGATCAACAATACTTTTGTTGGATAGAAACTACTTTCTTGCATTTCGAATAGTCACAGTGGTTTAGAAAATGTTCCTATCGGTTTGAAGCACCTCAAAGATCCTTTGGCTATTTTCGTTTTATTATCGAGATATGGACGTGTTTAGGTTTACGTTAATCTTTCGATATGCTAGTCAGTGAATTATGGGATGACAACTTTGTTAGAATATTTTAGGCTTTCGAAATCTGCAGCTAATTGTGACTACAGTATTTCCATAGTGACTTCAAAATTTTATTCTACTTTATTGAGCAGAATGATAATTTCTAGTCTTTATCCTAAAGTATTTTACGGAGATCCATACATAGATGATGTCGTAATTTACAAAAGAAAGGCAAATTACGATGATTTGATGCAATACACAAAAATGTATTGTACACGGGTAAAGTTCCCATAGTGACACGACAGTAACTCTGAGACCATATGAAGTGCAGTGAACGAGAAAATAGTGTGAACAACTTAATGCTAAATTAGAGAATCTATTAGTAAAAACTGAAAACCATACAGTAAATAATTCATTTGCAAAATATCTATCAGTCGTCTCAGACTTGATTGTTCCTTCATTTCCATACCAATCGCTCTCTGTTCTCGTTCCCTCCTCGTCGATCTTCTCAACCTTCTGCCGCCAGGCATTCCACTTTCGATTGGCGATACATACTACTTATATCCGTTGACATCAGTAGCACACACCACAACAGTATTTATATGAAGTTTTGAAATAAAGAATAATAAAGATGCAACGGAAGTGCTATAGTCAAGACAAACTTATATGGTAACTTTAAGACATGCATTATTCTACCTTGAGTGATTCGTTTACACTCGTAATATCCGTCTCCTTCGAAACCAGATGGACAGAAACAATAACCATCAGTACATTGAGCATCTGGATGACATCTCACTCGTGAGCACTTATCTACCAGTAATAATTTGAACAATTCGTAATGAAATATTAAGTGAAATGATAGAAATGTTGATTTATTTTAACATCGCAATGAACAGAATAATAAAGTTTCATCATTTCTCGACTTAGGGCAAAACGCTTCATTAAAGATTAAAAAAAACTATTTCATGTTGATCCAAGTTTAAATAATAAAAAGAACTATTTAGATCAAATATTGAGTACATGCATGCAAATCTGATCACAATAATGTAGTACCTTTCAGGTCAAAGATGATTCTAGGTGAAAGTTGTCTGTGTATTTGAGTCCATGTAGGTGACGTATAAATAAAAATGACCAAGTAATTTGATTAGTAATTGTTTGTGATATGATTTCGGACACGTTAAATAAAACTATATGATTAGATTCTCTAAATAGTTGGATAGTTAGTCCTTTTTGGTTGAAAATATTAAAGATTCAGAGAACACGAATTGATCCAGTTAGTTACCTTGTTTTATAGTTGTCGAAACCTTTTTAGATCATTTGCACATCTTAAATATAATTCTAATGGTTACTTACTGTGGCATACATTGCTGATGTATAGTTGATTTGTAGATTTTTAACATCGATAGGATTATTTAGTTATTTAAAGTAACTTTATTATACTCCTAAATAAGTTAAGACTTCACGAGAAGATTCTTCGGAAGAAAATTGCCGCATTTCAGTACGTTTTTATTTATTTTCTTAATAAGTGACATACGTTAGTCTACAAAGAGCCAAGAATTTAATGTCCTAGTGACCAGGATTTCATAAATACATATCTACTTTTAATGTTAAGAACTATATATTCAAATTTTTAATGAATCTGAAATTATTAAGTCAACCCTTAGTAACTTTACTTATGAGATATTAAACTTATTAACTTTGAGTTAATTAACAACTATTTAATTCTATTATTAATAATCTCCATTCATTCTTGTTGAAAACATTATGATAAACACTTTGTATTGTTTGTTTGAATCTTCCAAATTGATGTTTAGGACTGCAGCTGGTCAGTCTCTTATTGGTATGTGTGCATACTGTGCGTATTACCTCGATATAGCCTTAATTCACAAGCATTAAAAGCAAAGATGGATAGTGGCTAGCAGTGAAAACCAAGACGCGCGTTTCGTCTTATTTGGGAATCATCAGTTGGATGTATCTGCATCTCAGAGTGAACATCAACTCTGAGATTCTACTGCTAGCCATTATCCATCTTTGCTTATAATGCTTGTGAATTAAGGCTATATCGAGGTAATATGCACAGCATGCACATATGCCAATTAGAGACTGACCAGTTACAGTCCTAACACATCGATGGGAATATTCAAACAAACAATACTAAGTGAATTTAAACTTCAACCCATCGCACAAGCAAGTGGCTATCAGGATTCAGTGCTTGAGTGGATAACGCGATGGCGTTTGAATCGAACGGTACTGGGTTCGAGTCCCATAGTGAACATGAACTCTGAGATGCAGATACATCTAGCTGACGAGTCTCAACCAGGGTGGAACGGGTGTCCTGGATTCCACTGCTAGCCTTTGCTTATAATTATGATAAACACACTCAATAAACTAGAAATGTTTCTAAAAATAAGTATGTTACCTTTTATTAACAACATCTTTCAAATTTAAGTTGAAATACAGAAATAAAATATCACTTATTCCTCAAATTATCTTAGAGAGCAAATGAAAGTTCAGTTAAGAAAAGATAACTGTCAGCTAAGTTTCACTTATTACTTATGGATAAAGCAAAATAGATACAAATTTTTAAGAAAAATGTAGAACAATGACTTATTGATTTAAGTACTCAACCTTCAATGATCAGGTTACAGGTTCTAACCATTTCTCATATATCTTCTTTTAGGTAACTAGATAATATTACTAGCTAACAGTATAAAATATATCATCGAATGTTGGCTAGACTACAATACATCAATTTTATTTTATTTATAAAATATAGGTGAATGACAGTGCTACATAAGTTCTTTTTATGTATAATAAACATATTTTTTTAAAAGTAATCATTTGACCAATAACATGCACCTTAAATCTGTTGGTCTAACTTTATCATACTCACTGATACTGACCCATAGTGATCTTTTTATCCATTTTGTCAATTCAAATACATAACTTCCATAACTGGACTTAATGATCAATAGAAAGTGTAGCTAATAAAGATAGACAAAGTATAATACTGATATTCATTATATAAGTATATCAACAGTAATACTTTTTCTTATATTTTCATTGTTACTAACCTTAAAATAAAACAAATAACATTATAATTTACTGGATAGAAAATCATTCGAAAAAATTTAAAACGATGACGGAGTTATTTTGAGAAAAAAAGGAAAGAATCCTACCCTCTGTAACTGGTCGACAATCTGAATAACCATCACCATCATAACCAGTAACACAACGACATTGTCCTCTATCACATGTAGCATATTGATGACATTGTACATTACCACATAAATTCACTATAAAACCAATAAAATTTAAAAATTTAAAAATAACTAAAATAAAAGTGTAAATATTCATTTAACTCACTGTAATCAACATAAATCATACTGAACTTGAATAAAAAATCTGTAAGAGTCTAAATTGCTTGTCCGTAATTCTTTTCAAAAGTTACAGGTTGATTTTTTTTCATTTTACTCGTTACTTGGCTTAATCACTCAGATTTAAAATTTTTTATATCAGAAGAGGGTTTGTGGAGATTTTAGTAATTTTTAGAGTTGAAATCATGAATCAATTGAAGCTAGATCACCATGGAAAACTTGAAAGCACTAAACGGCCGTTTCGTTCTATTGTAGGACTCTTCAGCAGTGCGCATCCACGATCCCGCCTCACGAGATTCAAACCCAGGACTTAACAGTCTCGCGCGCGAGCGCCTAACCACTAGATTAATGAGCAGGCATCCAACTGTAATAATGTCTAACTTCAACCAATCGACGACATTGAGCATGTTTTAAAGAAAATTGGTGAAAAATGTTCTTTGAAGTAGTACTACTTTTTTTCAAAGGGACGAAATCTAATTAATCTAAAAGCTTTTATGATCGTTTAAAGGCAATAGTTCATTAGTAATGAATAGATTACTCATTTTTATAATACAAAATGTCATAACTATGTAATGGTTTGAATTTATAAACTACTGTGAATGATGGCTTTATAATATACTTGTGCACTGTCATGATTAATAAATCAACATTATGATGTAATAGTGACCGATAATTATGGTTTTCTTTCCTGACTGAAGGTTTGAAAATATGGGAACTGTAATAGTATATCAAGTGTAGGAAAATATGTTATCGGAGATTAGGAATTTATTGTTGGTGACCAATAAGGATGAAACGATATGAAGTAAATACTAGGGAATGAAAATTATGAATAATGATAATAATAAAATAATGTGGGCTTTTTATTGGTGATATTCATTTTAATTTCAAGTTTTAGATTCAAATCTGTCGATCTGGAAAATGTATGATTTTCATCATTTGAAAAATGATCCATCATAACTGTTCATAAAAAATAGATTTTAATTGATCACATACAAAAGCCATTTAGATTTGTTTAAAATGAAAACTAAAATCTATCAAGTAGGCGAATTACTTAAATTTCCTTACAACCACAAAATGAAGGAATGTTTACATGCAACTGGTTTTGTGTACCTATTTTATAATTGCATTCAATTGATACTGAGCATATCGATAACATTTCCTAATCCTTCATAACTATCAGCAAAGAGGAAAACTCGACGACTTTCCGGTTTCCCGAAGCAGTAGCAACTGAAAAGCTCGAACCTGGTTCACATGTCCAGGAAGAGACAGTAGTCAATTTGTTAACTGTTTTTGTGGTTTTATCAGTGTTTACTTTATTATTTAATATTTTTTTAAACTAATCGTTATTTCAGATGCGCCGAAACCATCGTTACATTCATCAGTTTTTTTCATTCGCTCAATTCTTTAGACTTAGATAAACTCTTTAAATCTTTTGTACCTATTACGTAACCACTTAATTTCAAATTCTCGACAATTATCATCTGATTTCCCTGAACCTTCTGTATATATTTTCAAGCCATATGAAACTTATGCATACTCTTTGCAACTTATATAATTATCATACGATCCATCTTATGAGCTTTTGGTCTTTAGTTAATTATTGCTCTTATGCTTTTGAATTTGATCTCAAAATGACTTCACATCTATTCATGAATGGATATTAATTGTTCTTGTTGTTAATCTTTGTTATTCTAGTTCATTCCGTCATTAATGTCGATTACTTCATATTGTATCATATCTCAGTGTCAAACTTTATGATGATAAGCAGCTGATGTGAAACCGCGAAATATAATGAATTCAAATTATTCTGCATCAGTTGTTGGTTCGGCTTTATTCATATTCGTAAACGGAACCAATTACATGACATAACTGTAAATTCCAAGAACACCGAAGAATCATAATAAATTTCAGTTTGGTAAATTTAGATAACCTTCATAATTTATCGTGAGTACCTAATGACTAATAAAAGGAAACATTCTACTAGAAATAATTGCAGTGACTGAAATTTAAATAATTCTGCAGTTTCGTCCTGCAAACTAGTTGAAGCTTCTTCTTGGAAATAATCGAAATTAAAATCCCTAAAGATATATAATGTTAAAAATAAGAATATATTGTACAACTGATCAATCGTGTTCAGTAAGGTTTATATCATGTACAGTAAGAATATGAGTTACCCGATATGAAGTATGTTCGAAATGTAATACGGTCTTGTTATGAATGATCATTTACATTGATCAATGTGTTTAGATTTATATATACAATTAAAGAGGAGATATTAAAATTATTAATTAATCCGAGACAAGTTTTCACCTTAAGGTTATTCGAAAATCACAACTACACTTTAAATATGAATTCATATACATAAATTGTTTGATTCATTATTTATTTTTTCCTGTTTTGTAAATAAAATTCTTTGGTCAAATGTTTATGTTTTAAATAGAATAAAAATTGCCAAAAATGTTCGAATCTCGTGAATGCGAGATCGTGGATGCGCATTGCTGAGGAGTCCCATAATAGAACGAAACGGCCGTCCAATGCCTCCAGGTTTTCCATGGTAGTCTAGCTTCAATTGACTCATGAGTTCAACTATGTTTTAAACAAACAGACATTGTAGTTAACTATGAAATATTTTATAAAGTTGCATACCTAACTGATTAGAATTTACTTACCACCCTCAGATTCTCGACATTCATTGTAACCATCTCCTGTATAACCAGGATCACATACACATCGACCATCCTGGCAACGTCCATTAGCGGCACAACGGATGCCATCACATGGATCTAGAACAAACATTTAAAAGATAGATGTATTGAGTCGAATGTATATTTACTAGCGTTTTCTAGTAAATACTTCATCTATATCATAAATATCATATTTATATGCAAGCAAAAATACCGTAACTAGAAATACTGACCAAATGAATGGTTGTAAAGGAACTGAGCGTTTGGAATTTTCTGGTCATTATAGGATATTAAACATCCCAATGCTTGTACGAATATTCGTCAAGTTTAGATCGAATAGCTTGACGAAAATTGGACGCCGGGTACAGAGAAGTCATTATACGTGAAAATTACATTTGAAATAATCTCGGCGATTAAAATTTAAATAATTCCAACGTTTCGTCTAGCTAACTTGTCTGCACTTCTTCAGAGTAATAAACAAAATCAATCATATCAAACCTATACTATATTAAACCAATCATATTTGGATGTTGAACGTTTGTAAACAGAATAATATGAGTCAGTTAAATAAGAATCAGGTGAAAAGTTCACGATGTGAAATAAAAAAAGACTGGATAGATTATGTGTGTATGTATGTGTAAGAATGAGTTATTAATGAATGATATTCTGTGTTGATATGTTTCTATATGAAGTAAAAATAAAAATAAAAGTGCAAATTGAAGGTTGAAAAATTGTTGCTGAATCATTGAATTACAAGTGAAAATGAGAATCATCAAGTACATAATTGTAATGCCAAACATAACTCATATTGATTTCAGTCAAAATAACGATGCACGTGAAATAAACAGGTTGAATAAAGAATGAAAAGGTCCAATTACTTGTTAACGAATATTTGCCAAATGGTTGCTAGCTGAATACCATCCTTTCTGTTTAGGCTGCTCTTATTCGCCCATATATACAGCGCTTCTGCTGCCAATCTTTCTTTATTAGTGTCGAAACCTTTCTAAAGTATTTTGGCCCCTTCAAAATTAATCATGTGTTCCGTTTCTAACGCATGTAACGCTATCTCAAGTTTCCTTATGTCAACCGAAGTTTTGGGAACATTTTTCAAACACTGTTTGTGTCCCTTCAACCTTACATTCAATGGTCTAGATGTTTCTCTCACATAAAATGCATTGCAATCATGAAAATTGATCTCATAGACAATATTTTGTTGTTCTTCCTTTGGTAACCTATCCTTAACTTTCACCAATGCCGATCTTATAGTGTCACACATCCGAAAATACACTCTTATATCAAGCTTGTTTAGAATCCGCTTGATTTCTTCCGATGTTTCACTACGGTATGGGGTGACTACAATAGACTTCCAATCCTTTTGAATACGTTCTAGTTTATTTTTTTCTTTCGTTTCCAACAATCTTCTTTAAAAACTCCTTAAGGTAGTTGTTATCCCTAGTGGTAGACAAAATCCTGTTCAATTCAGATTGTTGGTCTTTCTTATCTGTAACAAGCTTAAGATTTCTGCCAATTAAATTTTTTTAACAACCGTGACTTTCGTACATAATGCATCAGCCGAAACCAAAATCTAAGTATCTCTCTGAATGTGTTGATTTCTTGAAAACATTTATTTTCAACTTACTTTTATTATGTCTTCGCTCAACCAAGTAATCGAGAAATGCTAGTTTGTAGTCAACGAACTCTCTTTTCTTCGTTAGTTTAATTCTCTCTGAAATGTTGTCCACATTTTCAAACAATTCTTCTGAACAATCATGTTTAATGATAACAAAAATGTCACCTACATACCGTATCCAGACCTTTGGTGGATATACACTTCTTGCGATTACACTAGTTTCTAGGGAATGCACGAATAAATTCGCTACAATCGAAGAAACTGGTGAACCCATAACTATACCTTCTTCTTGTCAGTAAAGATCTCGAAATATGAATAAGTTGGACCTTGGATTATTTTCAAACAATAATAAAAAGTAATTTGATTTACGAAAGCATATTCTTCTCCTTAAATATCCGTGAAGAGAAATATGTTAAACTAAATGACATATAAAAATGAGTGTTTTCATATACTATTAATTCGGTTTGTTTTGGATGTCAAATAAATCCATGTTTATCATTTTCGTAATCTTGCTTGAGTCGAACTGTTTAAGATTTCTTGTTAGAGTTCCAAGTTATTCTCCGTTATAACATTCAGTAATAGTTATGAAACACAAAATTTAAACAGCTTTACTTGCAGTATTTTTGAGAATTTTCAGCTTGAAAGCACAAAATACATTTCATGAGATTTGCTAACCTAAATGAAATCAAGGTTAACTGAACTTGAGTTCATTTATAACTGATATCTAAATACTATCAAACAATATATCAAATTATTTCAAATGTACAAATATTCAATCATAAAAACTGTCATAATAAAGTATATCAAATCAAATTAAAACCTACCGTTTGCACGTGCGTCACAAAAGTTAACCCCATCCCCGACATATCCATGACTGCAGTAGCATCGATTTTCATAACATTGACCGAAACGATGACACTGAACACCAGCGCATAACTCTGTAATATTTAAGATTGATATTCAAAATAATTATTTGTTCTGCATAGAAATTCAATAAGTTTTTTTTTGGAATTATGACAAACTGTAAGTTAGAAAAGTTGTTAAGTAAAAATATAAGTAGTATGATGTAAATATAGTTTGTTTTTCTTCAGAAGAACCATGCGTAAAGATCTATATGAATTGTATTATCGTATATTTACACCGTCATTAATATGTTTCCGTTAGTATGAAACGAATCTAGAAGCTAAATTGAAAGTATGGACTATGTTTATCAGTTGTAAGAAATTAAGGAAATCTACAGTAAATCTAGAATAAATTAAAATCTACAAGGAAAGTGGACATCATTTCTGAATTTACTAATCTAGAAATTAAAACCAAACACTATGAGAATAAAGCTCTGCTGAGGAGTCCCACAATAGGTTCCAGGTTTTCCATGATGGTCTAGCTTCAACTGACTAATGATCTCAACTATATAGAATTTTCAATGTGTTGAAAAGTTGTTTTCTTTAACATTAGCAAGGAAGTTTAGTTAAAATAGCGTTTTACTTTTAAAAGGGATTTATAGTGATACAATATATCATTTAAAGATCTCTATCATATTCAAAGACTAATAATATTTGAATAAATAATATTCTTTTTGATAAATCCAAATTAATAATCCTTTGTCCGACTACAAGGCTAATTAATCAATTGTAATCTTAGCTATTGACTATTGTACGTACGACCTTTCGTAGTCCAATGTAATTGTCTCTCTTACGTTTGTTCACAAATCTTTGTATTATTATTATTATTGGTTAAACCTCATTATTAATCTCCCCTATACATAATTCATTCACTACACATTCATCCCTCCTTACGTCTTATTAATTAGTCTTCTATTAAACATTTGACCGAATTGTGATTGCACTATTATATCTCTCACCCTATCTGAACCATATTTATTCTGATCATGGATCCTAAATTTTCACTTAACATATATACATTAACAATTTTATTCTATTTGGTTTTACAATCCTAAATTTACATGCTTTAAACGATGTACTTTGCCTTAAACCTGGCCATTTTTGCGGATTATTAATTTGGATAAAATATCAATCAAGATTAATCGTTTTGTTTATCCATTCTATCCTAAATGTTATAAAACTAGCTTCTATAGAAATCAAAGCTTTCATTATGCAACAAATGATGAATCTAATATTTATTATTTAATAATTTGATTTTAATATAAAATGAGTCACTAACTGATAAACGTCCATAAAAAAATATACATAAACAAAGAGAATTTAGGACAATTGTTTCTTCCCAATTATCAAATTAATAATAAACATTGTGTAAACTAGATTTTATGACGTTTCGTGACCCAGTGTAAGCCACTTCTTCAGAAAATAAATAACCGAATTAACATTAATTCAAGTTTAAATAGTACAACGGAACAACACGAATATTAGGTGCTATCAATCAAATATATTAATTTATTTATAACAATCTACCTAATGCTCAATCTATTCAAAATTATCAAATCAAAACTTGGTAATTATACCTACTGTGTAAACTGTTACTTCAGTGACAAAAAACATACAAAAATTTCCATCCTTAAAGACAATATTTAGAAAAATAACTATACTGTATGAAAGCATTACATTTCTAAGTAAAAAACAACAAGTGATAACCAATACGAATGTGTATGGTGATTAAATCTACACTATCAAATCAAGAATAAGTAAGTATGAAATGTAATGAGTAATTCATTTAGAAGAATGATTTTATATGACACTTGAATTTAATAATTTCGATAATAGAAAATTAACAATAAATTTTAATTCATTTTTGTATCCTCAGATGATGTAAGGAAACGTGAGAACAAGTCAGCGATAGCATTACACTCGATAGAATCGGGTCATACAATTGATTTCGATTGTACAAGAATCCTTCAAAAAGCTTTTAATTCTTACAAGAATAGACGAACAGCCGAATCCATATACATATGGGCTAATACACACAGTATTAATAGGACAGATGGAATACAATTAGCTGTGACATGGCAGCTAATTATTAATAAGTAAAAGACCAGAACTCCTTTTCGTTTTATCTGTCTCGTATTATCTAAGTGACAACAATTACTACTGAGGAGTCCCATAATAGGACGAAACGGCCGTCCAGTGTTTCCAGGTTTTCCATGGTGGTCTAGCTTCAATTGACTCACGCTTTCAATTATCAGAATTTGTTAAACAATTTAATTGGAACATTAAAATAACACAAATATTCAGTTTCAAATTACACTCTTCCTCTTCGGATTCACTCTTTCATATTGTTTATTTATCATCATTTTATACATGCTGTGACATATATGATTCATATCATATATTGAAATTGTATGTTTTCTTAAAAATCCACCGATAGGAAACAATATATTGTTAACGAAATTTCTCCTCTCGCCACTTACGTACACATATACAATATGTGATCTTAACACATATCATTTCACATCACAGGTCTTTTACACACTAATACATATACCTAGTTTAGACATTTTTAACGTTGATTGGATGACCTATTCAGTGTACAATGAATCGAAGAATCATGTACCTATTTATATTCCATAATTTTGATGCTTGATTACATTTCCTTGAAAAAGCTTGGAACAGATTGCAAGGTGAAACGTTGGATTTACTTCAAATTCATTCGCTGAGATTATACAAATATATTATTCCTATTTAGTGTCTTTTATCTCCGGTATTATTTCCTTTATAAAAAAACTATTTGATGTGTACAATAAATGAAAGTTATCTAGGTAAATAAAACAATAAAAAACGTTGTTCAAAACAAAAAAAGGCAGAGAAGATTATGCGTTTTGTTTTCTTGGGGTGTTACATATGATAGTATAGATGATCCAGTCTCTGGGGTATCGAAAGATGATTTACTTCTGTTTTATGATCCTATTTTATCCATCTATTTCGAAGTGATCTAGAGCAGTATGAAGTTTGTACAACCACTTAAATCACTTGGAAATATTTTGAGATTTCATGACTGTATAGATTTTCGTCTTGAATATTGCGTAATGTTAAGAAAGTAATAGATCGAATGAAATGTTTTGTAAAACGATAGTTTATTATGTAATAGATAAATTGTTCTATTCTAGTTAGCTGTTCTATGCATATTTTTGTTGTCTATTCTAGAATTTAAGAAATCTAAAATGAAGTGTATTACGATGTGACTTATTGTAATATAGTCAAAAATAGCAAAGAAATTAACTGACAACTACACTTCAGAATTAATACATTGTTTCTTCGACATTACAAAATTACAGTGGTCAAACAATTGTGCTAAAGATTTCACAAATGTAGAATAAATCAAAGATAATGTTTTTAAGTTATTATTAGAACTATTTGATAGAGTATTAGTGTTGCTAAACTAAACACTTTCTGTCAAGCTTTTAAATTAATGTGTTTCGGCATTTCAAAACGAAACAAAAAAATCCGCGACAGAATAAGCGGAACGAATTTAGCTACCGTCAAAAATGCAAGGCCTAGTTACGTATTTTTGGGAAGTAACAGTTTTTATCCCTTAATAATTAATGAGAAGCTGCAAGTATAAATACATTCTTTTTATGTCATTTACAATGTGATATGGCTACTCCTACAGTGATCAATAAAGTAATCTACAGTAATATAAAAAATATTCACTTCGAGCGTCAGACTATTTTAGTAAAAATACAATCCTAACAGAACAAACTAAATATGACAAGTATAAAGAGTGACCAAGATAAGATAAATGGACAAATCACAAAAAAATCTGGTTTAATCATATTACAGATATATCTACTTATGCAACACATACTACTTGGCTCAAGAAAATTAGTATCATAAGTAGGTGTATCATTGAATGAAAAAGTCGGTAAAGAATTTAAGGAAATGGAATCCATTAACAAATAATGTAATACAGTTTTCAGATTAATTTCCTCAGGTAATGGTATAAAATCGATTGGTTACAAAAGTGATCTCTCTCTACGTTAACTATCTAAGAATTTAAAACTATACTTATTCAGTCAGTAATTGATGTTAGATGGTTCTATGATATATGTCATACATCAGTAAGGTGCATCTGTAACGTAAGGAAGCTGATGTGTTCTATGGGCTTCGAGGCTTTCACTCAACCTTACTGTTAGATATTTCGTCAATCAACTTATCAGGACTCAGTTGATTATTCTCATTAGGCTATCTATCAGTATAAAAGAACCATGAAATAATGTATATAATAATCGGATAGTAACATACAATCCAAACAATTATAGGCTAGATAAGCAATCATATATATATATATATATATATATATATATATATATATATATATATATGCTAACCTTATGACTAGCCTTTGCAACTAAAAAAAGTAACTAGCAAGATTGTGTTAATCATACTTTACATTATTGTCCTGCGTTTGGGATGTGAGAGTGCAAGAAATTTACTTTAGTATGTAAATTTATACAACGTGACAAATTTAGTCACCAGCTTTAAAATTATTTGTCACAACCTCACTGCTCATCACTGACCAGATTTTGTAGACTAGCGCTAACTAGCGCTAACATCTAACTTTTTATTGAGTATAATCGAATTAAAATCAAAAGCAAATATTTCATTAAGTCTGTATACATCGTGAACACTATTATGTATTCATTGTACAAGGTCATCTTCTTGTTCGGTGACAATAAAATGCTAACTCACCTTGTGAACTTTTCTGGCATTCATAATATCCATCTCCTGAATAACCATCAAGACACTGACATTTACCGTATTCATTGCATTTCGCATTTTCATGACATCGAACATATTTGCAAAGGTCTTTAACAAGATAATTTAATTAGATGAGTATTTCAACTTTGAAGTAATTCACTTGCATATATATATTGCCAGATGGTTCTATTCATCAAGCTACGTATTGTTCAAGAATTTACCGTAATTTATGCAATCTACATGCAAAATGCTTTAATGCAATTCAGTATTTGTTATGCTAAAATTATATCAAACATTTCAGTTAAAAATGGTCTCAGTTTTTAGTTATGGTATATTTGTATGGGAACGTTCATTGAAGCTTGAACGATCATAGATTGAACAATAGGCAATTAAACAAATTTACCATGCTATGTAAATTAAGAAAATAAAGTTTATGAAAGACCGTTACAGTAACATTTTCTTCAGTGTATTAAACTTTAGCTAAATCTCTGATTGTATAGTGACATTAAGAAAAATTCAAAGAAAGTATCCGATAGCTAACATATACACATAAATTTTCATGCACTTGTAAAGTTTCCATCCATTCGAAATCAGGGGTTTTTATTCAGTCAATACATGGAAATTAAAAAGATAGACATTTATAATGTTACTAGTTCATATAAAAATTTTCTTCAAAAATCGAATAAATTTTGTTTGAAAACAATTAACTTATTACTTAATAAATAAAAGTTATCCAAAAGTTATGCACAAACACTCATGCGAAAACATGATGCAAAGGTTTTAATATTTTAAGCTCCTATTACAGTATATTTTATCTTTGTATCTTACCGCTTTTTATGGATTTACACTCCCAGTAACCATCTCCTTCATAACCTGCATTACATTGACATCTACCATTTTGACAGTTTGCAAACTCATGACATCGAATATTTTGACACTGGTCTGTTTAAAATATAGTTGTTTTAAGAGGTGTTAGGTTGCATGTCAATATTTATTTGATAGATTTCTTACCTACACAAATTTGTGGCATCTAAGTTTCAAATTTAAATAGTTCTAGGAGCATTTTAATGTACACGACCGTAAACAGATGACTGAGACTACATAAAGAACCATGATAAACGAGAAAGCAAAGGACGTGTATTTCAGGAAGGTTTGGGACTTTTCCGAGATTATGGACTCAAAACTGTACATGGAGTTATAGCACGGAGCTATAAGTTTTGTGGCTAGCATGATACTTACAGACCACTGAATGTAAACCCAAAAAGCCTAACTATATTTGCATAAAACAGATCTCTACAAACTGCTTAATTAATAACAATCGTGTGGTTTTCAAAAATCACCTAGCATTTTTCCTTTAATATATTCACCATAATACTTATATTAATGTGATGACCCACTTTTCATTGATAAAGTGGATATCGTGTACCACCAGTTGAACTGCTCACTAGTAAGCAATGAGTTCCAGTTTCGTAAACCAAAATCATTTGAAGGTGAATGTCAATTGCTTTGTTACGTAGAAAAATGAGACATACTTATTAAATGAAAGATTATGGATTTGAAAGACTACTTATAGTTAATAAATAGTAATGGGATTAGTCAGGTATTTGTACCTTTTTTTCATACATTCACTATATATTTATTAAAAAGTTTTATGTAAATTTGATTTAACTTACATTACCACATTTATAACGATACACAGTTAATTATGAATCGGATTGGGAAATAATTCGAAGCGTTGGAAGAGCTTCAAAGTGTTATTTTATATCTTATATTATTAAAGCTCAAAAGTATTCGTTGTGGTAAAAAGAAGCTACTCCCTATACTTCAGTTGATCTATACATACCCATCTTATCGGTTAGGTATGCTGACAAAAGTGAGTTATTAGATTAAAACTCAGTGTTCAACCGAAGACCTGAGAGTTAGTGATTTAATTCTATGTAGGTTATTGTGTGATCACACATGATGTGTTTGATACTAGAGCGCAATGGCTATTAAGCAGTGTTTAGGTGAAATATGGGTGCTAAAACTCTAGGACACTTTAAAATTGGGAAAATAATTACAGTCATTTGTTTATTATTTCAATGACTATTAGTCGCAATAATGAAACTTGTTTTAGTAATATTGAATAATTTAATATAATTTCAGTTAAGAATGAAAGCATTTGAAGGTTTCTAAAAATATTATTAGATCCGTCATTAAACATTTATATTTAAAGCTCAGTCGCGTTTTAAGTGAGTAAATGTATTTTGAAGATGTAAGTGGATAATCGTATGATATCATTAACAGTGATTCAAACGATTAGGACACTTGTTTGTATCTTAGTGATTGAGGTAATAGCTTGAGATTTGAAGTTCGGTTCTTTAGAAGATAAAAGAAAGAACTGTGGTTTCAAAGTAACTTGTTTTAATATCAGAATTATACGTAATTTTCTACCATTCAGCATGCATGAAAACGTGAGAATGAATTATTTGCATACTCCTACCCTGAGGAATAGGATCACAATAATGTTTTCCATCTCCCTGATAGCCGTCCAAACATCGGCATTCACCATCAAAGCATTTAGCGTTTATATGACATCTCATACTAGAACACGGATCTACAATTAAATAATTATGATTCATTAAAATATACACTCAATCTCAGAATCATTTCTGTTAAGCACATTTTTCAAAAAGGTCTCATCTACATAGTGATATAACTGAGATTAGCGTCTCAGAATATAAGCTTCTCAATAAAAGTAAAAGTCGCCGTAGGTTTCCTCTTAGTCTTTGTTACCAATCCAATGTAGGACCTAGGGAAACATGCTTATTTATGCTGCTAGCATAACTTCATGATAAATAAGTGTCAAATCGCAAAAAGAATCGGCATCATACATGTTATGTGAGATACCATATTTATTAGTTAGAAAATTCATTCAAGCCGAATTATTTGGGTATTCAATAGCAATCCATTCCAAAACTCATTATTCAAATGAACTTTGTACTAATTCTATCCGGACCAAGTCTATCAGTTATGGTTTTGTTCAGAGGTAGGTATACTTTCAGATTCACTTGTTTTCTGTGTACACCCATATCGCCGACTAGTCTTAGCAATATTATATAATGTATATAGAACAGTAAATTAATCATGAAATAAGGGAGTGGAAAATTTTGTTTTTCTAACTATTTACTACGATCCTTACCATCTTGCATTGCATAACAATAATGAAAACCATCCCCTTCGTAGCCATTCAGGCAACGACAATAACCATTTCGACATTCTGCTTTAGAATGACACTGTACTCCCACACAAGGATCTACAAAGGAGACAAACATTTTAGAAACTTAAAACAACTATGTAGAACGATTTCTTCCCAAATAGTCACATGCATCATGTGATTTATGTTTTATATTGATGTTTTCATAGGATGAGATATGTTTGTGACACATGCAGGTATATGTCTATTTGAAATAAGTGAATTCACTTTTAATCTCTCTATTCCTGTATGACAAACAAAACAGTAGTATCTTGGGGGAGAACAATGAAATTAAGATGGAGTACAAGTTCATTTCATGCTCCTTAAAAAGTAGTTTTCATTGAGAAATAACCAATATTTTTCTTGATATTTATTTAACACTATTTTATGTTTTAGAATAAATTTCTCCATGAAAGAGCATGCTCTTTTATTTGTATAGATGATGTTATGAGATGCATACTAGGAAGCCGATAAGCTTACCATTATAAAATGGACGACATTCATAATAACCATCTCCTTCATAACCGTTTAAGCATAAACAACGTCCATTTTTACAATAACCATTAGGATGACATCGCACATTTGAACATGGATCTAACGGTACAAAAATGTTGAAATCCCAAGTATGTTTGCGAAACCAGTGATAGTTTTATAGTAAATAAATCTGTCTATTTATAAGCACTTCACAGTTTTAGTTTGTGAATTGCATGGTCTATTCAAGTACATCATTAAATAAACACAGTAGTTTAGAGTTGTTCAGAAAACAAAACTATTTGCAGTATTCGACTACTGGTATTTAATTGTCGGTAAACTGCAAAAGTTCAGAGATTTTCAGATTGTACTTTTGTGTTCTATTACCTAATTAATTTTTATTAGGGACAATTTCATATCATTTTCTACTTTTAATAATTTTAATCGTTAGAAAATTCCCACCATATTAAAAAAACAGATGAAGTTTACCACGCATCCAATGGTAACTCCGAGAATGAAAGATAACTTGGCAAATGACCCAGGAATTTGTGTTCTCGATCACATGACCATCTCCTAGTGTAGTTAAAACTGTCAATAACTCGGTTCTTTCATGGATGTCGAATTCCAAGATGATCATTAAAAACAAGATGCATAGCAAAAGGATCTCTTTTCAAAGAATTTATTAGCAAGCTGTATATATATATATATATATATATATATAACTTTGTGTTTTTAGTTCAGTTCTTGCCTATTTAGTGAATCACGCATTTTCAATAGTCTTTTTTCTAAACACGTTAAACTAAGAGTATTTCAAGCAGCTGAAGTAAAAGCTATTCCAATTAGAAAGCCGCAGTATTGCATCTGAAAATAATATATATAGTATATTTTACTCTCTCAACAGTCCTACATTTCACAACCAGTAATTGTAAATGATGTATTGGCCTTTAATTAGGTCATCCCCTTTGTAATATGAATTTGGATTTATAACTGAAAAAACAGGATGAGAATTAGTGAAAAGAATATTCTACATTCATATACATTGTTTTATTTCATAGTCACATTTTTATGTACCCCATTTCCTTCTTGTTTCAGTATCCTGTATTACTGTCATGGAAAAACCAAAAAATATTTTCTGTTTTATTCTTGTTTTATCACTTTTCAGTTTCTTCGCTTACCCGCTTTGAAACGTTACACATCAATTATTTACTGCTTTGTTTTATTTTTGACCTCAAGTCTTTTATGGCTTTGAATGATGATGATTTATTTACTGAGTTCATTTACTTATATTCATTACATTCATAATGTGATTAAATTTTTTAAAATAAAAATCTAATTTATAATAGATTTATAATCAAAGATGGATGGTGGCTAGCAGTGGAATCCATGATATATACTTCGTCCTAACTGGGACTCGAACCCAGCACCGTTCGCTTCAAACGCCATTGCGTTATGCTTTTAGCTACTGAGTCCAAATAGCCATTAATTTGTGCAATGGAGTGAAGTCTTAATAAATTTACTTGTTTTATATGAATACGATTTTAATATTTTTAGATTGAAATAATTACGAAGGAACTTTTTCCCACTAACATATTTCCTTTATGCCTTGATTAAAATGATTGATTTATCTATTGAGTTCTTTGAAGAAAGATTTGGTTGTAAATGAAGATAGATAGTAGCTAGCAGTGAATTCTAGGACGCACGTTTCGTCCTATTTGGGACTCGTCAGCTTGATGTACCTTCATCCAAGAGCGAACATCAACACTATCCATCTTTGCTTATAATGCTTGTGAATTAAGGCAATATCGAGGCAATCTGCACAGTATGCACATATACCAATAAGTGACTGATCAATTGCAATCCTAATCATCAATGGGAAGATACAAGTACACCACACCAAGTGAACTTAAGATTTGGCTGCTTTGTTCCCCTTGTTTTATAGTTTTAATCAAGCAAGATTAAATGACTGACACACACTTAGGCTAACAATTGCTATTAAAACCACTAATAAAACGTAGCACCAATTCATATATAGTATATTCCGTGTCATTTCAAAGATGATTTTAGTATCTTACGCGACAGTCTTAGTAGTTAGAACTCTTAGCTTTACTTTATTTAAGAGATTTTAGTGAACTTTTTAAAGTTTTATTACTTCTTCTTTACTTTATCTACAAGCTATTAACTATTTGGGCGAATAACAGTAAGACAAGCTAGAAGCACAAATGAATCTTTCAGTTTTAAGTAAGAATGCTATAAACTTCCTATATTTGTCCTTTAACAAGGGTTAAAGACCATCTTTTGCATTTCTAATCTTCGAATTTACAGTGTTTATGAATCTAATTAAAGAATATCGCTTTTTTGTGATGTTTCGATAACTATGTATAAAAATCATGAGTTTAATTTATATTTTTAAAGTAGTGTTTACTTAAGGTTAGATTGGCTTGAAAGCGTAAAGTACACTTATTTTTGTCGAAATAAAAGTTACGTATCACTTCAGAAAAAGCATTGTTACAATATATTGATAGTTAATGATTTTCTTAAAATCAGTGCTTCACAATCCATGTTTTCTTAACACTAATAAAGGGAACCACATGCAACTGAACATTGCCGTTTGACAATGTCTAATTTTACGAGCTCAAAAATATTTTTATATAACTCGCATGCAGAATATTCTTACCACTGACTGTTTCCCTACAATTATAATACCCATCACCTTCGTATCCTTTAAGACAATGACATCGTCCACTGATGCACTCTCCATAGTGGTGACATTTTACACCAGTGCAAGGATCTAGAAATTTAGAATGTGGATGTAATTGCTTTGTTGCTTTAAAACTGGTTTTTGAAGCATCAAATTGAAAGTACCTTCAGTAAATAGTCCTCAAACAATAAGTGAATGATGTGAAAACTAATAGTAACAAAAGTAGCATAAACGTGGTATCATAAATCAGTTTACTTTAATGAATTCAGATTTACTTTACATTTACCGGGTCTACTTCAGGTGTAGAAAGGTAACTGGATTCATACTTTAACAATTTAAAATTACATACAACAAATAGCTTCAGTTTGACACAAAAACTTCTATTTGATAATTTTCATAATTTACACTCATAGTTTGATATTTAATTAACGGATTTCTAGATTATGCTAAGCCACATTGTTGCCTAAAGACAGGAGATATTTACTTCATTAATAAGTGATCTTTATAAGAATCTAAATTTAGTTAATTTGCATATGAAACATTAAAGAAGTAGAGAATAGAATTTAAAAGAAAATTTATTTAATTTTCGGTATATTAACACCATTGTTAATGTATGATTACAGGCTATGAAGTTACTAAATTACTGATCATTGCATGTTGTTGTTCCTTTTTTTCTATTAGTATTCACCGCAAATAGATATTAACATTTCCGACATTGTAAGTATCATTACCAAGGTTTGACTTAATCATTTTGAATAAACTGAGCATTGGGTAGATTGTGATAAATAAAGCTAACATATTTGTACTATCCTAATGAGTAGAAAAATTAGATTTTCTGACGTTCCGTGACTCAGTGTAAGCCACTTCTTCAGAGAATAAATAACCAAATCAAAATTTATCCGTCCAGATAGGAAAACAGGAACAACGCAAGAATGTTCTGTGCGATCAATCGAAAAACAGGTTATTTATTCTTTGAAGAAGTGGCTTATACTGAGTCACGAAACGTCAGAAAATCTAATTTTTCTACTCATTGGAATATTACAAATATATTATTGTATTTCCCATATTATGTATTGATTTCTATAGGCAGCTAGTTCTTACTAAGATTGAATGATTGTAATCCCTCTAAATGAGAAATCGAATCAAGGTAATTCAAATATCATAATCAGTATTTTCTTCGTATTGTAAACATATTCTTTGAAATTCTGTGATAGAAATAATATTACTATGTGGAGGATGTTGCCATTCATACAACAGACCCCAATCGTTGCTTTTTTTCAAATATTTAAAATGTTACGAATAATAGTTCAAAGTGAAAATTAAATTATATTGTATACTGTAGAAATCAACTAACTGGTGATTTATGGCCGCCCAATGCTTCCAGGTTTTCCATGGGGTTCTAGCTTCAACTGATTCATGATTTCAACTATGGAATTACTAGAATCTTCACAAACCCCCCTTCTGATTTTTTTATTTATTAAGGTGGGATTTCATAAAATTTTAATACATTAACTCTGTTTTGCATTTCAGTCATCCATCTAAAGTAATCTACAAAAATCAAGTATTTTTTTAATTACTGATAATCTAAGAAGTGTAATTTCTAAAAAAGGAACTAGCAACTAATGAATGTATTGAAAAGAAATATTATACGACTTTAATTATAATAAAAATAGATATGCTGGTTTATGGTACACTAACATTTAATCAAAAGGCGTTTTGTGGAGATTTCAGTATTTTCATAGTTGAAAACATGAGTCAATTGAAGCTATCGGTTAAGTGCTCTGGCGAGAGACTGGTAGGTCCTGGGTTCGAATCTCGCGAGGTGAGATCGTGGGTGCGCACTGCTGAGGAGTCCCACAATAGGACGAAACGGCCGTCCAGTGCTTCCAGGTTTTCCTTGGTGGTCTAGCTTCAATTGACTCATGCCTTCAACTATAAAAACACTAATATCTACCAGTGAATATTTGTATTAATTTTATTCAATATAACGAAGAGAAGAATTAACTCTTAAGTACCGTATAGCATTTAGCCAAAAGATCAGTTTCTATGTACAGATAATCATCAAGACACATACAGATATTTGTTTTCTAGTCGAAAATAATCAGCATTGATAGATCTGTGACCGTCAAATAACTATAATTTATGAAATAAAACTTATGTGAATGTTAGGTTTAACATATTTGTATAATTAACTGATCATCTTAGCAGTCATTTCTTTCAATTGAATGTTAGAAGTTATTATTAGTAGTTTTTACTCATACCATAGTTTAATTCAATAGTGTTTATGTTAATAAACACAAACCTTACCTCTTACATGACAATCGTAATATCCATCACCAACATAACCTTCAATACAATGACACTGCCCATTTTTACACTGTGCATATGGATGGCATTGAATGTGATGACATAAATCTGTAAACAAATACTTTACTGTAACCTTTTGTTAAAATAAACAATACTACTATGTTTTTTTTCAAATCACTGGACTACATACCGCATGCTTGAAATTAATGTAAGATATGCATACATTATAGTAATTATATGTAATCGATTATATAAATCTGGTTGTATAATTAAAGTTTAGTAATAGATATTAAACTAGTAGGAAAAAATGCCATTGATACAAACTTTACAGGCAAAATTATGATCACAACCACACTTAGTAAAACAGGTTTTAGAAAGAAAATAAATCAAAAATTCTGGGGTTTAATAATCACTCATTACGTAATGGGGAACAAGCTAGTTTTAGATACATTCATTTACAATCAGTTTCAAATATTATTGTGAAATACAGTATATACCAAGTAGTAATGGCAAATATTCTTACTGTATACTGTATAAAGTTAAAATGATTAGCAGGTTTCTAAAGATCTTAAATTGCTATGGATTAGTGTATTGTGACAGCATTAACTACAATGAATTCACAAGTACTTCTACAGTTGAACATATCTATATCTTATTTTCCTACGTTTTAACTCATAACCCTTCATTTTGGTAACATTTAAGATAACTTCAGTTTACCTTTTCTTAATGGATCATATACATATATACATACTCTCATTGTTATTTGATTATTCTATTTTAATACTTAACAACTAACTATGAAAAAGAATACTAACACCATAAATTTTACGTAGAACCATTTTTTATACTGATATATTTATAATATTTTATGATGACTGTCTGATTAGATAAATTTAAAGAGTTTTATTTATTTAAAGTAATATCATCAATAGGTTGATTTTTAATGGTGGCCTGCTTGAATATCTGGGCTAGTTGTTCCTGCCATATAGATATTTCAACAAGTTACCTAACTTTGTTTTTTTTTAATACATCATTATGAATATTAATTGCATAACCTATTCAGGTACGTTTCTTAAAAGTGTACAACCTTTCGTTGTACAAGTTACAAAAGGCCTAGTCCGAAATATCGTGGTCACTGGCAGGTGATATGCAGAGAAAAGAATGTACATTATTTAGATGTCGATTGACTGGACTGTTAACTTATAACTGGTAACCACTCATTATTTATCATCAGGATCGATCAAGAAATAAGAAATGTAAACTTGTTGAAATACTTTGTGCTGAAATGCAGGTACATCCAGCTGACGAGTCATAAATAAGATGAAACGTGCGTCTTGGATTCCACTGTTAGCCACTATCCATCTTTGCTTTAAATGCTTGTGAATTAAGGCTATATCGAGGTAATACACACAGTATGCACACATACCAATAAGAGACTGACCAGTTGCAGTCCTAAACATCAATTGGAAGATTCAAACAAACAATATCAAGTGCATTTTTGTAATAGTTGTCATCATGTTTCAGTCAGTATGATCATAATCTAGAAAAAAGTTTACGAATAAACGAAAAATATTGCATTGGATATGAGAAAATAATAAATAGATAATGTTATTTTGACCTTAGGTTGTCTGTCAACAACTATAACTTCTGGGTAAAACGTTTACAAGATTAGAATGTTTGGATAGTACGATGAGAAGATGTGAATTATCGGAATTATGTGATATATTTGGGTAATGCATTTTGAACAATCTGATCATACATATACCTGTTAAGACACTATATATGAAAAATAAAAAGTCAACTAGACAAATTAAAAGGTAAGGGGAACAAAAATAATTAAAAAAAACCACATAAAAACAAAGTGGAAAACACGCTAGATAATAAATCAATATTACCAGGGTAGGTTAGGGGTAAAATAATTGAAATACTACACATTTTCTACTCACATGCTAAAAATAGCATTCTGATTTTTACTGTTTTCTTTGTTGAGCAAACATTGTAAACCAACATGCTAATGATTTTTAATATATTTGTAAATTTGTATTTAGTCTGTCAACCTACTCACCAGTTTCTCTAGGTCTACACTCTCTATAACCATCACCAATATAACCATTTCTACACGTGCAAACACCATTGTAACATGTTGCATCATAATGACATTGTACAAGAGAACAAGGATCTGTTGTTGGGGTAGTGTTTAAATTATTTTTAAAAAGTGGTTTGTTAGTGATGTATATTTAAAACATTTAGTAGACATTTATTTTATTTATAGGAGTATTATTAATTTCAGCGTTGATCATCAAAAATAAAAAAAAATAAAACGGTATTGTTTCTATTCATTCCCACTGATAAATATTTACCAGTTTTGTTCTATAAGTTGGATGGTTTATTCTTCTGAACAACTTCACGTAGAAGTGAAGTGTTCGAATTTTTCTCATATGACTCACAGCTTATCCTGTTGATCTCGATCCTGATTGGTTATTGCCGAGCTTTACCCGGTCATTATCTACCTGCTTATTTTGATTTTATCTCCTTTTGGTCTGATTCTTGATTTTTTTGAATGGTTAGAACACTTCATTTCTGTCTCATGTTTTTTTTGATGATGTTGTTCAGAAGAACAATGAATGCTCCACAACTAAATCAACCACTTGAGCTACAAATCTTCTCCACTATTTACCAATTTACATTTGCACTTGTTCGTGTAATTCTTGTAAAGGCATCTTCTAACTTAAAATAAATATATTAGTTGTGTATCATTTATTATGTGAATGTTGATATTCAGTCAGTAATAAAATCTTGACAGTTACTCAACACAGAATTATGTATTAAGTATTATATGAGTAAGAACATAGTTGCATTATCGTTTCATTAATAAAGTGAAAAGTACATATAAAGTGTTTATAAAAAATAATTTCGGTTATATATGTTTGAAGTATGATCAGTCAGGACCATCTTCAGTTTTCGCCTTGATGAACAAAATAAATTAAGGACACTTTAAAAAGTAATATTAATCCTTAAATAGAAACTGAAAAAACTATTGTAATACCGTGGGATATCCTATTTATGCCGGCATAAGTAGTATGTAGCATCACTCAGAAGTGGAACGCCTGACAGCAGAGGATTAGGAAGAACGAATTGAAGAGAACGGGAACAGAGAATAATTATTATGGCGATGAAGGAAAGATGAAGTTTGAAACAAATGATGGCGGATTTGCAAATGAAGTATCGAACATATAGTTTTCACATTGGATGAAAGGAATTTGTAATTTTGTGCTCAAATCCGGCTAGTCGTCCTCACTTGTGTTCCCGTTCATTACGACACCACTATAGACTTTTTTAAAGTTACCACACTTGAAAGAATGAAAAAATCCTCACGCTCAACGGAAGACCTGTTATCGTTTATCTACAAGGCGGAATCACACTTGTTTATATTATAAACTCTATATGGATTAATATTATAACCACAGAGTATCTTCAAGGAGAATGTGTTTTTACTTTCCAATTGGATGTTCATATGGAAAGTGGGTTGAGAAATTTATACCGGCTGAAAAACAGTGAATTGCCAATTTTTTGACGATCGTGGATTAACATGATTGAAAAAGGTAATAAAAGTTTTAACTAATTACATACAGTAAAAGCTTCTTTTTAATAATATATTTGGTTTACAGTTATTTTGAAGTATCTTTGGTTTTTTTAATAGTTGAGATCATGAGTCAATTGAAGCTAGATCACCATGGAAAACCTGGAAGCACTGAACAACCGTTTCGTCCTATTGTGGGACTCCTCAGCAGTGCTTCCCGGTTTTCCATGATGGTCTAGCGTCAATTGGTTTATGATCTCAACTATTAAAATTACTATAATATCCACAAAACCCCTTCTTATATTTTATAGTTAACTAAAATGGATTACATATAGAGATAGTATATGTTTTTATGAATCACGGAAATTTTATATCTTATATGATGTCAAGATTATAAACATGCATATATATCTTTAGATAAAATAGCTTTATGTGTAGTCAGTCTCCTAATATGCGTCTACATAAAAACAATGAATTCATGCGTGTTAATGCTTCATCATTTTCCTTTAACTTACCATAATTACGTGGATTACAAACTTGATAACCGTCACCATCATAGTCAGGTGGACACTCACAGTTACCATTTCTGCATTTAGCATAGGGATGGCACCTAACATCAGCGCATGGATCTTGTATAATAATGTTTATGAAAACAAAAATTAAATTTGGACAAAATATAGATTGTATTGTGAACTGATTTTAAGTGTTTTTATTTAAGAACACAGCGAGCCAATTAACAATAGATTATACTCTAGGGTTGAGACTATTTGAAAGGACGATGATTATGATTTCTTACGTCATTTCTAGGTGTTACTTAAAAACAACCTCAGATCAAAACGATCTATAGTCTCAGTACATTGTTTTTTGTTTAAAAGATCCATAATTTCTAAAGGGTCAGAATTTCTATTAACAAGGAACCTAAGTTGTAACATTTTTTTCATAAATCTTAACTGATTAAGTAGTGCAAAGCTTTAAACATCGTGTGGTTGCAGTTACGAACTCGAATAGCTTAGAAATACAATATCTTCCTCTGTAAAAACTTATTTCTGGCACATAAACTTAGCAAGTGTAAAGTTTCACTTAAATAACATTTACTAAGAAAAACCTTAGTAGTTATCGCTGTTTGCAAATCGGAAATGTTGATTTTTTTTAAAATGTTTTACGAAAGTTAGTTGAATGAGTCATTATTTTTCGTGAACTTTGACCCTGATATAAAAGTAGGAGAGAATTTATATACGATTATTGAGAAAGTCAATTTTCACAATGGGAATCTTTAATATTCTAAAGTCAATTAGATCAAAATCTAACTTAAAAAACGTAATTATATATTCTAAGTAATCTTAGGAGTTGTAAAACACCAAGTTAGAAAAGTTATACAAAAAGTAGATTGAGATGAGTAACTTTGAAACGAACTAAAATTTGACCAAATTTATCTCAAAAGACCGGAGGAAGAGAAGAAAGGAATCAATTTAAAACTCTTCATAAAATTCTAATATGGGACACCTCATCAGTAGATATCCACGATACTGTACACGTAACTCGAATTCAGGACGAGACAGAAGGTCCTGGGTTCAAGTGAAGCGTATGGGGTCATGGATGTGCACCGCTAAGGAGTCCCATAATAGGATGAAACTGTTATCATTCACAAACACATATTATTGCTTCAAAACTCCACTCACCATCCGATAACTCTAGATCTTTTTCGAACCATTTTCTAGGAAATAATCTTCTTAACCATGGTAGGTTAGGCATGCTGATCAGAGATAATTTGTTAAATGTATGATTTAAGTAGGTATACTTAACGGTAAATAGTTGAATTGTATTATACTTCATTTTTTAAATCTCAAGAAATAAGTATTTAAGATATTTCTTTATTATAACGTATACGATCGAAGAAATGTTTGATGCAGAGTTTCTAATATTCACTATGTTAGTATGCCATATCATTGTGCTGAATATAAAACTTGAGTCTAGAAGAATAATATGCATGTCTACTGTGTTTAGTATCTTAAAGAGAAACACTGAATAAAAATGGATTTGACAAAACACTTAGAAAATCTGTGCGTGAATTATTGTGTTATGTAGTATATATGGTAGTTTAATTTAGAAGGCATGCAGACGTACTGTGGTAGTGCAAAAAATAAAATATTTATAAGTCAAATAATAAATAAACTTAAAAACGTAACATTTAAAATGGTAGTTTTTCTTAAAAGAACATGGTGGGAAAGGACCTGGTGGAATTCACGTAAACGGATTGTTTCAAAATACATAAAGAAGCTGTTTGAAGAATGATATCACACTAGATGAATGAAAAAAAACCTATAAGTAAGGGAGGCTAACTTACCGTAAACTTCAGACTTACAATCGCAATACCCATCACCTTGAAAACCATCTACACAATGACATTCGTCATTATGACATTGTGCATCTGGATGACAACGTACTTGAAAACATCGATCTAATAAAATGAGAAATGTCATATATCCTGACAAAAATAATCTCTCTCTCCCTATATATATGTATATATAGACCATATTGTGTAATGTGGAGAGAATTTTTATCGAACATAATCAGAAAAATAATTGAAATTCCCAAGTGGAGAAAAAGAGCCTTGATCATGCAAATAAAACGTAGATACACATAATTTCGGATAGTGCAATGGATGACAAAATTCCCAGAACTATGTGATATGTCGACGCAATATATTTCGAACAATCTGATTACATATATACTTGTTAAGAACATTTATATGTGTGACCAGATTGTTTGAAATGTGTTGCGCTAATATGTTATATAGTTCTGATAATCTTCGTCTTATTATTACACTACCCGAATTTATCAAAGGGACTAATTGTTTTACATTTCATATCGTCAGCTCACCTCTTTCTTCATAACATTTGACAACTGGGTCTCCAGTATAACCTGGTGTACAAACGCATGCACCATCTTGACAGAAGGCTTGTTCTTCACACTGAACCCCTTCGCATAGATCAACACCACTTGCTATACATATACCATTTTCACAAATCTCATTACGACGACATTTAGAACATGGATCTATAAAATAAACAAAATGGATTTGATAAATTTTTAGTGTTAAATAGTGGATACATAGAAACGGATTTAAAGAAGTTTAACTAATGAATCCAGCAGATAAAGAGTGTAGTGTTCGTTCACTACACTGGGACTCCTAGACGATAATTGAACTGCAGTGTCATATTTTCATTCGTCCATTGATTTGTAAGCAAAACAAGACAACAGCGAAAATCGAAGGATAAGAAATTAGATCCTATAATGCTAAAGATATTTGGGGAAAAACATTTCGGGTAAACTTCATATTCACTTCTCTGAAAATTTCCTTTATATGAGATAGGATAGTTAAAGTTTCTGTATTATCGTTAATCATGGAAATGTGAGGAATATACAGTAAAACGTTTACTGGTACTAACCTAAAAAATTAAAGACAAGTCAAATACACTATTATGCAAGGCTAATACTCTTAGGTATAAAGCACGAATAGAGTAACCTAGAGGACATTTATCTGAATCGTACAGTTATGTAGATATTTTTCGTGATCTGTTGTCTATTATTATTTTAATTAGCACTAAAAACTATAATGGTGTCAATACATTTTAGAATTTTTATCAATTACATTACGGCATTTCGAATACATGCCATATAATGGGATAATCATTGGTCAAACTTTACCATCATCAAGTTTCATGATATAAAGGATTTCAAACAGTAAATGGAATTTGTAGGCAATCAGGAAGAGATTTAAACCCTCGTTTAGTTCTTGCTGGTATCACTAGCGATAAGCATTATTAACCTTAGGTACTTTGACAATGAACCATTCACCTTTAGATTAATGTTAAGGGATGCTTATTGATAAATGTCATACCATAAAATATAACTTCTGTCATCTTTTTATTATAATAAGTGGCATCATTCCATACATTTAACTTGGGATATTTGGTTTATTCAAATATTCTTTGCTACAATCACTGTAATATACAAATACTTCAATTGATTTAATGGTAGATTTTCATTGCAAATATATACAAGGATTTCAAAAAATAACATCACAACTTCTTTCCAGTTCACATGTTACAGCCCACTTATTGTTCGGGAAGATATATTGAATAAAAGACAAAATTCAAAAAAAGGAACAGACTAAATGTATTAAATAATAACAATGTATCTTTTGTGTCCTTAGTTCAATACATTACAACGAAAGGTTTGTTAACCTGAAAGGTATTCATTATATATTCTAAGAAAAGATTACAAATTCTGTACAGATTTAACTAATAAAAGATTAGTTAAGATGAAACCAGTTTAACAATTAGGTGAAATATGACATTATTTGCTTTGAGATATACTAAAACCTTTAGAACAATATTAAACATGAACAAATTTTTCTTAAACGGCACAATTCATTCGTCATAATACGATTATCTGAAACAAAGGGAACAAATACCCTTACAGATGTGTTTAAAAATAGCATGATGTTTAATGAAGTGACCTAAGTATAATCCATTTGAATGGTCACAGAGTATTTCTTAATCTGTTAAATCTTTTAATGAATCATCAAGTCATTTTCATTAGTTGAATTAACTTGGACTCCTTTTTGCACAAAAAATAGTTCAACTTGATAAAGTGACCTAATTTGGTTACTATCTTAGTAACGATTTTCCCGAAATGACATGAAAAATCTATTTTTCTCGCTTATTCAAACACAATAATGGATTTAAAAGACTGTCCATATTACGATTGCATATGCTGACCTATAAGTCCCATTTACACATTAAAAAAATGACGTCCATAGAAGGGATCTACTTTCAACGAACTTACTATCAAACTGTACAATCATATATTTATGAAAACATTTTTTGTTAAAGTACAAGTTCCATAAAGACATATGAACAAGGAATAAACATGATGATTCATTTGAAAGATTATGATACTAGACCACGTAATGAGAATAGTAACAATAAAATTAATAAGTTAGCAACGAATTATAATGTGAATGCAGTAAGATGACTAAAATGTTTTTGTTACAAACGAATCTCGCGAGGCGGGATTGTGGATGCGCGCTGCTGAGGAGTCTCACAATAGGACGAAACAGCCGTGCAGTGCTTCCAGGTTTTCCATAGTGATCTAGCTTCAATTGACTCATGATCTCAACTATGAAAATACTGAAATCTCCACAAAACCCCCTTCTAACAACTGAAGGTAATTAAAGGTAAAAGAAGTGCATAATTAAATGAAGTGATATCAGAAACAATTTTGAATAAAATCATGGAGATATGAGACTTAAGTACAGGGAGAGGGGAATAAGGAAATGGAAAAATAATAATAACAGTAATAATAGACTAAGGCCAAGGTAACGAAAACCATAAAACGTAATTCTTTTGTACGCACAATTCTGGCCTGAGCATCTGCTATTTTAAAGAGTTGGATACGAAGATATTTAGGTAGATTTGTACGAACTGTATACACAACCTATAAAACCAACCTGTGGATAATTAGAGTGAATAAAGTTGATAAGGTGTTCAAGAATGGAACTCCTAACTGCTCTGCTCTCACCACACAGGGATATTTTCTCGTATCTAGTTGAAAGAGAGCACTATCTACGGCCTATGTACTTAACTCCACAAGAGCAGGTGAACGGGTAGATGTATTACATATGTACTCAAATGTGTACCGTTGTGACGTTACCCTCAGTTTGTTACGTCATTCTTGGAACGCTTTCATTTGTTTTGATTGCATAATCGTAATTTACTTTTCATTGCTATTAAATTTCGTTTAGCAAAAAAGTATTTTTTAATAAGCATTAGTTTGCTTAATCTATTAAACCATATCTGTATTCATGTTCAAGTTTAGATTAGAGTCAACGTTACTTAAATTGTATTAAATAACTACTAGGAGCTAAAAATTTGTCAATCAAAATGAAATCGACATTTTGAAGATAAATCTATTAGTATATTGCATCTATATTGTTCTGTGCAAAGATGTCATTTTGTGTATGATATATTTCACGTCATTAATGTTATAATAACAAAATGTTTTCAATATCCTGTTGAGAAGCAAATTAAATATTTGATGTCTAACAGCTTAGTGTAAGTCACTTCTTTAAAGGATAGATAGATGACCGAGTAAAATTACTAATTAACTCATAAAATGCTGGCTAACACTGAGCAGCGAAATGTCAGAAATTCACTTAAGTATAGTGAAGAAAACAAGCACATGGAATTGAACAGAATAATTTGAATTCATTTTATTTCATTAAGTTCACATCAGCTGTCTACGACTTATAGTATTTTAAAATCAAAATTATCGTGAAATTTACCTATTTATAATAGTAAAATTAAATATGTACTATCATGGTGGAATAGCGATTTGAATGAATGTTCGACTATTTCGTTAAAAAACAAACGAATTGTTGTAGTTCTATGCACTTTTGTTATTATACCTGATGATCTAGGATCTTCTCTCATATATATATTTTTTCAACGCTCTTTATGTCTGCAACCACATTATATTTATTCGAATCACTATTCTACCACGATGATGTCTATCCAACTTAATTGTTTTCAGTAAGCAAATTTGGCGATAATTTTTATTTTAAAATATTATCAAGTGTAAGCAGTTGATGAGAACTTAATGAAATGAATTCATGTTTTTCTGCCCGATTGCTTGTTCTTGGGAAATAAGAGTTTGAAATTACATATGTCAGTTCAGATTTAATCAGTTTACAGTACACCAAACGCTCGGTCTGTTTAAAATGACCAAGTCAAACTTTACTAACGATAATAAAGTTTGATGTCTTTTGTAATCTTGGAAACCATTTAGTACAGTTGAAGTAGGTTGAAAGAAATCGTTCAATTTTATTTCTTTCAAGGTTCAAGAAATCCAAGTGAAGAATATTATGAAGTTTTGATATTTTGAAGAACAGATATGATTTACATGAGATTAAGGTCAATTTATCGACCAACTGAAGATATTTAACTAGATAATATGTTATTTATTGTATGGTTCATATTACCCAGGTAGTATTTTAAAAGAAATAGGCTAAATTCATTCACAAATCTGTGCATTTCTACGGAGTTTATGGTAATACCTAATGGAAAAAATCTGAGGAAAATTTAAGTGTTAAAAAAATGTTAAGGAATCGTAAATTTTCATTTGCAAAAATACAGTCAAGCACAGTTCAACAGTACCCCTGTCTAACGATTTCACACTGCCATTACGAATTTTATCCCACGATATTTTAAGTTACCCTCGTGAAACCACATAGATACCAATACTACATTTGATGTGGAGCTTAGAAATAAAGATCTGTTGCTTCATCATATAAGTAATTACTATCTTGAGCGTCATCAAGAGGTAAACACCTTTTTGTTTCATGGCAAAGAGATCCAATTGATCACGGTTATTTTAATTGAATAAAAAATTTTATGGATACTTTCAACTGTTCCGGTTTGTGATAAGATATCGTTATATGGGAGTGAAAAACAGTGCCTGACATTTTATTTCTCAGGATAACCATCCCAAAATTTTATCATACTTATTCATAGTTGGTTACTACATGTACATCTGTTTACTTGAATAGCTGTAAACATTATGGAGGAACTATGGGCGGTTTCAAAATCTTCGGTGATGTAATTATATATATATATATATATATATATATATATATATATATATATATATATATATATATAACACCGGAACTTTTATTGATTGAAACTTCAGACAAATACTGTTTCTTCATAATTATTTCCCTTCACTTTATACTCTTTGAATTTGCTAATATGAACTTGTTTCGCAACAAAGAGTCCATAAGAAAACATTCAAATATACAATAAACACATAAACATTTTTTGTTATCATAATCAATCCCTTATCTTATAAACTAATCAAAAAAGCATGTATGAAAACAATACGATGGCAGGATAATAAATTTTGGCATATAATAGACATACAGATGTGTGAAGCAGATGTTTGGAGAGACAACTTTCAATAAGTAACTAAAGATTTACAGAAATTTCCATTTACAAGGTTCTTCTGTTTCTTAGAAAAAAGAACGTTCAACAGATGTCAGTCTAATAACTTGAGCTATACGTTAAAATACGTTTTTGCTAAATACGTATCTTACATATTTTCATATATTCTACTAGCATTAACAATCTAAAGCTCTGTTTGTTTTGTATTCACAAGACTTTAGATAAAATAATTCACAATGTAACAGATTTTTACTTCGATTTTATTGTTGGAAATATAGGTGGATAATTTGAATCATGGACTGATATCACACAATAAATATAGAGTACTAAACAGATGTCGTACTATAAGCTGGTGCTTCTTACAAAATATTGCACATAAACAAACTAAGTGTTTCAGTTACTATAACATATTCAGACTCTCAAAGCCTGAAGTATGAATTTCTAAATTCATTTAATTTGGGATATTACTTGACGATAGATATTAGCATCAACGTGTTTATAAAATATTCAAGATTAATAAAACTGATCTCAAAATAACTTTGATCACGAAATGACACCAAATGAAAAGCTGCTGTGAATTATTATTAACTAGACACAGAGTTTTTGATTGTTTCACGAACCGATGCCATTTCTAAATTACAATTACTTTCGATAGAACTGTAATTGCACTATCATATCTCCCTCACCCTATCTGACCCATATTTATTCTGATCATAGATCTTAAATTTTCACTTAACATATATACAGATTCAACTTAATATTCTATATGAGTCATATCAACATTAACAATTTTATTCTATTTGGTTTGACAATCCTAAATTTACATGCATTAAACGATGTACTTTGCCTTTAATTTGGCCAATTTTCTTTCGTAGATTATTAATTTGGATATATAATTGTAGAACGTGAAGAGAAATTATCGAAAAAAATAGTCTTCGTTCAAATATTAGTCTTTTACTTTTGAATAATTTTTTAAATCTTGATGAGATAATCTTTGTATATAATAAAATCAAACAGACAAAGATGACACTTTGAAAAATATATTTTAAGTACGTCTCTAATCCGATTTATTTACATAATACGTCGCTTAACATGTATTGATTTGGAAAGCGTTTTGAATAGAACTCGAAGCCCAAGGTTTCAAACTCTATCTTTTTCCCTTGATCTTTTTCTTTTTTTTCTTCGCTGTAATTTTCGGCGCATATTTCTAAAATACATGTGACTGGGTATTTTCGATATAAGTCCAATAAAAATGTGATTAGTATAGAGTAAACGATTGATCAATATTTGGAAAGTGAGTTCATGAACTGATGTTAGGTACTGAAGGCAATTGACACCTAGCTGTGCACCAAGATCTCGCATTAGTTAAGACTCATCAGAAAAGTGCATTACCAACTTTAATGGGAAATGATGCTGTCAAGCGAATCGAAATCGCCTCAACTAGCATCTCACTCTCAGACTTTATTGGTTAGCTATTCAATCCGCGGTCGGCCCTCGGTAAAAATGAGATGCTTACACTGACTAGTAAATAGTTTTATATTTATATATTTCTTAGTACGTATCAAATTACACCGAACAAGTTATAGCATGTTTATTAGTCTTAGTGACTCGACAACTTCAAGCTTGCTTCCAAATTTTTATGTGGTATGATCTCAATCTTTTGTCATTTCTAAATAGCCTATCAAACCACTTAAGTAATTCGTTGTTTTTAGTCTGGATATACATTAGATGAAGAATATATATATTCATTTATTTAAACGCGTAAATATTGGTATAAAGAAGCACCAGATACATATGCGCCACACAAATCTCATTTGATTTGTGTGAGGCCTGTAATAATGCCCGGGTCCCAAAACCGAAACAGGTGGTTTTCTTAGGAGGCCACACCCCGAGCCTTTGACCTAAAGTTTTGGTCCACAAGGCAGTGGAGCATCGTGAGATGCAGTCTCATGGTAGCCGGTGACCAACGATTGATTCATACGCCATTTGTTCCCTTCGGATACTGGAGTCCATGTGCACCATTGGTTTGGAATCAGGGTTTTTCAACTCCCCTAGGTGGATCCTCCATATCCACCAAGCCGGATAAAGCGCAGGAAATTCGCTTTTCGTCCCCTCAATTTTGTAAATAACAGTAATGTCACGAGAAGGCAGTGAGTAGAAATTCCTTGGCAGAGGCCATATACGCGTGGCCATGTGAGAATATTTCGATAGGGAGAGCGGACTCTCCCCACTCTCGGCCGTACCGTAGCGAATTCTGTTGATCCATCATAGCTATATTATTTGAATACGTTTACTATGATTATTTATACGGTATGTTTCTAATAAAAGAACCAATATATATATATATATATATATATATATATATATATTGTTAGTAAAGTTGTTATAATTGAAATCATGCCACTATGAGTTACGATTTAAAAGTTATCTAAAATGTACTCATAAATACTTTTTTTTCCATAATTCAGACACTGATTCATAACCTTAACTATTGTGCCACTAACAAACTTTGGCGTCATATGACTGCTTAATAGAAAATATCTCATCCATATAATTTATAATAAAGGTCAGGTAGAAACAACATTATACTAAATTATAAATCTTTAATATTTTTATTTACTAAGAAGTAAACACATATGGAACTGTTATTTCTTATAATTAGTTAATTTTACATTCGGATAAATGATGTTACTGTAAAGGAGAATTCGATTAGGTGTATATTATTAAAAATATTTAAGTGATTATGAATAATTATAAAGGTAATCAGTTGCATCACGATTATTTTAGGGTTAGGGTTAGGTTTGTTAGTTTATTGTACCAGTTAAGATACTTTATAGAATAATATCTATTCACTCTTTTGCTTTAATAAATATAAGTGTAACAGAACGTATATTATATACTATATGTACTATATATATATATATATATATATATATATATATATATATATATTATATGTATACTAAATGGATAGAACTAGAAAAGAAGGCCTAGGACAGAGTGGGTCGGAGAAAGCTGGTCGGCGGCCTATTCTCCATTGGGAGTAACAGGCGTAAGTAATATATGTATATATATATATATAAACTATATATAATATTATATATATATAGATACTAAGTATATATATATATACTGCATAGATGGATTCTATATATACTATATACTATACTATAATTATTTATTGTTTTAACTTATATTTGGAAGCTTTATAATAGAAGTATAATAAAGTATCCATTTTATTAGCAGTTAATTACTTTAAAATAGGGGGTAACTTAATAATAAAGAATTACTCCACTAGTCATGGTAATAAATGTGAATAATCTAGAACCAATGAAATTTTTTTAATTTTATGGTTTGTATTTGTTGAAAGAAAGATTATCAGATTGTAGAAAAAAACAAAAAAAGCAAGAGGCTACTTTGAGATGGTGGAGAAGATCTGTAGCTCAGGTGGATGATTTTGATAGAGTTTTTTCTCTGAGCTGGATGGTTTGGTCGTGGAGCTTTCATTGTCCTTCGGAACGACATCATCAGCACAAACTTCAGGTACCTTGAATCCGGCGAGACGGGATCGTGGATGCGCACTGCTGATGAGTCCCACAGTAGGACGAAATGACCATCCAGTGCTTCCAGGTTTTCCATAGTGATCTACCTTCAATTCACTCATGATCTCATCTATAAAATTACAAAAATCTCCACGAAACCCTCTTCTGAGAATGTGATTAATAGTACTTGATCAGCAGGTAGATGAGTATAACTTTGCATTAATTAATAATTAGTAATCAGTTAATGTAAAGGCTTTGTAGACTGACAAAAGATTACTAGATCTAAATAGATTTGTAAAATTTACATTTATTTATACTACCTTTTTTTCATACTATTCTAGGTTAAGCTTCACTGTTTTAGCCACTTATCAATCACAAAATCGATCAAATAAGTGAATTATAAACACTTTTAGTTATAGTTACAATACGGATAATACAATATTAGTGTTTAGGAATCATTTGGTTCTAGCCTGATTAATATACTTAATAAATATTAATAAAAGTATGACAATAAGTTAAAGTGAACTGTGAAAATTGGACATGCTGAGGCCTTTATATGCAACAAGTGGGCTACGGGATAAAGCATTAAATATCTTATTTGACATGAAAATACCTTATTAAACAAATACTACTTTTCTAACGACTGTAATAGTTTCGTTAGTTTAGTAGAATAAGTATTGGTAAACTCATAAAGGTTATGGGAGAGGATAATAATGCACGATGTTTTGTTAAGAGTACGTTATATTATTATTAAAGTATATCTTACCATTTTCACAATGGCTAACACCATCTCCTCTGTAACCGGGTAAACATTGACAAAACGCTTGATTTGGATCAATACAGCGAGCATGAGTATGACAATTGATAGAACCACACTGTACACCAAGATAGTTAGCTACTAAAAAAATACATATACTAAGGTTAACAGTTTTATAGATCATTTCAACTTGTTACACATTGAATCACTGAATACATCAAGTTTCAATGTCACAATAAAAATAAGTTTAGTAGCATGATTCTAGTATTATGAATCAAATATTCTTTACAAAAGAAATTTTCTTGTATAACATATTAAAATAAAAATAGTATAGCTATGTCTAAAAAAATATGACCGACGATTATGTTGAACGAATATGTTAAAATATAAGTTAACATAACATTGAAGCATTTGGAAAGGAACCACATTTAGAAAGGCCTTAAATCCATTACAAACACCATAAATCTAAAATATGATTAATTTATCATTCCGAGTATTAGTCATTTAAAACACCCAGAATATAAACCTACAAAGCCACAATCTAACGGACATTTCTTAATTCGAAAACGTTATCAAATGGAGTATTTTTTCTATGGTTGAGTAAACTATCATGTTGATATGATCGAAATCTATGGACTGTTTCAAACGACTAGTAGCTATTTAAAACTATTTAGGAAACGAGTTAAAAATTAATCCTTTAAGTATGAACCTCCAATGTTTTCAATATTAGTCCAATGAACTATTATTTTAGTTCTACTCATGAACTTATATTCATTAACCTCTTAATTGTGAAGATCAAAATCAGAAACGTAAAGCTTTAAGCAGAAATGATGAATGCTTATTAACGAAATGTGAATGAGACTGTAATCCCGTGCTTCTTTAATCGTTCACCTTGATAACCGTTGTAATCACAAGCTTAACGGTGCAAAAAATCAGAAGGCAAAGAGAAGCAGCAACTACAGTTTATTGTCAAATAACTCAGGCCAGAGAGCTACCACCACCTGAGCGAGCTATCGAACAACAAGCGAGTAAGCGAGTGAAGCATAAATGACAAGCATTGGCGATGGCGGGTAAATCAACTCACTTTAATCAATATTTATAGTCAGACAAGAATAAGTTACAGACATGCGATGAATAGGATAAGAAGTGTACACACACATACGCTCATACAAAAATAGTCAGGGTTAATAAGTGAATAATTAACAAGGTCGAAACATGACTCAAAATAGATAAGAAAATTGACTTGTACTGAAGCTATCATATGGTATATGGGCTTAACATATCAATCGACACTACAAAATAAAACTGTCTGAATTATTATTTAACATAAATGATTACACTAAAATAAATTTATGCTAGCACACAGTTCATTTATTTATTTGTTAATAGTTAACTTACCATCCACCAGTGAAGTGGCTTATGACACAATGTGGAATCGATGATATCAAATGAATAAACGAGATACAAATGTAAAATAGAAATATAAGAAATTTCTGTTAAAAAAAGATTAGATATATAATGTTAAAATACATTATGATTAACTTCTCCACGAAGTAAAATACTTCATGACCTTGTAGAAGATATTTCTTTAACAAATAAAATCCTATAAAGGTTTTGTCAATTATTTTATGGGATACCAGCAACTGGATGTCACATATCACTAAAACATTTACCTAGTGTTAAACACAACACCTAGAATGCTGATCATAGAAAATAACACAGATTAGTTCATCATGATACATATAAATATTTTTGTAATATCAGCTAATGAATACGTGTGAGACAGGCTATTTTGGATTGGTTTTCATTTCTATCTGATTTGTAGCAATTATAAATCATTAAGCAATCATTTCTCTCACTAACATACTACTGACACTGTTTATCACTGATTTAGTAGTAATATGATTTGTAGTTGATAGCTTCATATTTTATATCCCTTCACTACTTTCAACAAGTTTACGAATAGCTTGATAATGTTTTTTTTTCAGCCGCCCAAGTTCATCTTATTTATTTTAGCTATTTTCTATAAATACTCCTGGAGTTCCTTTTACGTTTACATTTCAGCCTCCAACTTAGTAATATATATATATATATCTGAGTTTTCATTTCCCGTTCTGGGGGTTAAGATTCAAAATAAAGCACAACTTACCTTGACATGTGTTATCAGGCATTAGCTTCAAGCCCTGACCACATTCACATCTATAACTCGCGCCCTCTGGTCGACACACTTCACCATGACGATCACATGTTACACAATCACAAGGACCTAAAATGTCATGAATAGAATTTTATAAAAGGTTCAAATAAAATTTGTCTGGATACAAATTAAACTTCATAGAAAATTGATTCAAATTTAAATTAGAAACAATATCGATTAATTCAGCTAAAAGAGTCTAACCTACAAGAATATCGGTTCTTCTGACAAAATTAAATTACATTACTTTTATGATACGAACATGAGTTTTGATTCATCTGAGCTTTTTCAAAAACCGACTTATTCATCTAAACAAGTGATAGAGAAGAACATTATTAAATGAATATGGTTTTTCTACAGGTCAAATCACTGAATGATCTCAGAAACAAATGAGTTACAGTCCCTTCAGTATCCCACCACCACAATTTACCATTCCAATCAAATTTTCACTGCTAAAACCACACACTGATCTGACCTAGATCACCATTGAGACCTTGAGGCACTCGATGGCTACACAGAAATTGAACTGCGGACCCATCGTCTCGCACAAACGCTTTACATATAGATCGCTGAGCATTCAGTGGTGATTATGTCTGGCCCGTAACAATCCATGATCTTGTTCAGACCTTCATCTGTGCCTTCCGGTAGTTAACTACCTCACAACCGACACGGATTCAACTCTACCGTTCTCAGCTTCCCACTAGAACTCCAGGAGTTATATAGTGAAGTTAGTCACTCGTGAACACATGATTGTGATTAGTATGGGGATTTGTGAAGGTTGTAGTACTTTCACTCTTGAAATTACAAAATAATCTCAGCTAGACCACTTTTAGAAATCGCGATTTCAAGAGTGAAAATACTACAATATTTGCAAACCCCTTATGCTGATATATTAATGATCGACTACCATCAAGAATCCATATAAATTTTCACATTTTCAAGGCTTCATCGAATTTCAAATCAATTTGATTGTAAGTCGGAAATGACATACATTTACACGTTATACAAATACACAGCAAACTACAAGCAAGGGATTGGTAATGTACCAAAATTACTGCGAAAATAAATATGTTTCAAGTATGATATGAAACCAGATTACAGATATCTCTCTATCTCTAAACTCAAACATGTTTACAATTGATTGATCACTGAGTAGTGTTAAATGTCATGCTGTTCTGTCGACTACCTCCAATCATTTAACAGTCAATCATGTCACTGTCGCAATCACAGTGTTGCCATTAGTTTAGCCACTGTGGCATTGTATACAAATAGTATGGCAAAAGTCCTTTGAAGCCGTGATTATAGAAAAATCCAATCCCTCTTGGATGTTCAGAAACTATTTGTACTTGCACTATACCTAGTCTGATGATACTAGTTTAATCATAGTATCCAGAATGGTATGATTAACGTCGTTTTTACTTACTGTCCTTCTTTATTTTTGTGCTTCCACTTGCTCAGCTTTATCTCTAGTTCCCATACAAGAATCTTAATATGTTATTATATGATTAAACTGTAAGAAAACTGCTGGGTTAATATATTCCATAGGTCTGTTAGACTTTGTATTCTCACTGTACAGTATAGATTAATCCAAACGACTAATTGTTTTTGATTTCAGGAAACCTTTATTGACTATTTTTGCTATGGTATAATAATAACGTTTATTTATTCGTTCTATTCAATATAATTTATTTTCTTGTTTTTATTTTAAATTCTGACCTAAATGAAATTTCTTATTGGGGTTCAAATGAATGTGTTCATATTTAACAATGCTAACATTTATAAGTAAAGATGGATAATGGTTAGCAGTGGAATCCAGGAGGCGCATTTCATCCTATTTGGGACTCGTCAGCTGGATGTACCTGCATCTCAGAGTTGATGTTCACTCTGGAACTCGAACCCAGTACCATCAATCTTTACTTATAAAACCTTGTGACTTCAGGCAATATCGAGGCAGTCCGTACAGTATGCACAAATGTCAACAAGAGACTGACCAGTTGCAGTCCTAAATACCAATGGGAAGGTACAATTATACAACACCAAGTGAATGTCAACATTTTCTCACTACACTTCAGATTTACGCTTTTATTACATCAGACAGAGACACTGATAACTTTGAAGTATAATTTCTATTCATGTTAGCGTATATGTACAATTACATCAGCTTATCATTGGATAGATTTTCTTTCCTGATAATTTCATGACAATGTCTGTGATCAGATTTGTAAATGATCATATCAGATATTATACTTCAAGTACTTGTAATGAGATTGATGAAGTGGACAGAAGTTAAATCACAAAAACTATGAAATTATGCAAAAAGTTTTCTTATAACACAACTAAAACTAATTTAATTAAAATATGCTTGTTTTAACAATGAATTTTATTTAAACCTACTTGGTTCTGTGGCTAATAACAAAGGTTCATCTACACAGAATAAATTACAAGAGCCATCTGGTGCAGAACAATCCTCACTACAGTAACCACGATCTTTAAGACGAATATAATACCATTTATTCTTAGGTACAGAGCTGACTTGTTTGAGCAAGCAACTTTCTGATTCAGCAACAGCAGACCAATGTACATTAATTTCTTCAGGAAAATTACTTATTTCATTTGAGTCACGATGCTCAACAATAAATTTAACAGTTTGCTCTGGAAATACAATACGGCCATGATCATCAATTTTATAATTGGCGTAATACGTTTTATCTGGCTTATCAGAAGCACTGTAAGCCTCTATATAAGACCGATCGAGTAAGTTTAAATTTTCTGTACTAAACGCCTCTAATTCTATTACACCACTAGCGTATGCTCCTGTTGTGAAATCGCGTAGCTCAAGTATGGCCTGGATTGTAAATTTCCCAACTCTTTCAATATCAAACTGGAATAACACCTTGAAAGGACGTTGTAATCCATTTCCTAACGTGAAAAGATTATAAACACGTTCACGTTTCGGAATATTTTCACAAGGACTAGAAATCATTGAGTTTAAAATGTGGAATACAGGTGTAATTAGACGTATAGTTGAATAAATTCTGTCGTTTGTCTGACCACCACGAATTCCACTAGAACTGCGTCTTAATGAACCATGTTGAATATCCAGATAAATATGCAGAGGTGAACTGGAATGTTCACTACCAAAGCGTGCAGTTAGGGAACCAGAAAAAGAAAATTTATGATCATTGACTGAAATATAAAGAATGAAGGAAACATATATTATGGAGTGTATATATATTTATCGCGAATTTGTAATGTACAAACCAAAATATAATCTTGAGAGATTTCGGCTTTCATTTTCAATGAAAGCCTACTTATGTACGATATGTACATAATTTATATGTATAAATATTTTTTCCTGCTAGTATGCATTTCCTGTATGATTAGTTTGCTAAAACATGATCCTAGGCAATGAGAAGAGTAATGAAGATACAATAATACAAACTCCATTGTACAATAAAGACATGATGTAGGTTTTATGGTCTTTAACGTCCGTCAGTCAGTCAGTCATCTACAACGTAGGACCAGGAACATATATGCATCGGTCCAAGTTGCCATACCTCATTACCACAACAAAATGAACACCAAATTCATAGCAGTTAATTTAGTGGTGGTAGTATGTAAAATAAAGGTTGTATATATGGATATAGTATAGGAAGGATGAAAGTTATGAAGTTATTTTAATCTCAAGGTTTAAGGGAAGATAAAGAGTGTAAACACCTACGCAATTGTGATCGATTCTGAGCCATATCACCTAGAGTCTTCAACCATTGGTTACGATTGTCGCGTGTACCCCAACCAAGTAGTCTGCATCTACCAACATGGCTCAGATCAGAAATTAATGACATCAAGAACTGATGCCACTGATGCATCATTGTAGTGACTGACTTCCTTGTATTTTTCATACATTATCAGGAATATTGATGTTTATATAATTTACGAAAATGTTTGCTAGTTTTCGCCAGACACATCAATGCATTATAGAAATCTAAGGTAATTAATTAATTACGTTTTGCCTGTATATCTTAATCAATCAATCATAGACCTCGTTAATCTCGGATAGGGAATGAAGTACTTTGTCTTCAATATAATTCTTAATGCTGTAAATCAACTTATTTTATCACGTTTCGGTAATATTGTGAAATTTTCACATTAGGAAACTACCTTACAGATATTTTAATACAAACATTTGAAAACAATTTTATTTGGAAGACTAGTTCATTTAGATTTGGCTACCGAATAATTATATAAATATTGGCAAGGATTTTGATCACTACTTTGCTATTTTGATAAAATATTGATATCTTTAATTTATTAATGTCAGACAATCCGATTAAATAGTATATAAACTCGAACATACGGTTACAACTTTGCATTACATAACAAGATGCGCATATATAATATTTTCTAAAAAAAGTTTTTCTAACCTTCAGACCAACACTTGGCATTTCCTGCACCGAAAAATCCATCACTACATATACAGCAGGCAGCGTTATCGACTCGATAACATTCTGTGTTATGACTATTACACTCACTAACAGCATCACATTTGACCAGATCGTTTGAAAAAGTTTCATTCGTGGATTTGTATTCTCCGTTATTACTGATTAGAACTTCATCGTCATCGTCGTCACTCAACGGGTGTATAGTGACCGGTACAATAAGAGCTAATTTAAAATAAACCAGTCTGTCATGATATCATCATAAATTCATCATTTATGAATAAACAAAAGTACTAGGTATTAGTTAGTGAATAAAGCGAACTAAATAGAAAATCTTTTTATAGCTGATGAAAGAAGGGAAACTTCCTAGTATTAGAAATAATAAACACAGTACTTGGTAAATTATAATAAATTTGTCATAATTTAAGCCTTAGAGGATTTTTGTGCATAGCTATATAATCTGTCGATGATGAACGAAAATGATTCAAATAGAATTCCATTTCAAATGAATTCCCTTGCTTATATTTACAATTATTATGATTAATCTCCATTTACTTATTCAATTTGTCAATTCCTGCATATTACCTATTATTCTTTACTGTTCTCCATTATTCTTTCCCGGACTTTTAAGAAAAGGCTTTGCTGTACTGCGAAGAGTGCTGAAGGCAGTAAGCAAGGTGTGTGGAAAATCTTTTGACGTCTTGCAAACTCCTGGCAGGTATTGTCTTATCAGATACTAACCATTCACTTCATTCATATCTTTCTCATTGTATATCTTCTGGTAGAACGAGACGTAAATACATTAAAATTCATGCACGCAAGCAAATCTATAAAAGTTCTGTAATACTTTACCTAACAAATATACTCTGTGACGAACAGGTTGTTAGAGTTAACCTAGTAAGTAACCTGTGTTCTTAAGCTTGTTTCATATTTAATAAGTTGTACAGACTCAGATATTTTTTCATTTCCTTTTTTGTTTTCAGGTAAAAAAATACCTATTGGAATACATCGTACTGAGAATTCTATACTGTATCCAAATATAATATTGGATAAAGCCATTAATAATAATAATACATTCATCATAACGGAATGGAAAATTTTGATTTCAGCAATTATATACGTTAGTTGAGTAATGACAAGTTAAAATCTGATTTTTTTTTAAAAAATTTTATTATAAAATTTATGTAACAAATAGGGTGCTATAGATATTCAATTGGTATAATTTTTTTCATCACAGTCATTTCTGCATATCTTATTAGCTAATTATTATCTTTTTATTAATGGTTATCATAAAAAGAAACCCTATTTGTAAAACGGTTTACAATGACTTTGTAAATGTTATTCTTTTTAGATCAATAGTCTCCCTAATGAAGTATAATGTGAGTTAATTTTGATAGATTACTTACTTACTTACGCCTATTACTCCCAGTGGAGCGTAGACCACCGACCAGCATTCTCAAACACTCTCTATCCTGAGCCTTCCTTTCTAGTTCTATACAATTGTTGTTCATTCTTCTCATGTCTGTCTCCATTTCTCGGCGTAATGTGTTCTTTGGTCTTTCTCTCTTCCTTTAGCCTTGAGAATTCCATGTGAGGGCTTGCCTTGTGAAGCAGGTGGGTGCCTCCCTCAATGTGTGTCCTATCCAATTCCAGCGCCTCTTCCTGATTTCTTCCTCCATTGGAATCTGGTTTGTTCTCTGCCACTCTAGGTTGCTGCTGATAGTGTCTGGTCAACGGATACGAAACATTTTGCGTAGACAACTCTTAATAAACACTTGTATCTTCTAGATGATGGCTTTCATAGTTCTCCAATTTTCCTCCTCATACAGCAGAACTGTCTTGACATTTGTATTGAAAATTCTGATCTTGGTGTTGGTTGACAATTGTTTTGAGTTCCAAATGTTCTTCAGTTGTAAATATGCCGCTCTTGCTTTGCTGATCCGCGCCCTCACATCTGCATCTGATCCACCGTGTTCATCAATGATGCTGTCCAGATATGCAGAGGTTTTCGCATCCTCTAAAGCTTCTCTGTCAAGTGTGATTCGATTGGTGCATGCTGTATTGTATCGGAGAGAATTTTGGTAGAGTGTTGAGATTTTATTAGTAAAAAAATCTTCTAAAACTAGTAATCTGTTATTCTGTTGAAAGAATACCGTTAACAAAATACAGGATACAGATATGACGTAATTATATACGCTCTTATGCTATTTTGATTAATTTCTAGTCCTTTCTAATATGTAGAATGGGAAGTGATTTAATTGTTTGGTATATATATTCTAGAAAAATATCTCATAGTTCTTTATGAAAGAGATAAAGGTCGACAGGTTTAATAGACCTAGGCATTGAAGAGAACAGTAAAATTGGTGCATGAGTTTTTATAATGAAGTTACAATATTTACTCACGTTCATGTACCTCCTGCCTTTCCTCATCTCCATCATACCGACCCAAAGGATAGTAAGTTTGTGCCGTAATTGTGTCTGTGTATGTGTGCTCTTTATTATCAACAACAAATTGATTACTCTCATGATAAAAGCTATTCCCAGTTTCATTCTCTGGTAGAATATTCACTTCGTTCTGATTAAAAGGGTCAACACCTGAGATTTCAGCTTCATCTCTCAGGATATTCCATGCAGCTTTCGGTACATTTTCAGTGATTCCATAACTATAGTCATTTGTTGAAACGTTAAGGTCATAATTTTCAAGGTTTTCCAGAGCTCTTTTAAAACTATGTGTTCTAGCAATCGGCTCTTCTGATGTATTTTCAGTGTTTACGTTTTTAATGACGACCGTATCAGATGGTGTTTCGTTGTTTGATTTAAGTGAATGAAGTGAACCCTTGCAAATACTTGCCAAAGATGCAACAAATTCACTGGCAACTGTACTTAAATTCTTGACATTTATTGTGGCTATATTTTCCGATTTGTATAAAGGAACAAGCCATTCTCCATGTAGAGCTATATTTGTTTCACTGTGATGAAAAAGTAAGATAAAAGGTTAGCAGTTCTGTTGAGTGATACATGAGTAATTCAAGATACATTTTTTACCAAAACCTCTTTTAAAGTTTGGTATTAAACTACTGAAGACCAAATAAAGGAGCCAGTTTTCATTTATTAAACAAAGAAGTATACAACTTAGACCGAATAACTATCAACCTCTTATTGTCTTCAATGTTCCTCCGTCAGCTCATAGTACCAAACCACTTCACACAACAACAATAAGAAATTTCTTTACAGCGAGTATTTTGTTTAGCTAAGTGTTATTTTCAAAGTAAGTAATAAATCTTACAGAAAAATAACTATTTACATAGTTTTGTAAATTTCCACACAAAAAGTGTATTAAGCAGAACATTACTTAAACAATAACAAAATCCCTTAGTCTCTACAATAATTCTTTGAATCATGCAGTTACTGAAGGACCTTAAAAATTATACATTTGCTGATAAATATTCTAGTGTATTACTTACGTTAACCATATATTTGGTTCTACAGCTTGAGAACTTCTTGGCAACTGATAACCTCCCAAAGGTCTCATAAATATACCAGATTCAGGTGGTAAAGCTAGATTCTCTGCGACATCATTTTCATTCCACTCAACTTGTATGTATTGCATGAAAGCGTAAGAACGTATTCCATTAGAAATTATTATCATTCCATACGTATTAGCCTGTTAAGTTAAAAAAAAACCATAACTCTAAGTTAATTCAATATCATTAATTTCTTTAAATACAACGTTTACATAACTTGTGAAAATTGTTTATAAGAAATAATAAATGTCTTTAAGACTAGTTAATTAATAACATTTCTACCTGGCCAGACCAAAACGTGGCACAAATCCATGAAGTCACTGACAAGTGGACTGAGCCGTGTTGATAGGTGTAGATTACCTGGTTAGGGTCCGCGAGATGATAGCAACCGATGGTTACAGACCTTGAATGACATTACTCAAAATCGTTTGCAATGGCGAAGGTGCATCTACTCCTTGTGTTCTCCCAAATTCTAATCCTCTGAATTCCTCATGTCCCTATCTTTTTTCTCTTTTCAAATTTATTTCACTGAATCATACTCCTTGAATAACATCTTCAAACCCTAATTTTTCCGATTACTGCTTATACTCTTACTACTTCTACCACTATGGGATTTGAATCGACAGTTGTATCTCCGTGCTAATGTGGTATGGCAACTCGAACTGATGTACGTACGTACGAAAATCCACGTTGTGACTGACTGCCTGACTACCTGTTTAAAGATATGAGATAGTAGCGACTTATTTTTATGTTACATGTACAAGTACAACTGAAGGCGTATTTCATGCACAGATTTTAGAGATCATTAATACTTTTCGACACTACAAATTTATAAAACTGATGGTTTCCTGATATTTAATTTTCTAAACAACATTATGACATGTCAGATCTACAAAAAAAGTTTATTGAAAAATTACAAAAAGAAAACGTAGGTACGTACCACACAAACAAATGTTTATGTACATGAAAAAGAAACTATGTGGATCTATAAATTTAATCTTGATATTCTTACCATAAGTGTCTGACATGTAGCACGGAAAAGTGTTATACAACTAACTCTAAATGTATTATGTACCAATAATCCATTTAGTTGGTCAACTGTTAGAATATGTTTCCGATTTCATATGAATTTATTAGGTGTGCCTTGATTTTTGAACTTCTACGTAACCAATATAACTTCAACTATGTCTTCGTAACTGACTTGATAACTTACTTTTGTTCCACCTTTGACAGATTATTAGTTTCATAATATTAATTGCTTTAAACCTATTTTGTTAATGTTTTGATTGATCTGTTTTCTCTTGGTTGTTTGTCCACATTTATCAGCTTACTTGAACCAGCTATGATTATTAGTGTACATTAGATAGTTGAAAATTTATGGTGCTAAAATTATATTCATATTCATAACATCTCATTTGCATCACTTAAAAATCGTACTTAAAACAAGGATAAACGTTATTACATTTGAAATGTATGGCTTTTGTATCAAAGCTTTTTGGTAGTCCTTAAGCCACCAAACTTATGTAACATTCTGTTATAATGAAAATTAAGATAACTCTGGAATTAGAGATCTGATTATTTTTACAATAATATCGTTATCTAACCTTCACAATGATGTTTGTATGATGTTATATTTAAGGTCAATTAGAGATTTTTCATTTCGCATTCTTATATTATACCACCTTGTAAATGTAATGTGTAGTCAAGTCTTGCTGATCGGAGTGTTTTTTCTAAAGACGATTTAATATAAATGCATTTGAAATAAACACTTAAAATATTAAGATAATGATTAATGTTGAATGAATTATCAGATATTGAGCAACGTGGGACACATTTATTCACTTTTTGCGTTGGTGTAAGAATTTATACAGGGTTTCAAAATAGATACCTTTGAAATAACAGCAGAATCACTGTCTGGTACATTGATGAATTTTACGCTTAACAAGGTTTTGGGATTTTATTTACAATAATCTTTCAGTATGCTTTTTCTAGCTTAAAGTATCAATCTTTCCAAGCCTCTATTCCATACAGTTTGTCGAGTCCTACAGATTCTTTAGTAACAATACTGACCTTCAAAGTCAGCATAAATTGTTTCGAAGGCATTCAAAAATTAATTACTAAAAACTAGGGTCATACTGAAAGATATCATATCATAAATAACTCATTAAAATAAAATGGCAGAAAAAATTACTTTTTGGTTGATTAAGTAAGCGCTTGTCATATTTTCCCACAGTATATGTACAATATACTGAGCCTTTAATTCAGCTTCTTCAATATATGATAAATGTATAAATTTTATTAGACGATCTATTTGCATTCTCTCTACACATGGTAGTTTTGAAGGGGACAGCAAATCAATTTCACTAAATACAAGAAGAAAAATATTTTTTATAGAAAATAAAAGTTGATTTAAAATTTATAATATGTGTATAAATGTAAAACTATTTTTCCAGATACTGAATTAAAACAAACTAAGGTTTGAATTTTTCAAGGTTCATGGCATCCAAAACTTCTATATTATCTTCAAAAGCCACTCTAATGGTAACCATAAGTGATATTTCAATTATATGTTTAGTTATCAAGAAGCATGGTTTTCTTTATCCTGCTTTTAACAGGGAATTTTGTTGTCTGTTAATTCTAAAACTATTTGAATAGATGTTCTATCACTGTTGATCGGATTGTCCGATCACTTCCCATTTATTTATGTCCATACGCAAAGTGGTTAGTGTGATAAGATGTTATGTTATTTATAGAACTTTGAGGTCTAAATGCTGTCACGAGCTTAGTTTTGGTAGTGATAACCGGATTATAAGTATAATGTGTCTTACAGATAACTGTTTTAGGTTAATATTACTAACTTATGCTATTTAATTTTCTTCAGTCTTGTAAAGTGATGTACAATTTATTCATACAAGCAGAAGTAAGAAGGGCTTTAGATGTTAGCCAAATTTTTATCCAATTTATAAACTTTTATGAGTATCACTTCAATCTCAATTCTGCGGCCATCATTTACTTATCTCTCCTAAGCATATCCACAGTGGAGATTTTGTTTGAGAAGCACCTTACCGAATGGTGCTTACACCAACATGAACATAAGCAGTGAACATTTAAGATGTGAGCGGCCCATCTATATTTCTTATAAAATGATCGTGTTATATCCTTATAATTTATTCGAACCAGAATACATCTTAATAACAGCTTGGATATTTAAATGGTTGAATACGTTATTTTTTAATCACAGTGCACATTCAATACTGTATATCATCATTTACACTGATAATAACTGCCCTAAAATTATCTTTAACAGAACGCTTAATCCAATTTGACTCAACTACAATGGTGAATCGGGTGTTAGTAAAACCAACTGCTAAAACCATAGCTTACAGACATATACTCCCCATATTTATAATATGGAAATTTAATTTGACATAATGTATTGATTACTTACGTGACACGAATTCTTCCAGATTTTCCATCATTCACTGAACTAAAAATGCTTAAATATCGTCCATCAAAATCTTGTAAACGTTGATTTGTGATACTCGTATTGACAGGATAAGCTGATGGCAAATTATCTTCAGAAATGCTATCTAGTGCTAGAAGACCATTTTTGCGGATCTGGTAAAATAATAATTAAGTATAGAAATTCTAATAATTTACATTTGCCAGTACTCTTAAATATAACATTGCATTTTATAATGTTTTGCTATCATCTTTACAGATGTAAGAATAAGAGCTTAGTTACTTGTCAAACTTTAGTTTTAAATAACTGTCTACGTTGAAAGAATAAATAGTCACAGAATAAGCAATGTACTTTATGTGACATACGTTTAAACGTTAAGGTAATATCGCTAGTACTCACACAGTCAATATTATTCAGAACACAACATACTAACTGCTATTCCGTAGCTCAATTACACTGATTTAAAAAATGTATTGATCATTGTTTTTAATTCTTTTCTCATTCTGCTTCAGGGATTTCATAATCGAAACAGCTAAGTCAGTTAACTATCACAAAACATTTTTGTTCGTAAATTTACGGGAATCGAACAATTCAAATTCTTCACAAAATTATCCAACATATAACTAATTACATTGAAAATCTGTGTCAGGAATTTTTTTAACAAAATCATAAATTTTCAAAGTTGCAAGGGGAGTAGCAATAATTTAATCTTTGGATTTGCATAAGAAAATCATAATTTAACTGTACCTTTCTCCATAGCCTTTAATTAAAAGATATAATCTTATCAAACTAGTCAGAGCAGTCAGTATCGTCTAAAGAACATACTACCTTGTCACTTTTACAAGTTTGTTTGCACATGTTATGGAGTGGACAGGTTATACTTATAGTACACTTAAACAATGGGATCGTTTCTAACTTCCCTTCAATGATGTTCTCAGTTGACTAATTTCAATACATTTGCATCTTGGATCTCCTCTATGATTCCAAGCATAGTCATCGTATCAAATGTCTTGCTAATAAATGGTATAATTAATCCAACGTTGAGCCTAACATCATTTTTCCCCGAGTATGCTAAACATTTTCTTTCAGTATGGCCTTTACCTAATCAGAAGTAACTGTAAACAAATCATATCCAAAAGTCTAAACTATCCAAGCTACCCGAACGTATGATAAGAAGCACTTCACCGTGTTAAGTAACAGAAAGAACTATGCGTCTGTTAATCAATAACTGTTGTAAATTGACGTTAAATTTCATTTATTCCTGATGGAATACACAGATATTGTTACGAATCTAAACTAATCCAGTAATTATCAGCGTTTGACTGTTGTACGCAACTACACATATATTCTCATGAAGTTCTTACCGACCGTTTTTGTTTATTATCTACTTATTTACTGACAAGATGGAGATATATCTCTGTATATTTAATATGCTTTGAGCGCCCTTTATCAAATCATATTTGAAATTCGAATAGAAAAAGCCAATGTAAATTTGACACTAAAAGGTGGAGAAAACGGTTTAAAATAGTTTGTTTTTTTCAACTACGATTTATCATACGATAAAGGTCTTAAACATCTATCTGTAATAACATTACAGGTAATAATAAGCCCTCACTTCTTGTTATTCCAGCTTAAAAGCTAATTTTCTTAGTGAACAAAATAATAATTACAACATCTTAGTTACTATTTCTACCCATTGTTGACCTTTTCTTACACATACATGTTTAAAAAGTCACCAATCTAGTGTATTTTCACCTCATTGTAGTTTTTCTGATTGACGTACCTAGAAATCTTATGTTTCGGTAACAGTTGTTTGAGCTAGCGGAGAATAATCAAATAGATGCCTACGAATATTTCTAGATTTTAAGTTACATTCATTGTGAAAATGTTATTTAAAGAATTTTGGTGACGATATATTGAAAAAAAAACACTGTGGAAAGTTTAAAGTAGGCAAAATTTCTATAATATTAAAGTATTTATTGAATTCAAGTTTTGTTTCATTCATGTAGTACAGTAAATCTCATATAAGTCAATATTTGAAATGATGGGATATATCGGTTTTAAATTAAATAAATAAGCTACCATTCTGTACTATACGTTCGCATTCAGAATCAAACTATTTAAAGTTTTTCTATGTCTTTAAAGTAAAACTGACATTATAAATTAATGACGGTTAATGTTAAATGAATAGTTTTTCAAAGAGTTGTAAACTTTATAAAGAACTTATGTAATCTGGAGCCTTTTGGGTACTTCGGTTAAAAATGATAGTATTTCTGAATTATTGCTGTGTATTGGTATATATATATATATATATATATATATTTCTGTAGCATATATAAAAGCTTAAATTCACTTAGTATTGTTTGTTTGAATCTTCCCATTGATGTTTAAGACTGCGACTGATCAGTCTCTAATTGGCATATATGCATACTGTGCGTATTGCCTCGATATATCCTTAATTCACAAGCACTGTCATTTTGTGTATGATATATTTCACGTCATTAATGTTATAATAAAATAAAATTGTAAGCAAAGATGGATAGTGACTAGCAGTGGAATCCAGGATGCGCGTTTCATCCTATTTGTGACTCGTCAGCTGGATGTAGCTGTACTCAGTAGCTGAGTGAATAACGCGATAACGTTTGAAGCGAAAGGTACTGAGTTCGAGTCCCAGAGTGGATATCAACTCTGAGATGCAGGCACATCCAGCTGACGAGTCTTAAATAGGACGAAATGCGCATCCTGGATTCCACTGCTAGCCACTATCCATCTTTGCTTATATATAGAAGCTTTTTGTGTTCTCTAGAATAGTACACAATAATAAAGCAAACTTTGAACATTGTTTAATTCACTTTGTTGTTGTTGTTGAAACTGGTACATACGTTTTGGCACACACTTAACATAACAACCAATTGTGATTAGATTTTATTGTCCGTGTAAATATTTATCCAGTGACATGGTTTTATTTACGAACTTGTCCAATTTTCCGATTGGAATCAATAATTATTATTACATTTGCCTAATAAAAATATATATACCAGTGTTTATTGTGGCCAAGCTCGTCTAAGATAAACTATATATCCTTATTACCTGTTTGCAAACAAGGGATCAATCGGTGTATTATCGATAGGACCTTTGTACTTTGACACTGTCCAAGTAATTCATGTCATCTTTTTAAAATCACTTTACAAACAAGTGGTTTTTGTTCAGATGGTCATTTGTTGTTATTAGACAGAAACTTTGAGCTCAATTTATAATATTTTGTGTATAAGGTCCATATGTATCCATACTTGTTTAACCATTAATTACAACGACTGATTCAATGTAAATTTATTAAATGAATCTGAGCAGGTTTTGTTGATTTTTTTGACAGTAATTTTTTTTTTAACTAAGTGAGAGTTTACAATAAAGTTGGTTCGTTGAAATCTTTATAGTATTTGAGTCGTTTGTTTCCTAAATATTGAATCATTTAGGTTAGAGTTGCTCAGTCATCGAATAAAATCTTTCTATTTTTAGTAAAACTCAAAGATCATTTACTAACAAAACAGATTACAGAAGAACTTTAGTATTACAGAAAATTAGACCCTAGGACTAATTAACTTTATAAATGGGTGATGGTAGTTAACCAGTAAATTAGTACATTGTACAAAACTGATTGTTTCAATACAATAAATGTTCAACCAAGTAGCAAAACTCACTACAGCTTCCATTCCAATTGTCGTTTATAAATCTATCTTCTAAAAACCTCAATTTGTTTAACATTAGATACACTCTCGAGAAAATTAAATGCGGGGCTGTTATTGTAATTACTACATAAAAGGGATTTAATTTTTCTTAGGCACTTTTGACTCTCAACAATAAGATTCAATTGTTAAACAATCAGTCATCCTGGTGATTGATTTCATTTAATGAAGCGGATTGATATTAGTGAGTGAAATCAACTTCTGCATCCCTAACTATTTGGTATAATTTTTGTATCTGATGCTTCAAAATCATAATAAGTGGATAATTTTTTTAACTTAACAATCTGTAAAAGTAATTTATATTATTATATAATTGTAAACGTGAAAATCAGAAATATACTTAATTATTTTTCAGTACTGTAACTACCAAGACAGATGTTAACACCTGTTATGTAAAAGCCTAATTAGTATTGTGATGGAGACAAGTAGCAATTACTCAATGTGTACGATGCTGGAAATAATCAATCTACAAGGTGTGATGGTTGCAAATAATATTTAATTCGTCTATGACCAATGATTAAAGAAAATATTCAGATAAATTAAGTGAATAGAATATATCAATTTCTTTTTACATATGGTAAGTTTGAAAAAATACTTTAGTACTGAACGGAAATGAATGTACTGAGTATCCTGACGATAAATATTGAAAGACAATATTACTGAAAAGCTACTTAATCATTTAGAGATGTATCTAGTACTAAACGGATTGTATGTTCAGTATTCGAGGCAAAGAATAATTTACCAATAAATTCTGAATGAAATAGGAACAATTACAGTCCTGATATGTTACAACCTGTTAAACCAATTACCGTTAGAATACTGTTGTGTAATCTCTTACTTGCACGTCTAATATATCATACTTATCAGAATAGTAAAAAAAGAATCTATGCTGAGGGGAATAATTTTGTATGTTGCAAACATTTTAAAAGGTAGCTCATCGTATATTTCGATGAAATGAATCAGTCTGTTTAATTCTTTTAAACAATGAAAAACAACCACAACGATATAACCAGTTAACATTTTTTTACTTTTTTCATTTGTATTGACTTCCTTTTATTATTTTCCTCATAGTGTTGAGATGGTGGGGAAGATTTGTAGCTCAGACGGATGGGTTAGATGGAGTTTTGTTCTCCGAGCTTGACTGTCTGGTCATGGAGTTCGCACTATTCTTCTGAACAACACCAGCACAAACTTCAAGTAAAAGTGAATCGCTCGAATTTTTCCACATTTGACACAATCAAGACGAAGATGTAGACAAGAATAACCAATCAGGATTGAGTTCGACAGTATAAGCTTTGAGTCAAATGTGGAAAAATTGAAACATTTCACTTCTACTTGAAGTTTATGCTGATAATGTTGTTCAGAAGAACAATGTAAACTCTATGACCAAACAGTCCAGCTCGAAGAACAAAACTCCACCTGAACATCTTAGTGTCTGTCTGTAATATAATCTAGAGAAACGTGTATTCAGAAGTATTCTATTCGAAAACAGATTGTTTTCAGGGCTATACTCACTTAAACAATATCGTGACAACAAATTTAGTTGAACATTCATTATTGCATGTTTTGAAGTAGGTTTATCTCTGAAAGCTTAGTGCAGTTAAATATGTTTGAACAGTTTGTCATTAGTAATGCAGAAATTAAAATAAACTTAAATAATATAGCCAAACTGGGCGTTATTAAATTTGAGATCATTATGGACTGCATAATAGATGATCACAACTGTCCTAAAACTCCGTAGTATTTTTCTTTTTGATGAAATTTGCATTTATTACACATTAAACGATTCCCAAGTTCCAATCTATCTTTGCTATTCACGTAATAAACTGGGTTTAATATATTGTAAGTCCATGCCATCACAGAACGATGTTGTTTGTGGTAGATAATATATAATACATAAATTTTTTTAGAACAGACTGACAAGGCACTCATTCAAGCTAAGAATTCTGAATAGACAATCAAGTAACATTTTGATAGAACATTCTACTCCGATGTCCAGAATAATTTAGCTTTGAATTCTAGTAATTTAAATGTCTGAGCAGCTATTGAGAGCCTATACTAAGAGTACATTATGCAATTATGACAACGGTAACAATCAGTAAAATGATTTCTTTATTTTTCCAAAAATTCCCTCGGACTAATACATTATATAACTTGGAAAAATTTCCGCTATTATATGTAGTTTTAGTAAGAAAGGAATCTTATCTACTGATCATTTGTTTCTCGAATTAGAGGAATATGTGAATGCTTTATTTAATCCACTGTTGTAATTTGTACAGGTTACATCATGGAAATAGTTTAACTAAACGACTATTGAAAACTAAGAAACACTGAATATTTCTTTTATCCCAGTGTGGGACTCATTGGCAGTATGTATTCAGAACACCAGCGGGGATCTAACTTACTACCCTATGTCTCTCGACCATTAGGCCAGAACTCATTCACGGATTAGTACAGCTTCAACTGATTCACGAGATCATGCGAGCCTATTTCATTGACTGCAATGAATAACTCTTCCATATCAAATTTATATGAACTCAAACAGTCACGACTTTCCACTAGAAGTTGAGGAGTTACCTCTTAAACTTAGTCGCTAGTAACCATATGATTATTTTCCATATAATGAGGCTGGATTTTCCTAATTCGATTGATTCAAATTCATAATTCAAGCTAATTAATTTATTCACAAGAATTCTATTCACTTAAATAGGCATTTTTACTTTAATAATGCAAGATTTTTTCTCTTCTTCGGCTCTACTCTTATTTACTTATTTTCAGTTGCATGTGCTAATATAAACCTTCTAAATTGACAGAAATCACTTAACATTACACATTTCAATTTACTTCGTCCCGAAGTTGATGCTTTAGCTTTTCGACCAAAAAGGCATTGGATCCTAAACACTAGTTCTTCCTCTAGTTCTATGAAAAAGTATGTCAGCTTTCACAAATCTGACCACTAGTTATCTATCTAAGTACAGAATACTAGTCTATCTAGCACACATAGCCGAAATTAATGCTACTTTAATAAACAGTGACATTTACAACCACTTAATACTGAACACGAAAGCTCTATAAAGCATAAACGAGAACTTTAGCGAATAAGCTTTAATGTGACTTCTAAGGTAAAATTGTGACATCTGTCATTTTAAAGTGCATATGATATTGTAACTGTTTTGAGCTTTTAATGTATCTGTTTTTCACATACTACTTTGTAATGATAACTCCATGCCTACTGTGTCTATAACTTTTTGCTGTAAAGAGATGTTACCGACATACGTCTTATATATCGTTTTATTAATAATCCTGTAACAACGTTCAATCGAATCAACTAATAGATTACATCGTTTCGAATGTTATACCCAAGTTTTTAATACTGCTCCTTCTATTGTATCACCTTGATCACATCTGTAGACTGGTTTGCGTTCACTAATCATTTTCAGAATATATGTATATAGTTCAAACTCTTCGTTTTTAAATTATCATGTGCCGATTTAATAAATAAAATGTAAGTAAAAGATAAAACAAAATATGGTACTGAATAAGTGCATTATGGATAACAGTGGGATATATGACGCACATCTCTTCCTATTTGGAGCTCATCATCTGGATGTATCCGCAGCCCAACGTTGATTTTCATGCAAAAACTGGAACCTAGTACTTGGCATTTTAAACGCCCAATTTATTGTCCTACGAACTAGTTAGTTCAAATGGTCGGTAACTTGATAAACTGGTATAAAATTTGTAGGATTTTTAGAAGTTTGGATTATCCCATAGTCACTATCCACGAAACTCGACCAGATAATCCGAGGCCTCCACTCAGGACTCACATATGCCAACAAAAACTGACCAAATTTAAGTTAAAAATATTAACAGTGGTATATTCCAAAAGCTTTCTGGTAGCAACATAATGCTGGACAGTTATTTCAATGTATTTATTAAGTATTTATTAAGTCACAATTAAAAACTATGATTGAGATCATTATCGTTATCCCCGGTGAATGGGTAATGAGAAGGACTATTTTCAAATTAATACAACGTATCCCATATCCCAATCTTTTTTTACCTTGATTTAGTCTACTAAACACTCGAAAGGAATCTTCTATCATACCTTTAGTATTTATTATAAGATTAACAAACATGATGAATTTTTTTAGGAGATTCACAATAGAAAATTAATAGTTGAGATGATGAGTCATTTGAAACTAGACCACCAAGGAAAACCTGGAAGCAATGGACGGCCGTTTCGTCCAATTGTGGGACTCCTCAGCGGTGCGCATCCACGATCTCGCCTCGCGAGATTTGAACCCAGGATCTCAACTATGAAAATATCGAAATCTCCACAAAAACTCCTGAGAAAAGTAATAGTTATTAGAGTCATATTGAAATATTATAAACATTGTTTTCTTTTCTAAAAAGACAATGACTTACAGTAATTTTTTTAATTAGTGTTTCATATATTGGGATTGGATATTGTAACTCATAAGTGAAACTATCTTCATCAAATCCTTCTGAATAATCATATGTTTTAGTATGAAAATTATCATTTTGTGGTATAAATTGAAAATATGGATTTAGTTGAGACAATCCATTTTGAACATTATAAAATAATATTAACAGAATAATGTATATACAATGTGTATAAATTTTTCCTACTGGGTTTTGCATTTCTGATAATAAACTCAAAATAATCCGATAATGTAGATAAACTTTCAATAGACAATCATTCTAATAATGGTCAGTACTGTCTACCAATACATTTTGTAGTCATATATTTATGTGTATTTGTGTGCTACACAAAGCATGTGTAACTATACTTGTATCATTCTAAACATGTAGACATATATGTCTATAGCCAATGTATAACCTTGTTAGTCTATAATTATGTGCACTAGTATTGTGAATGAATTTCCTCTCTGATGATTAGTTTACCTTATTCACATCTGGGCACAACAAAAGTAATAATGTACACACTACAAACCTTATTTGATTTTACAAAGAAATTTTTTACCTTAAAAAAAGGTCAAGTGTAAAATAGAGTTATTTTCACATATGGAAAAGCCTAGACTTACCTTTACCTGAATGACTTTTATAAACCAATTACTTTGAATTATCTCACTATTAACAATAAGCCTTATTTTATATAGTTGAAATCATGATTCAATTGAAGATAGACCACCATGGAAAACCTGGAAGTACTGGATGACCGTTTCGTCCTATTGTGGGACTTCTCAGCAGATAGATATAATCGATATAATACTTAATCAAATAATCAAATTGATTTTCATATATCTGTCAACTAGCTATTTTTATTCTTAAAAAAGTTTCAATCGGTTGTACTTTGCTGATATATTTCAGCAAGATGGGACGAAATCTTAAATGAAGTAATACAATTTAGTTATCTTTGTATATTGTTTATTTTAAAAAGGAAAGATGAATTATATTTAAGAGAAAACCATCTTTTAGATAAGAGGATATACTTATATCTTACTTTATTTGTTATGATCAATAAAAATTTTTTTTATTTAAGTAACTAAAAATAATTCTGAATTCACTACTAGTACACTTATCAGTTAAATAAGTCATTTAAATACATTTAAATAAAAACCAATATTTAACATTACTTGTTTGAATCTTCCCATTGATGTTTAGGACTGCAACTGGTCAGTCTCTTATTGGCATATGTGCATATTGTGCGTATTGCCTCAGTATAGCCTAAATTCACAAGTCAATATTTAGTTAGATGATTGTGACCAACAGAAAGTAATTATATTGTAGAAAATGGAATTATTCTAAAAAGTCATGTTTGTTTTTTTCACTTTTTTGTAAAAATAGAACTAAGCAGATATTTATTTCTGGTATTATATTCACTTAATTTCAAAAAAAACAAAACAACAACAGTAAAGTCCTCAAGATTAAGATAATTCAGATGATAACATCCTTTGACATTCTGTTTTAGATAGTTAATTTCATTTTCGTATAGATATAGCCTTCTTTAATATTGGGTATCGGAGAGTTTTAATGATGTTAAATATAGTTGGTGTTAGAATATGAAATGTTAAACTTTCACATTGCAACATATAAATCCAAAATTTAACATTAATCACTGTAGTTAGTTTCACCTAGTCTTAGGAATTATTCAAAAATCTATGACAATGAACAATCTTACAAAAAGCACAACTTCTAAATTGTTTTGAATATATCATATATGTATTTTAATATCGTAAAAACGGGGGCATACAAAGTTTCGCCTATAAAACATGGAATGTTGTTTGCGTAAATTTATCTGCTAAAACATTTTAAGTGTAAACTGTATTGTTTCTCCAAGAGATTAGGAAACGATTTCTTCATTTAAACCTTAATTGTCAAATAAATTTCAGTTTATGTATTTTTATTAAGAATCATTGAAAGCAAATCAATTTTCCTACAATTCTCTCAGTCTTTTGAAATGTCACATAAAAAGCTTACTAATATAAGTTCAGGTCACTCAAATGCTTATTTCTATTTATTTCAAAAAACTGAACAGTAAAAGTCACTTATTATTGTTTGACTGAATCTTCCCATTGATGTTTAAGACTGAAATTGATCAGTCTCTTATTGGCATATGTGCATACTGTGCGTATTACCTCGATACAGCCTTAATTCACAAGCATTATAACCAAAGATGGATAGTGGCTAGAAGTGGAATCCAGGAAGCGCGTTAAAGGTTATTAAGGACCTCTCAATAGTTATTAGGTAGTTGAAACGTGGTTTTTAGAGTCCCCAAACCTAGGTCTCGTGCTATTTGCTGGTCACTAGCAATAGTTACCTGTAATCTTGGAGTAACTTGTGATCCTCAATGGGTTCAACGCCGAATCATTCAGCCTCATTGTCTGAGACTTTACCACTGAGTTATTCGAGCCTTGACTGACCTAAGGGACTAAGATATCTATAATTGATTAATTACTATCGATCAACACTAGAGGATTAAGCAAACATGGTGTTGATCATTGTTCACTCATCTACTGAACTGAGTGTTGATTGGATTTCTCAAATGTGAATTTCTCTAACACACATTTTTGCACAAAAATCTGTCATTGTAGTGTGTAATAAAGTCCTATCTCTGATAATCGTTTTCCTTATAATTTTATATTTTTTTCTTATAGCGACTTTATTTGATGCACATCATTAGAAACGCTTTTATTTTAATTGGTTAAAATTTACGCTAACCAAAGGTCAGTAGGAACTTGTAGTCTTATTAGGTCACATTTTTCACCCATTTCAGATTTATTTATTACAATGTAATAGAACCAATGTAGTTTATGCTTGTATCAAGGCATTATATTCTTTTGTATCTAATGTTAATGAAATGCATCAAAAAATGATATTAACAGATTTGTAAATCAGTATACCATAACCACAGAAATAGAAATATTGTTCAATATAATTATCAGCTATAATGTTATCTAATCGCTCAAATATAGATTTATGTGCTATTGTAGCACAACAGTTATTCAATTAAGCAAAGATGGATAGTGGCTAGCAGTGGAATCCAGGACGTGCGTTTCGTCCTATTTGGGACTCGTCAGAATACACCTGCATCTCAGAGTTGATGTTCACTCTGGGAGATCCAAACAAACAATACTAATTGAAGTTATTCTGTTAAGTTTGAAAATACAAAACACCTAGGAATTTAAGTATTATAAAAATGTGCATTAGACATCATGACAGTTTAAGTTTCGGTTTGGAAAGGATAGGAGGCTAGGTGGCCTGTGTTAGTCCCGGCAATAATGGTCTCTCAGTTGATTCAACTTTCTTTTGAAAGCGTCGACAGGTGAAACTTCAGTCACGTGTTGAGGTAATGATTTCCATCCGATGAGGAAGTCAATAGTCATCTGACAAATAATTTTTTTTGGGCTTGAGAAGTTTTTGGAGTGTCCTCATAAATTTTCTGTTTTGGAAGACCGGAAAAATGAGGGCTTATCAAATGCAAATTTATCACTAAGTAACTTAAAAGCTGTGATCAAGTCGCCTCTAGTTCTTCGATATGACAATGGAAAAAGGTTTAGTTTAGCTAGTCAAGCATCATACGGGAGCTTTTCTATTACGAGAATCAGCTTAGTTGCGGTTATTTGAACCCTTTCAAAACGCTCATCATCTCTATTTAGACAGGGATTAGCCGCTTGTATCCAGTACTGGAGTGTAGAATGCACGAATACTGTCTAAACAGTCAAAAAGGTTTTAGTGTCTACATAGCTAAAGGCCCTACATACTGACCATAGAGTTCTAAAACCGTTGGCGGTTATCGCATGGCAGTCTGCAGTAGTTTTTAAGTCTTGACTAACGATGGTATTATGTATCTGGACAGTAGTGATAATTTCTCAAATCTAAATCTATGAATAAATCATAATTTTTTAAGTAACTGAATTTTTCATACGACAAAAATCTGGACAATATTTACAGTATCATATTTCCAGTATTTATGTACCGGTGTGTTTTTCTGAAAATAATGAAATTTTTCAACCGAATGAAACATCTTAGATAATATTTCATTGATTTAGAAATTACTAAGTATATCATAACTAATTGAATGACCAATAATCGATCTATATCAACCATAACTAATAATTAGAACCCTATGTAATATCGATATAAAGTTTATCTGAAGGACTTAAATTCATTTATAAATAATTAAATCAATGACAAGATAACCTAGTAACTAAAATAAATAAATCATCTCAATTTTATATCATTTTATATTTGTGACAGATAAACTAAACAACTGATTAATTAAAAAACCTTATTCAAGTATATGTGGCTATAGTTTGTTTGTTTGTTTGTTTTAAAAAAAGAGGATAGAAATCATTTAATAAGTAACCAGGATAAAGATTAGGTACTATCTTTATAGAATAATCAGTTTATCTAGCAGTATAAGTGTACTATAGAAAGCCATATGAATGTATTTTAATTCTAAACAGATTGGATAAATATGCATAATTCAGAACGATAAGATTGAAGTGTTTAAAAGATCATGAAGATTTTTTATTCCTTGTAGTTCAATGAGCACGCACGAATAACACAACACATATATATAGCATATGCTCACTAGTGACTTGCTTCAAGAGGTATTTCCTGGAGTTCTAGTGAGAAGCAGTGACCAGTGAAGTTCAACAAGGTCTTTTAGGAGATATCACTCACTGAAGACAATGGTGGATGTGTTGCTCAATTTCGTGGATTGGTTGAAGTTAGACATTAACACCGTTGGATACCAACCAACTCAGTGGTCTAGAGGTCAAGAGGTCAGGCGCGAGACCGATAGGTCCTGGGTTCGAATCTCGCGAGGTGAGATCATGGATGCGCACTGCTAAGGAGTCCCACAATAGAACGTAACGGCCGTCTTGTGCTTCCAGGTTTTTCTATGGTGGTCTAGCTTCAATTGATTCATGATTTCAACTGTTAAAATTTTTATGAATTATCCAAGTTTGATAATTAGTTTTCAATGTTAAAATGTTTTAATGCTATGAACTTATTCATTTAGATTCATTTTCACTTCCTTATGGCCGTTTTATACAACATTAAATCAGTCTTTACACAACAACCTATGACTTCTGAATGGTATAGGTCTCCACTAATCATTAGGTCACCAATAAAAATTCTGTGACGAACTTTACAGAGCCGATACTTAGCTA